ATTTTTGACGACATACTATACTATGACTTTCTTTCATGATTTTTGACGACATGCTATACTATTCTTTTTTTCATGATTCTTGACGACATACTATACTATGACTTTTTTTTCATGATTCTTGATGACATACTATACTATGACTTTTTTTCATGGTTTTGGACGACATACTATGACTTTTTTTCATGGTTTTGGACGACATACTATACTTTGACATTTTTTCATGATTCTTGACGGCATACTATGCTGACTTTTTTTCATGATTCTTGACGGCATACTATACTATGACTTTTTTTCATGGTTTTGGACGACATACTATGACTTTTTTTCATGGTTTTTGACGACATGCTATACTATGACTTTTTTTCATGATTCTTGATGACATACTATACTATGACTTTTTTTCATGATTCTTGACGACATACTATACTATGACTTTTTTTCATTATTCTTGACGACATACTATACTATGGCATTTTTTATGATTTTTGACGACATACTATACTATGACTTTTTTTCATGATTCTTGACAACATATTGTACAATGGCATTTTTTCATGATTTTTGACGACATACTGTAATATGACTTTTTTTCATGATTCTTGACGACATATTGTACTATGGCATTTTTTCATGATTTTTGACGACATACTATACTATGACGTTTTTTGGTGATTTTTGAAGACATACTATACTCTGACATTTTTTCCTGACTCTTGATGACATACTATACTATGCCATTTGTTTGTGATTTTTGAAAGGCATACCTGTTTTTTTATGACATACTATACTATGACTTGATTTGGTCACAATATTTACAACATACCATACTGTTGTTTTTTCCGTAACAATTTTTAAAACATACTTTACTTTGATGGTTTTGGCTACAATCTTTTACAACATTCTATACCATCACTTTTTTCATATTTGTATAGCATATACTATAACTTACAAATTATTGTATTCTTCCAATTCAAAGTAGAAGCACAAAAAATAAACACTGCAGAGACATCCTGTAGTGCTGATAATCATGCTTTATTAAATCAATAATTGGAGAAAAACTCAAGGAGGCTGCGAAAATAATCAATGCTACAACTCTAACTTCAATCAAAACAAAGTGCAGGGCAACCACACTTCTTCTCGTCCTCGTTGAAGGCAGTGGCGGTTGGTTTCGGCTGCCTGGTGGCGCCCAGCTTGACTGACAGGCCTAAAAACTAACACACAAACACACTGCAGACCTCCAAGAGACAGCTCTGCCTCTGCAAACAAGCACAGGAGGGACTCTACTTTCATGTGATTGGCCAGGTTGATGGTACGACTGAAGAGCCCGAGCGAGTGGTCATTTGCCAGAAGCAGAGCACAAAACAAAAAGAAACACTTGTGCTCAGGGAGTGCAGGCCGCTCGCACTGTGAGCATGTCATCGAAATGGCAGTATGACATAATCAGTCAGAGCGTGAGGTCCAGTCGTCCTGCTTACATGAGGGTAACTGCAAACAGCACTCAGGATCTCACGCTTTAGTTACAATGCAACAGCACCGCAGTGCATTTCTAGTTTTGTCTCTGATTGAGTTAACATCAACAGGGAGCCTCTCTACCTGTTGAGGCAATCTTAGACTTCAACTTATCGTTGAGGCACAGAGTTTAGTTTCTCAGTTTAACAGGGTATTCGTTCCAAGCGGAACTTTCTCCTGTTAAACCACATTTAGTTTCATTTTGTTTCAGTTAATATTATTGTCATAAATAACATTGCATACATTTCCCATAACCGTTAAATTCGGCTATATACATTATGTACATGTCACAGAAAAATGGATCAAAAATCCTAAGTCATCCAATATGGCACATTTTATAACACCTTTAGACTTTAGTCTAGTTTGGCATAAATTAATGTCAAGATTGGTACAAAAATAGTTCATATTTACAAGAACAGAAATCCAGATCGTAATCAAGTCGATTATTTTGCTTAATGAATAAATAAAAAGGCATGGAAGTAGGGAAAAGGGGAAGATAGGAAGATTAGATTTTTTTTTCTTTTTCTTTTATGCTGATCGAATGCTGATGTGAACAGTCGCTGTGTCAGATCCGAGCTCATTAGATAGCTTCAGGGTGTAGGTTCCAGCGTCTTCCTCCTTCACCCCGGTGATGATGAGAGTGGTCAGGTCTTCCGTGGTGTCAATGTGGAAGCGTCCGCCGGCAGTCACCTCGATCTTTCTGCCGCTGCGGGACCACTCGATGTGTTTGGCTTCGCCGGAAAAGGCGCAGGTGACTGTGAGGACTTTGCCTGGTTCAATGCTGATGTCCTCCGGCAGAGCCTCGATCCTGGGAGCAGAACCTGGAAACCACAGCACATATACATCAGTGCACACAGAGATTTTAAAGACAAAATGTTAGTGGCCACATCATTTCACAACAGAGGGAAGTTTTGATTTTCAAAATCAGGTACAAACTAGAACTATCACCTTGTGCTTGTTTGCCTTCATGCATGAGTCAAGTTTGTTACAGTTTCAAGATTAGAGTCACCAATTCAGTGTCTGACCAAAAGTCTCTCCTTCTGTTCCTGAGATATGATGCTGAATAATGACCTTTCTTTATACAAAACATTATGATGTCACAGTGAAGTTGACCTTTGACCTTTTAGATATAAACTGTCATCATTTCATTATATTATCCTGTCTGAAATTTTGTCATTATCAGTGTAAGAATTCTTAAGTTATGGCCAAAAACATGTTTTGTGAGGTCATGGTGACCTTTGACATTTGACCACCAAATTCTAATCAGTCCATCACTGAGTTCAAGTGGACATTTGTGCCAAATTGGAGGGGAATTCCCTCAAGGCCTTATTCAGATATCATGTTCACAAGAATGAGATGAATGCAAGGTCACAGTGACCTTTGACCACCAAATTCTAATCAGTTCATTCTTGACTGGACGTTGTGCCAAATTTGAAGAAATTCTCTCAGAGTGTTCTTGAGATATTACGTTCACGAGAATGTCTCATTCATTACAAAATCCCAGTGACTGTACCTTTGACCGCCAATTTAAAACCAGGTCAAAGTTAAGCCAAAGTGGACGTTTGTGCCAAATTTGAGGTGTTCTTGAGATATTGCATTCATGAGAATAAGACAGATAAGATCACTGACTAACAAATTCTAATCAGTTAATCACTGAGTCTGATTGGACATTTGTGCCAAATCTGAAGAATTTCCCTAGGGTGTTTTTGAGATAACGTGTTTACAAGAATGAGATGGACAAGATCACATTGACCTTTGACCACCAAGTTCTTATCAGTTCATTGACAAGTTTAAGTGGACGTTTGTGTTGAATTTGAATTTCCCTCAAAGCGTTCCTGAATTATTGTGTTTACAAAAAAGGATTTGATGGACAGACAACCCAAAACATAATGTCTCTGTCCACAGCTAGCACAGAGGCATAACAACTGCTAAATCAATGTCTTTGTTTACTTTACACCCCGATTATGACTCATAGTTATTGATTTCAAAATAAAAGCCTTTCAGTCGCCTCTGAATCTAAATGTGGAAGCAACGAATCAAAAGCAAAGCTACTTTTAAAAAGTCACAAACTCACTCTCATCACCAGTCTTACCGATCGCTCTGAACGAGGATCCCTCCATGTGTGAGGACATCTCAGTCAGACTGCTGGAGCTCATGGCGTATGTCTCTGATGTCATGGAGGACATGCTGGACATGGACATGGTCTCAAACTTCATCTCAGCTGCCATGCTGCTGATGGAGCTTGATTCCATCATGGATGACATCATCGCCTGCTGGGCAGAAGACGAGGAAGAGAAAGACGTTGACTCCTCCTTCGTGTGCATTTCTTTCTTCATCATCATGGCTGAGCTCACTGCTGATGAAGACTCTTTGTGACTCATCACCATTGATCCTGATGTGGGTGGAGACAGACAGGTAAATACGTAAATTAGTTCACAGTTAAGGATTTATTCTAATTAGCATAGGATTTAATCTGCATCGATTTTAAGAGGCAGGTACTCACCTTTAAGTGCCACTTGCTGTTCACGGTAGGCTTTGACCTTCATGCGTATGGACTGGAACACCTGTCCGGTGAATGAGAAGGAGGATTTGGATACTCCTCCCTCTGATGTCATCTCACAGATGTACTCTCCCTGATCACTGTCTGCCAAATCATGGATCAGGAGGCTGCAGGAGCCCTCAGAGTAGTGCATCTCAAAGCGACTGCTCTGTGAAAGCCTCCTCCCGTTGATGTACCACACCACCTCCCTGACGCTGCTCTCACAGACGCAGGACATCCTCACCGAACCCTCACTGGCCTCGGCTGTTAGCTGACTCAGGACCCTGGGAGGTTTCGGGGTTGGGGATTTGACGGTGGGTGGAGACACAACCCTCTTGGGGGACAAGCTAGGAGGAGGGGACTTCATCCTAGGAGGTGATTTGATCCCCTCGGGCTCAGGGGACTTTAAGGCCCTTGGTGATTTGATGCCTGCAGGTTCTGGGGACTTGATACCTTTTGGTGTTTTGATTCCCGCAGGTTCTGGAGATTTGATACCTTTTGGTGTTTTGAGTCCTGCAGGTTCCGGAGATTTGACACCACGAGGTGATTTTACTTCCTCGGGCTCCGGTGACTTCACACTCTCTGGAGACTTGAGTGGTGGTGGAGGTGACTTGAGTCTGGGTTCTGGAGATTTTATACCCCGTGGTGACTTCACTCCCTCAGGTTCGGGAGATCTGACACCTGGAGCTGGTGATTTGACACCTGGAGCTGGTGATTTGACACCTGGAGCTGGTGATTTGACACCGGGTGCTGGAGAGGGTGCGGCTGGCTCAGGAGACTTAATGCTCCTTGGAGACTTAATTCCCTCTGGTTCAGGAGATTTCACACTTGGTGTGGGTGACTTCACACCTGGTGTCGGTGACTTCACACCGGGAGCAGGAGACGTTGGTTCAGGAGACTTCACACTTGGAGCTGGTGATTTAACTGAAGGCTCAGGTGACTTGACGCTTGGGACAGGGGAGGTTACGGAAGGAGTAGGCGATTTGACTGAAGGCTCTGGTGACTTCACACTGGGAGTGGGTGACTTTACAGATGGCTCAGGGGATTTGACAGCCTTGACCTCCTCTTTGGGAGCTGGTCTGCGGATGGTCAAGGTGAAGTGAGCCTCTTGCCTGCCTGCTGAGTTCTCTACCACCACCGTGTAACTGCCCTCATCGGAGGCCATCACAGAGGAGATCTCCATGCTGGACTTGTACTGAGTGGTGGTGACCTGGATGCGGTGAGTTGAGACAATGGTTCTGCCCTCGTACATCCATATTACAGTAGGTGCAGGCTCCCCATCGATATCACAGGAGAATCTGGCTGTCTCTCCCTCTGCAACTGTCACAGACTGGGGCTTGGTGAGGATTCTGGCAGGAAGAGAAGGCTTCACCTTAAGCACAGCAACTTCCTCAGCAACAGCAGCAGAAGTCGACTTCAGTTTAGCTTCAGTTGTGGTGTGTTTCCCAGTCAGAGAAAACTTTTCAGATGAGTATGAGGAATCAGATGATAGGTATTCGGCAGATGCATACTTGACAGATGAATCAAGCCTCTCAGCAGAGGAGTACCTCTCAGCAGAGGAGTACCTCTCAGCAGAGGAGTACCTCTCAGAGGAGGCAGCGTATCTCTCACGTGTGGAAACCTCACGTGTCTCAGTTAGCTTAGTCTTGCTCTCTTCAACCTCAAAATGGGTCTGAGTAGCATAGCCAGTTTTGAAGTGGGTGGTGTGATAGTGATCAGTTCGAGTGACTTCAGGGACATATCCTTTGAGAACATCCTCATCCCTGCGGCGAGAGGAGAAGGTGGTGTAGCCGCCACCTGCCACATCAAGGGTGGCATAGTCGGAAGCTTCTCCCCTAGAGTTGGTGCATTCACAGCGGTATGTGCCACTGTCCTCCTCATGGCAGTCCAGAATAGTGATGGACAAAACACCACTCATGTTGGTGAAGACATATTTCTCACTGCTTTCAGAGATTTCTGTTCCATTGTGGAACCACTTGACCTCGGCCTCTGGTTTGCTCTGGATGTTCAGGGTGAATTTCGTGTCTTGGCCAATTGGTACACGATGAGAGCGCATCCTAACAGTCACACGGGGAGCGTGATCCAGACTGAAAGGTGTCTGGGTAACCACCTGGTATTTCCTCTCAGCCTTTATAGCAGCCTTTCTGGCCTCATAGCGGGACATGATGTCGAAGCGGGCAGACCGCTCAAACCTGGAGGAGGAGCGGGATGACCTTTCAACAGACCTGATGGGGCTGGGAGAGCGGGGACGGGTCCTCTCAGGGGTGGGAGACCTTCTTGCAACAACCTCTCCCTCTACTTCCACAGGCATGGCCCGTGATGGTCTGATCAGCTCTGAGACTGGACGCATGAGCTCAATGTATGTGGGAGACAGTGACCTTCGCCTCCTCGTGTACTGAGAAATAGTGCGTTTCTTCTTTGTCTCAGTAACCTCAGCAGCCTCATGTCTGACCTCCTGCCTTCTCTCTTCACGTTCCACGGCACGCCGCTCAACGCGAACAGGGCTGCCTGTAGGAGAGGCAGAAAAGCCAAGCTCCAGTTCATCCTCCAGCATCATTTTCTCTTCCTCTGTTCTCCTCATGGAAAGATAGTCATCCACAGGCATCAGCAGCTCCTCGTCACTAAGATCTCCCAATGATCTCCTTCTGGATCTGTAAGAGATCTCAGATTCAGGAGAAGGTGAACGGCGAGCAGGCCTAACAGTCTCCAAGTCATCCAGAGTGAGTTTTGGAATACGCCACCTTGGCCTGTACTGGTCAGTGATTCTCGGGAGGGGCATGACGTAGAACTGCTCCCACCTGGACAGACGAATACGTCTCTGCCTCTTCTGCACAATCCTCTCCATCCTCTCTGGAATCTCATACTGGTCTCTCAGTTTTCTATACCACTTCATGTCGGACAGAGCCACAAACTGTTTGATAGTTTTGTCCTCATCCAGGGCTCTAGGATCATGAACCACAGGCTCAGGGATCTCATATGGCATAAAGATCCTCCTCTCCTCCTCCAGCCTCTTAGTCTCAGTCTTCTCAACTGTGATGTCGAACTCACCCTCAACGTTCTTGGTGCTCACTGCAGGCTTGTACATCTCTGCAGCAAAGTTAAGTGCCTCCTGAGCTGTGGGGTTTAGAGGTACAAGCTCCTTAGTGGCAACAATATGCTGAGCCATCTTGTTGGTCTTTTCAATTTGTTTCTGTACGTGTAGGTATTTCTCCTCCTCGCTCTTGTACTCTCTCCTGGTGTAGGTGAGGCGGTCCACCTGCAGTGTAGCCTGGCAGCTTGCAGAGCCAGCAGAGTTGGTTGCTGTCACCTTGTACACACCAGAGTCCTCGAGCAGAGTATCTCTGATGTACAGGACATAGTGGTCAACGTCCTCCTGTATGACAACGACCTTTGGACCAAACTGAAGTGGATGACTGTCCTTCTCCCATTTCAGAGTGGGAGTGGGGACTCCTGAGACTCTGAGCTCGAAGTGGACACTATGTCCCTCAACACAGTCAACATTAGCCAGCAGGCGTTTGAACATGGGCCTCATAGTTTCCTCCATTACAGGATGAGGTGTCACAGTGAGACGGGCTGTGCAGCTGTCTTCTCCAAACTTGTTGTGAGCCATGACGGTGTATTCTGCATCATCACTTAAGTCCAGGTTGTGGATCATCAGCTGGTAAAGACCCTTATCGCTGGTGAACGTGTACTTGGTGTCATCTTCACCTGGCTTGATTTTCTCTCCATTCTTGAGCCATGTGACATGAGGCTCCGGGTGCACGGTAATGGTGACACCAAAGCGCACATCTTCACCGATGTAGGCAGAGCGATTGTAGAGAGGCAAAGTGAACTCTGGTGGTCTCTGCAGGAGTTTCGTCTTGTCGACTCTCTTCCTCAGTTTCTTGATGGTGCGACTAAGGTAGTACTCTCTGATGCTCCTCACTGTCTCAACAAAGAGCTCTCCATAAGCACTGTCCTCTCCATCGTCACTCACCACCTTGCACCTGTACACACCATCATCACTCTCTTCAATGTCCTTTACATAGATGCTGGCAAAACCATTGCTGTAAGTGATTTCATACTTGGCGCTTGCATGTAGCTGACGGGTACCGTGATACCATGTCACCTGTGTACTCTTGTCAAAGTTGGTGATGCTACAAGTAAATCTGACATGGCCACCTTCTTCAGCTGAACCATGCATGACTGGACCACTGCGAAGGCCATGGTACTCAGTTCCAATCTTCACTCTACCCACAGCCAATCCTCTCTGGTTCTTGAAGGCGCCACCGTAGGCCACACGAGCTGATGATACAATAGTATCTACCCTCTTTACCAGAGTCTGGTAGTACCTTCTGTGTCTCAGTGTCCTAATGATCTTGTTGCTGACATGCTCAATCTTCATCTTGAGCCATGGGTGCTCCAGAGCCTCGTGGGCTGTCATACGGAGCTTCATGTCCTTGACTAAAAGTCTGTCTATAAAGTCCATAGCTTCCAAGCTGATGTCCTTGAATGCTTCACTGTCAAAGATGTACTCACAGTTGGAGATGTTCTCAATCATCTTTGTAGTGGACTCTGCCGCAAATGGATTAAGGCCACTAAGCAAAACGTAGGCCATTACGCCAACAGACCACATATCAGTGGCTGTTGTGACCAGGTCATGACGGTGGACCTCAGGGCCACAGTACTCGGGAGCTGAGAACAGCATTCTGATGTTTTCTCCTGGCACCAGCAGCCTAGCCTGGCCCATCTCAATAATCTTTATGGTGGTGCTTTTCCTGGTGGTGTAGACAATGTTGTCTGGGCGGATATCAAAGTGGCCGAAGTTGTGGCTATGCAAGAACTTGAGGGCAGAGCAGACTTGTCTCAGGTACCGGACAATCTCCTGCTCTGTCAGCTCGAAGTTGCTCGTGCCAAGGCGCTCAAAGATGTCAACTCCAGAAATGAATTCAAAGATGAGGATAATCTCCTCCATGCTTTCAAAGTATTCATGTAGATAGATGATATTCTTGTGCCTTGCTATGTTAAGGGCCTCAATTTCTCTGAGAACCAACTCACGGTCGGTTCCTCTGACCTTGATGAACTTGGCCATGAAGGTCTTCTTTGTGGCAATCTCCGTGCAGCGGTGGACCACTCCAAACTGGCAGCGAGAGAGTTCCTCAGAGATGATGTACTTGGAGGACAGCTCCTTCACCTTGTAGAACAGAGCCTCCTCCTTGGTGACCTCTCTGGCTTCGTCCACTTCCTCATCATAATTCCTAATCACAGACTTGTCCTCCTTTGTGGTGATGGGCTCAGTTGGCTCAGAAGGATGGCTCAGGCCAAACTGGTTTTCGGCAATGACGCGGAACTGGTACTTGGTCTTTCCAAATATGTTGATGATGGTGATGCTGCAGTCAGTGGTCTGTCCAGCTCGGATCCACCTGTCAGCAGTGGTGGGACACTTCTCCACAATGTAGCTAATGATGTCACTTCCACCATCACTGGCAGGGGGTTCCCAGGTCAAGGTGATGGAGTCCCGAGCAATGTCACTGACAACCAGTCCCTTTGGAGCATCAGGTATGTCAGCAACGTTCACCTCAATGGTTTGCTTGTCTGTACCAAACCTGTTCTTTGCTGTAATGATGTAGTAGCCAGTATCCTTCCTCTCCATTCCCTTCATGAACACCAGAGAGGTGAAAGATCTGGTGGTGATGACCTGGTAACGAGGAGAGTTGGAGAGGATCTCCTGACCCTTCTGCCAAACGACTGCTGGCTCAGGCTTGCCAGAGATGGGGATCTTGATGGTGATGCGCTCACCACAGACAGCATGGACTGCTCCCATTCCCTGAAGCTCCTCAGGCAGGTGGATCCTAGCAGGAACTGGAATTCAAATGACAAAAAGCATTAGTTTGATTTCTTTGAGATTATTTTTCTTTTTAAGGAACAGCAGCTGGAGAGGACATCACTCAGTGGATACTGGAAAAAATGAGCGATCATTAATTTACACTATCAAAATTATATCATTACCTTCAACCTCAAGGTTGGCCGTTGTAGAGATGGACCCTGAGGGGTTGGTTGCTCTGACTTGGTAAACTGCGGCATCATTCTCATCAGCGGCAGTGATGATCAGCTGGTAGTAGCCTCCCTTGAACTCCAAGGCTTTGATCTTGGCTCCATCTGCCTGGATCTCCTTTCCATTGCGGTACCATTTCACCAAAGGTTTTGGATGTCCCATCACCTTGTAACAGGAAAAATAACCAAGTTAAATAATGCTTGTGGTGATGGAATTGAGTGACTGAATGAAACTGATGTCAATCTTCTCAATGGGTTCTTGGTATCCCTTCAACACTTACACGACAATCACTTGTAGTTTTGTCACTTCTAGACCTTCATGAACATAGACACAGCATGTGAATTTGCGAAATTTGCGAAAATGCAATGTAGCTGAAATAAACTACCTTGGTGACAAAGGTGGCATTGTTGTGGTATTTGATGGTCATGTCCCTGATCTCCTCCCTGAACGCGGGAGCACGAGGAGCCTGGTCAGACTTGGGGATGACAGGTGCTGAAATCTCACTCCAGTCGCTCTCACCGCCCATGTTCTCACACTTGACGCGGAACTCATACTCAAAGCCCTCGATCAAGGCTTTGACCTCAAAGCTGGTCTCGGCAATCTTCTTACTGGTTACTGACATCCACTTGTTCTGCTTCTTCTCACGTTTCTCCAGGTAGTAGCCGGTGATTTTAGCTCCACCGTCGCTGGTTGGAGGTTTCCAGCAGACGACACAGGAGTCCTTGGAGGAGCTGATGATGAAGGGCTGTTGTGGGATGCCAGGTTTTTCTAAGAGATAAACAGGGAATGTTACTGTAGTGGTCTACATATCTGAAGTTCGTCCTGCCTCTCTGCAATGACATTATAGAGGAAAAACTACTTACCAAATGGACTCTTGATGATGACCACCGATGGGATCTCCAGGGACTCACTGACTCCATATTGGTTCTGGGCAGAGACTCTGAAGTAGTAGCCGGCATTCTCAGTCAGGTTGGGGACACGGCATGTGGTGCCAGAAACGGAGGAGGACACCAGGTGCCACTGCTCGCCTTCTTTGGCCTCGCGTTTCTCCACAATGTAGTTGGTAATCATGGAGCCTCCATCGTCCTTGGGTGTCTTCCAGCTGATGACAACCGAGCTCTTCAGCAGAGCCTCAACAATAACAGGGCCCTCAGGAGCGCATGGTTTATCTGGGGAAAAAAACAAAACAAAAAAAAGGAATAAGTAACAGCTCTTGTGTTTTATTCAAATACATACATGTAGTAATGATGATAATATATGTAGATAATATAGATGTCTTCACTGTAGGATCATATTATTTGATATTTAAACCTGTTGTCAGTTGTCTAGTATTACCTTGGATTTCAACACGGAGCACAGTGTCGATGGTTCCAAATACATTGCTGAGCTGCACCTTGTAGCGACCAGCGTTGGTCTTCCTCTGGGCGTTCCTCACCACCAGGTGGGTGTAGCTTTCGGTGTTTTCAATAATTACATTCTCGGATGCGTTCAGAGGCTTCTTGCCATAGAACCACATGATCTGGGGGATGGGACGTCCAATGTAGACAACATGGAGACGGAGGCTGGTGCCAGCTCCAGCGTAGTACTTCTCCTTCAGAGGGAAGCCAGGGTGGAACTGCGGCGGCGCCTGCAGACGCAGTTTGCCACTGGTCTCGATCTCTCCGGCTTCGTTGATGGCCCTGCAGGTGTACAGGCCCTCATCTTCCTGCTCGTCTGTCAGGATGCTCAGGGAGTGGTTGCGGCCATCTGAGCTCATCTTGTACTTACGGCTCTGGATCAGCTCTTTACCGTAGCGGTACCACTTGATCTCAGGCAGAGGTCTTCCAATGATGCCACAGGTGAGGGTACCGGACTCGCCAAGCTTGGTGGTTACATCTTGGATCTCTTCCTTCAAAGCTGGAGCCTCACCAACTGCAAAAGCAAATGCAAAGCTTGATTTAATCTGAGTTTTTTATGCTTTTTCCTACCTCTGTGTGTACTGTACATAAGGTCTGCTGACATGCAAACATCTTGATTTAGTAACATGAAATTCAACTTCACATGATCTAGTGTTTAACTTTGTAAGGACCAATGTCACATTACAAAGTTAGTGAGATTTATTTCTAAATTCTGCAGCAGCTCACCGCTCAGTTTGGTCTTGATGCCCATGGGTGTGCGGCGAGGTCGGCTCAGTCCAGTCTCATTCTCAGCAAAGATTCTGAACTCGTACTCGGTGGCCTCCATCAACCCGCCCATGGTGAACTGACGATCCTTGGAGCGCTCTTTGTTACATTTTTTCCAGGCACTTTCTCCAGCCTGCCTGAACTCAATCCAGTAGCCCAGAATCTCCTTGCCGCCGTCATGCTCTGGCCTGAGCCAGTGGATGGTGATGGAGTCCTTGGTGATGGAGATGATGTCGATCTCCCCTGGTTGGCTGGGTTTGTCTTGAAGGAGAGAGACAAGAGCAGATTAATACTCTTACAGAAAGTGTAAGAGAAAGAGTGTTGAAACCAGTTCTACACGGTCCCACAAATTAACTAAAATTATCATAAGCTAAGACAAAATGTCCTTCAAATTCACTTTATTACTCAACAATTTATTCATGCGGAAATTAGTATCGTGATATAAACTCACCAAATGGATCTTTGCAGACCACAGACTCTGAGGCAGGACCAGGCTCGCTCTGCCCGATGTCATTCTGAGCCACCACTCTGAACATGTACTCAGCATCAGGGATGAGACCGGTGACATTGTACATAGTGGTGGTGATGTGGGTCTTGTTGTGTCGGACCCACTTCTCTGTCGAAACCTCTCTCCTCTCCACATAGTATCCCGTGACGCGGGAGCCTCCATCATCCCGGGGCCGGGCCCAGGACAGAGACACCGTGGTCTTGGTCACGTCCATAATCTCTGGTGGGTTGCCGGGAGGTTCTGGTGCGCCTGGAGGTAAAGCAAGTTGTTAGGGAAATCAGTGTTTACAACTACACTTGTAAACACACATACTGACATCAGAATTACGGATATATGGAAATGTGTCTGTTAAGTAAATTATTTGACCAACATGTAGACAATGCAACTTTTGACAAACATCAGTTGAGACTACAAATGTAAACAATCACAGAAAAAATACTCACAAAGTGGCGTTTTTGGTGTGACAGCCTCATCAGACTTGAGAGATCTGCTAATGCCAAACTGGTTTTCGGCAGAAACCCTGAAGTGGTACTGCACATTCTCCTTCAGACCCTTCACCACCAGAGAACTCTCAGTTACCCTGGAGTCGACTGTGTACCAGGCAGCCTTGGGTACCTCCCTTCTTTCCACAATGTATCCCAGAATGTCGGAGCCGCCATCATCTGATGGTGGCCTCCAGCTGACCCGCACTGATCTGACCTGAATGTCATCAAACTCCAGAGGGCCCTCTGGGGCATCAGGGCGACCAATCACCTTCACCTGGAGGCAAGAGATACACAAAAAGTTTAGTTCAAACTATTCCAAGCGTATGTATTTTTATTGTTTTACTTCTGATCATGAAGTATCTGCTGGATGACTCGCTCACCTTGATGTACACGGCCTTCCTGCCGCATTTGTTCTCCAGCACCAGGTCATAGGTACCAGTGTCGTCTTTGTGTGCCTCTTTGATGACCAGCTCGGTGATGTCATCATGGGTGGCGATCATGGCCCGATGAGAGATGTCACGACCGTCCTTGGTCCACTTGCATGTAGGGATAGGTTTACCCTTGATGGGCACAGACAGACGAACGACTCCGCCCTGCCGCACCACATAGCCCTCCTCGTATTTACGATCAAGCACGTAGTCGGGATAATCTGAAGAAGACAGAGATTAAATTTGTGTCATTTAAATTACAGGTTAAGTCAGTAAAATAATGTTTATTTGACTGTAAAATCAAACTATAAATGACGGTATTTTACCAAGCATCTCCTGGACTTTAACCACTCCAGGAATCTCAGCGGACTCCCCAGAACCACCAGCATTGCAGGCAATGATCCTGAACTTGTACTCAGCACCCTGGGGCATGTGAGTGAGGGTGTACTCGCACATCTTTGTGGGCGTGGTGTTGCACAGCGTCCATTCCACCTGGTCCACCTTCTGCATCTCGATAAAGTACCCAGTAACAATAGAACCACCCTCCTCTTCGGGTGGCAGCCAGGCCAGAGATACTGAAGACCTGGTGGTGTCGGTGACTCTGGGCTGAACTGGAGGACCTGGAGGCTCTGTTACAAAACACAGAGACCTTTGGTTAATATTCTGACTCCACACTGGGAAGATTCATCTAAAATCGTGAGTTTTGCAACACCTACCAATGGGATCCATGGCAACAGTGATGGCAGAGCTCTCGCTGGGTTTGCCGGCTCCTCTGGAGTTGACGGCAGTGATACGATGTTCATACTCCAGGCCCTCAATCAGACCAGAGGAGCGGTACCTGGTCATGGTGACAAGGTTCTTGTTGATCTTCAGCCACCTGTCAGAACGGGCCTCCTTACGCTCAATGATATAGCCAGCAATGGTGGAGCCACCATTGTCCACGGGTGGTTGCCAGGTCAGGGTCATGCCCTCGTGAGTGACATCAAGCACCTCTGGCTTGCTGGGAGGTCCAGGGATGGCTACACATGAAATCAAATTAACAGATCAATTGAAATACTGCAGGGCCAAAAATAACTGTTCACAAGTAAATAAAAGAGATTCACGTGAAGTACACATACAAATGAAATAACATACAGAAGAACAGAAAGACTATACTTATGATAGGAAGAGAACTCACTCTTTTCGCTCTTGCACTCTACCACCTCTGACTGCAGGAAGCCACCAACACCAAAGCGATTCATGGCTGCAACACGGAACACGTACTCGGTTCCCTCAGTGAGTCTGGTGAACTTGAAGCAGGGTCGGGTCACAGACTCTGAGATGGTGACCCAGCCTGGGCGGTGGGCATCGCGCTGTTCCACCACATAGCCGCTGACGTTGGCACCACCGTCCTTCTCTGGGGGTTCCCAGCTGATTGTGACCGATACGCCGTCATTCTCCTCGATCTTCACTGGACCAACTGGGATGCCAGGTTTGTCTGGATGGGCACAAGAAGTCGCGGGTTAGAATCTAGTAATTTTTTTTGCATGTATGCAATAATTGCACTGTAAGAGACACAACTTATTCATGTATAATCTTCATTTGTCCTTACCCAGAATGATGACCTTGATGACCTCGGTTGCCATGCCAATGGCATTCTTCACCTCAAGCGTGTAGTCTCCTGTGTCGTTGATGGTGGTCTCACGGATGACGAGGTGAGTGTATTTTCCGTTGCTGTCAATCTTGATGCGGTCCAGGGTGTCCTTCAGTTTGACACCACCAAAGAACCAGGAGCAGACTGGCTGTGGTTTGGCCCTTATGGGGATGTTGAGGTCAATGGGTTTGCCACGGTGCACATGGACGATCTTCTGAGGAATGCTGGTCATGTCGATCTTGGGCATCACTGGAAAACACAGGGCAGAAATGACGTGTTTAATATATTTGATTGATTTCTGTGAATTCTGTGAAGTTTCAGTGAAGGTAAAAGTGGTTGTGTGATGATTTGTGGCTGTGTGTCTTACCCTTGATATCCTGGATGGTGACCGGGGTGACAGTGTCCATGGGCTCGCTGGCTCCCCTGCTGTTGGTGGCTCGCAGTCTGAAAAGGTACTGGTCGTTCTCCGTCAGAGACTGGATGGTGTGCTGGGTCACTGAGGCTTTGACTGTTGCGACGGTACTCCACCTGTCCGAGCCTGCCTTGCATGCCTCGATGATATATCCTGACAGCCTGCTGCCACCATCGTATAGTGACTTCTCCCAGTGCAGAGTGACTGAGGACTTGGTGACATCAATGATCTGGAGGTTCTGAGGCACTGACGGCACATCGCACACCAGCACAGCCTCGGATGTCTCACAGGGCTCGCCAACACCATATATGTTCTCTGGCAGGACTCTGAAGAAGTAGTGCACTCCCTCCTCCAGACCAGAGATCCTGAACAGGGTCTTCCTACACTCAGTGGTGACGGTCTTGTATGACTTCATGTTGGCTTCACGCTTATCTATGATGTAGTTGCTGACATGAGCACCACCATCAATGCTTGGGACGTCCCAGGTGATCACGACAGACTCCTTGGTGTAGTCCTTCACGTTCACAGAACTTGGAGGACCAGGAGTGTCTGCAGGAGAGAGACGAGTTGAGGAAGAGAAGATATTAGTGTGTTTTTTGTGTCTTTTAGTGTGTCTTTACGTGTACCTTTTTATAAAGATTCAGCCTGGAATATTTGGCATCTGTTAAGACTTGGGATGACCTACCGTAGACCTTAACCAGGATGGTGGCAGTTTTCTTGCCGGATGGGTTCTCTGCCTCCACAACGTATTTTCCAGAGTCGTAGCGGTTGACCTTCTCCACCATCAGTGAGGTGTAGCTGTCGGTGGTCTCAATGTAGCCGCGGCTCTGCAGCTCCACGCCTGTCTTCCTCCAAGCAACTACTGGTAACGGCCGGCCAGAGACAAATACAATCAAACGCAGGGTTCCTCCAGCGCGCAAACACACCGTTTTCTTCAGGTCATCGTGCAGCTCCAGGTCTGGCATTTCTGAGAGGGTCGAACAGAGTAAAAGGAGAGTCTGATGATGCTGCAACTGCCATGTAACAAGCTGGAATATGGCACTGATAAAGATTTGTCACTGGAATAAGCAAGAAGTTTGCTTGGAAAACACAATGCTGACAAAACATTTACTTTCTGTCATAATCCAAATTCAAGAATTAGCTGTTGTGACTCACCAACTTTCTCCAGAGGCTCAACCTCGGCACTAGGTTCACTGAACTCGCCAGTGCCTTTGTCGTTGACAGCAGCTACTCTGAATCTGTACTTCTTATTGGCTGCCAGGCCGGCGGCCACATACTCTGTGTTCTTGATGGCTTTGGCGTTGGCACGGTACCACTGCTCAGAGCCCTCCTCTAGGATCTCCACAAAGTAGCCGGTGACGTCTGAGCCGCCGTCGTACATGGGCCTGGTCCAGGTCATGCTGATGCTGTGCTTGGTTGTGTCAGTGATACGAGGTACTGATGGAGGAGCTGGGGTATCTGGGAGTACACAGACATAAATATGTTGTATTTCTACTTGTCCAAACATCATTCCATCAAATGGAAAATAATCAATTTCTTGAGAAAATTTTGGAATCAAAACGAGAATTTAAAATAAAATTTCAGCTCTAAGATGGTCACCTTTTGCATCAGTTAAGGTTTTTAAGTAAAATCTCTTACATGTGGGGTCTTTGCAGAGGATGTATGCCGAGGCATCACTTGGATGGCTGTCTCCGGCAGCGTTGACAGCTGTCACTCTGAACTGGTACTCGCTTCCCTCCAGCAGGCCGGAGATCTTCAGACGGGTGTCATAGATGGTGTAATTCTTATTCACCCGAGTCCACCTGGTCCAAAAGAGAAATGAAAGTAGAAAGAGATTATGAGAATCAATATTTCAGAAAGTGTAAACTAAAATCTGTCCTTTCGGTTCTTCAGAAGTTGGTCCCACCTGGTACTGCTTTTCTCTCGTTTGTCTACTAAGTAGGTTTTGATCTCGCTACCTCCGTCACTCTCGGGCTTCAGCCACTCAATGATGACATGCTCCTTGCCGACTGCTGTAGCCTCTGGAGTGCCCGGCTGGGATGTGATGGCTGAGGAAGAAGGGCAGAACAGGTCACGGAAATAAGTTTTTGCTCTGTTACATGATGCCTAATCAGAGAATTGATTTCAAAATCTTGCTAATTGTGTATAAATCACTCTTTGGCTCAGCACTCAAATACATCTCTGACATGCTTGTGGCCTATGAAACTTCTATGGCACTGAGGACATCTGAGGTTTGCCGACTGACCTTTTCCAAGAGTTAGGATAAAACATGGTGAAGTAGCACAAACCAGGAATAACCTCCCAGATGATATTAGACAGCCCTGACTCTGAACACTTCTGAGTCAAAGCTAAAACGGTTCCTTTATTCGTGCATATTCCACCCTGTAATGACTGCAAACTTATTTCTAAACTCCATTTTACATAATTTTAAATGACTGTCTGCACTTTTTCTGATTTTAATTAACATTAGACGGTTGCTATGGCACCATCATCAGGAAAATTTAGTTTGGAAGAAAAGGTAAATTTTGCCGCTTACTGTAGGCGTTCCTGGCAATGACAGGCTCGGATTCCAGAGGAACTCCAGGCCCGTACTTGTTGACTCCTCTAACTCTGAAGATATATTCATTGTTCTTGATTAGCCTGGTGCTGACGCACGACAGTGTCTTGCACTCGGTCTCCATAGCAACCCAGTTGAGGCGGCTGGTCTCGCGACGCTCCACGATATAATGGGTGACGCTGTCTCCACCGTCCTCCAGAGGGATCTTCCAGGACACTGTACACTTCTCCTCTGTCACTCTGCTGATCACAAGCTTATCAGCCGGGGCTCCAGGAGTGTCTGGAAGACAGAAAGCGAGAGTTACAGGCAGTTCATACAGTCCAGTGGCACATACATCTACTGCTGCTCTGTTATCATGCAGCAGTGTTTAAAATGATGTGGTGAGAGCTTAATTTATGTGATTTTTTGGCTGCTCACCCAGAACTTTGACGCTGACAGCAGCAGTTTTGGTTCCACTGGCGTTCTTGACGGTCAGGATGTATCTGCCTGTGTCGTATCTGTCACAGTTCTTGATAACAGCCATGGCTCTGGTGGCAGTGTAGGTCAGTGAGTACTTCTCTCCAAGCTCCAAAATCTTGTCGCCCTTTGACCAGTATACTGTAGGCTCTGGTTTGCCGCCCACAGTGCCATCCAGGACCAGGTCGGAGCCAGCCATGACGGTGACGGTCTCGCCCACCAGCTTGCTGTCCAGCTCAGCTTTTGGAGGAGCTGCAGTGAAAAAGAGATGATTAGATCTCATCTCTCATTCTCAATTCAGTTTTTCCCAGTTTTCCATCTATAAATAATATTATATGCTTTATAGAGGAGGAAATGATCAGAAGCCTAAATGATGACAACTTTTAGATTCAAAGCTCATGGTTACCTACAACCTCCTAAATTTGAAATAAAAATGCAAATCCTAATTGTAATGACTTACAGTATTCATCCTTGCATGTGACCGGTCCAGTGACCTCAGAGGGTGCACTGTGGACACCGGCAGCATTCTTGGCAATGACACGGTATTCGTAGGTCTCTCCCTCTCCCAGGTTGCTGACGGTGAAGTAGTTCTCGCTGATAGTTGTGTAGTTGCACTTGAGCCAGCGATTGTCATCCCACTCATCTGTACTGTAGACTTTTCTCTCCACCACATAACCAACAATCTTGCTGCCGCCATCGTTGAATGGCACGGTCCAGCACAACGACACAGAGGAGCGGGTGATGTCGGTCACCTCGGGTTTACCAGGAGGATCTGTAAAGGGAAAAGTTTATTATTAAATTGTAATGCAGCTTTAACCACGCAGGCTTTTCTGAACCAACTGTTTTAGCTGAACAAAGTGAACAAGAAAAGGTGCTATATGGGTGTAATCAGATTAACTAATTAGGGTCTTGATCGACCAAAAGTTTTTGTTGATTATTTGTGAGCTGATGAACATGTCATTGCTTTATGTGGTTAAGTCATTGAAGTTCCCCTCACCAACAGGATTGAGTGCCACCACAGGTCTGGAAGCCTCGCTGGCCTTGCTGAGTCCGGCAATGTTCATGGCGTAGACCCTGAACTGGTACTCCAGGCCCTCAATCAGGTTGGACACCTTGTACTGGCAATCCAGGCAGGGCAGTTTGTTCTCCCTCACCCACAGGATGGTGTTTCTCTCCTTCTTCTCAATCCAGTAGCCTGTCACCTTGCTGCCACCGTCGGCATATGGCAGGTCCCATTTGATGTTGATGGCATTAGCAGATACAGACACCACATCTGGGCGAGTTGGAGGACTCGGAGGAACTGTGGAAATAAAGTGCAGGTGAGAAAAGGGATTCTTTATTTGACCTGGACCTAAATGCATGTACAAAATATGTTAAACCTTCATGTGTATAAAACAAGATGTGTGTTTACTTTTGTATAATTGTTGGTCAAAACTCACCATATGGATGCTCAATGACAACAGCAGCAGACTCAATGGACTTGCTGACTCCGAATTTGTTCTCAGCGCACACTCTGAAGGTGTACTCCATATACTTGGTAAGGTGAGTCACTTTGATGGTGGTTCTCTTCACACTGGAGTTTACTACTTGCCAAGAGGCAGAGCCAGACTCTCGTTTTTCCACGATGTAGTTCGTAATTTCAGAGCCACCATCATCAGCTGGCTCGGACCAGGACAGAGAGCAGGACTCTGAGGAGACTCCAGAAATCTCCACAGGGCCTGTGGGTGGACTTGGTCTGCCAACAACAACCACTGTCACTGTGAAAGTCTTCACACCAGCAGTATTCTCCAGGATCAGGTAGTACTTGCCGCTGTCGCTTCTCTTGCTATCTCTCACCATCAAAGTGGTTTCCTCTTTTGTGGATCTGATGACAACTCTGTCAGACTCCTTTAGCTTCATTTCCTCCAGCTTCCAGGTGATCTTGGGTGCAGGCCTGCCACTGATGGGGATGTTGATTGTAAAGGTGTTGGAGAGCTTGCAGATGATGAGCTGGTTGGTGATGCTGCTGAGGTCAGCAGTTGGCTCGATGCGAGGCTCCTTAATGACCACAGAGCTGAATGTGCCCTGAGGTTCGCTGATTCCAGCGTCATTCTTGGCCTTGACTCTGAAGTCATACTCTGTGTTCTCAATCAGACCCTCCAATAGCATCTTCTGGGATTTGGTCTCTCCACCAAAAACCCAACGGTCAGTGCCTTTAGCTCTGAATTCAACAATGTAGCCTCTGATGCGGCTGCCTCCATCATGCTCGGGCTTCAGCCACACCAGGGAGGCAGAGGAGTTTGTGGTGTCGACAACATCCAGTCTCTTGGGTGGTGCGGGTTCTTCTGTGGCAATGACGGGCTCTGTCATCTCGTGTGGTTCTCCCTGGCCATACTGGTTAACAGCAGTCACCCTAAACAGATATGGCACACCAATCTCCAGACCAGTGACCCTGAGTGTCTGGCGAGAGGACTTGCTGCTGACCTCCTGCCAGGCCAGGCGGCTGGCTTCGCGCTTGTCCACAATGTAGTGGTGGATTCGGGATCCACCATCATTAGTGGGGGCATCCCACATAACTGTCAAGGCTCCACGGGTAACATCTTTGAAGGTGATAGCTCCTGGAGGCCCGGGAGTGTCCAGCACTTTGACAGTGAATGTGATGGACTTTTGTCCGCTGTTGTTCTCCAGGGAAAGGGTGTATTTGCCAGCTTCATACCTAGTGCAGCCCTCAATGGTTAGTGTAGAGGAGGAATCAGTGGTGTTAACATCAGCCATGACAGGCAGCTCACCATCCACCTTAGACCAGGTGGCAACAGGAGCTGGCTTGCCGCGGAAGGCAATATGGAGGACAACTGTTCCACCATTCTTTACGATGTGAGTCTGCTTGAATTTGGGAGCAATGTCGATCTCAGGTAGTGTAAGTCTGTCCAGAGCTTGAACAGCACTGGGCATCACTGAAGGTTCGCTCTCTCCGCATCCATTCACAGCACTGACCCTGAACTTGTAGAACTCTCCAGGAACCAAGCCCTTCACGGTGTAGCTGGTGTGGATGCAAATCTGGCTGTTTACTCTGTGCCACTCCTCCAGACTGGCCTTACACATATCGATATTGTAGCCAATTATTTCCAGACCGCCATCGAAGACTGGCTTGGTCCATGTCAGGCTGACAGAGGTCTTGGTGGAGTCAGTGACCTGGATAACAAGAAAAGAGCATAGTTTAATGTGAGATTTCTACATTATGATTTCCTTTGTTCCCTTTTCTCTATATTCTGGTTTCCTACTTCAAAGTTATTTGTTACTTTTTTCTGTTCTATAATAGTGCCAAATTCCATTTGCTGATTTTCAGTATCCGTACTGATAATTCAAAACAGCTTTCCATTAACTAATAAATCTGACAATATATGTGTATTTGGCACTCAGTTCAGCTTTGTGTTTACTGTGAAAGGAAACCAAGGAAAAAATGGACAAGAATTTGACAATTGACCTGAACACATTTGGATGAATGTTTCTTCTCTTTGAAATCCATGCAGTGTCACTGAAATCCTACCTTGACTAATGTGGGGTTACTGGGAGCACTGGTTGGTTCTCTACATTTGAAGAGCCTGGAGGTACTGCTGGCCGGTCCGATGCCAGCGCCATTTTCAGCCATTACGCGGAACTCATACTCATTGCCCTCAGTGAGGTTGGTGACACGGTGTCTTAGCTCTGTGATGGGTCTCTTGGAGGAAACCTTCACCCAAACCAGGCTCTTCTTCTCTCTCCTCTCCAGAATGTAGTGTTTGATCTCATTGCCTCCATCTGACCGTGGTCTGGTCCAACACACGGTGATGCTGTTTCCAGTTACATGGGTGGCATCTGGGGTACCTGGGGCATCAGGCACAGCTAAGGGGAAAAGCAGAAAACATGGCATGTTATGAAAGTCAAGTTGTGAATGAAAAGGCCATTTGTCATTTGTTTTCTGTCAATATTCAAGTGCAATCAATTGGGTTACATCTTTAACTTTTGGTCAGTATGTCAAACGGTAAATACTCCTGAGTGACTTTACTTACTGTACTGCATCTGTGCAATGAAGGGATCAGAGTCCAGTGGTTTGCCAACACCAAACTTGTTGACAGCAGAGATTCTGAACTGGTATTCATTCCCTTTGATGAGGTTGGTGGCATTGTAAGAACAGGCCTCGCATTTGGAGGTGACCAAGGCCCAGGTGATCCTGGATGTCTCCCTCTTCTCCACCACATAGTGGGTAATGGCAGCACAGCCATCGTTCTCTGGCGGGTTCCACCAAACGGTGCACTTATCAGCTGTGATACCCGTGAAACGGATGGGACCCTCAACAGGTCCAGGGGTATCTGAAGGGAAAGGAAGGAGTTACATTGAAAATGGTCATAAAAAGGTTTGAAAGTGTTTATAATGTTAGACATTAAAACATAACTGTGTGTTTACCAACCTTGTACTCTGACGTTGACTTCAGCCTTCCTGGTACCAGAGCTGTTCTTGGCCTCTATGGTGTAGATTCCACGGTGGTTTCTGTCAGCATCACGAACAAATACACTGCTGGTGCCAATGCCGGTGGTGATCTCGATGTCAAACATGGTCCTTTTGTCAATCTCTTTGCCATCCTTGTACCAGATAATCTGGGGGACGGGACGTCCAGTGATGCTGCAGTTGAGCTTAATGTTCTCACCAGCCCTCAGGGTGAGCACCTGGTCTGGAGACCATATGACATCCGGAGGAACTGGAGATGCAAAGAGAATGAGCAAATGAGGAATCAGCACAATCAAAGAGATGTAAGAAATCTACTCATTATGATAATTTGTCTTTTCTTCAATTTGTAAATACTTACTGCTCTCATCCTTGGTCATAATGTATCCAGAGGAGTTGGATGGTGGACTGACCGTGCCTACGGCATTCCTGGCAATGACTCTAAACTCGAATCGGTCTCCAGGAGCCAGACCGGTTACGGTGAACTGGGTGTCAGAGATATCAGTGAAGTTGCATCGCAGCCATTTGCCTCTACCTTGGCGCCTCTCCACACTGTAGGCCACAATTTTGCTGCCACCATCCTTCTTGGGAATGTCCCATTGCAGGGTGACTGAGTCTCTTGTTGTGTCGATGCAGACAGGGTTGCCAGGTGGATCTAATTGAAAAGAGAGAGAAGCAGTGCTTGGTGTGAAGTCCTGAAGTAAAACAGGAACAAACAAGATCTACATCAACCTTTTCTTCCAGCGTTTGCAAGGCTAAACACAAATTAAATTGATATTTATCTTATATGACAATGGGCAAAACCGCAAATAAAGCACACTGCCCAAATGTTGGACCGCTTCTTTAAGTACAAAGTTATTCCTCAACATAGATGAATGTAGTCTTTAACGTATACCTACCAACAGGGGAGATAGCGAGTGCATGTTTGCTCTGTTCACTGACAGGGCTGAGTCCGGCGTTGTTCTCAGCATAGACTCTGAAGGAGTACTCCAGACCCTCCAAGAGACTAATTATCCTGTACTCTCTGTTGGAGATGATGGTGGAGTTCACTTTCTCCCACAGGAGGCTATTCCTGTCCTTCTTTTCAATATGATAGCCCATAATGGGTGATCCTCCGTCAAAGCCGGGGGCCTCCCACTTGATGGTCATGCCATCACTGGTGACGTTGAAGGCTACTGGTTTTCCAGGAGGCCCTGGTGGTTTGTACTGGTGCTGGGCAACAACGTCTGAGGAGATGAGGGGTTCACTGACTCCATACTTGTTCTCTGCACGGACTCTGAACTGGTAGTGAGTTCCCTTGACAAGGTTGGGAATCTTGAATGTGGTCCTGACAACACTGGAGCAGACCATCTTCCATACGGCCTGGGAAGCCTCACGTTTCTCCACGCTGTAGCAGGTGATCTCACCACCTCCATCCTCCTTCGGCTCATCCCAGGATATGATGATACTTTGGGCTTTAATCTCATCATAGCGTACGGGACCAACAGGCACTGAGGGGGGTCCCAGAGTGATCACATTAATATCAAAGAAGTTCTTGATGACTCTGTTATCCAGAACCAAGGTGTACTGGCCAGCATGCTCCTTCTTAACTCCTCTGACTGTGATCGCAGTCTTGTTGTCAGTGGTCCTGAAGCGAATCTTATCACTTTCCTTCAGAGGTATGTTATCCTTTAGCCAGCTGATGGCAGGTCTTGGTTTACCCTTGAAGGGCAACTCAATGTGGATATTCTGACCAATACGAACAGCAAGCTCTCCATTGGGGTAGTCACTGAGGTTGGCCTCGGGTGGAATGATAAAGTCCTTCACTACAATCGGTCCAATCTGGGAAAAGTCACTGTTGCCCTTCTCATTCTTGGCCATTACTCTGAAGTCCATGATAGCGTTCTCCTTGAGTCCTGTCACCTCGCAGCTTAAACGCTTGCATGTTGCTCCCAAAGTCCAGGTGGGATCTTCTTCGGTTCTCTTCTCAATGATGTATTCAGTGATGTAGCTGCCACCATCATGGTCAGGTCTAGTCCACTGCAAGGTAACAGAGTTCTTTGTAGAGTCCGCCATCACCAGGTTTTTAACTGCTCCAGGAGTTTCAGTGGCTCTTACAGGCTCAGCAGTTTCGCAGGTGTCGCCCACACCGTACTCATTTTCAGCAGATACACGGAAGAAGTAAGCCACATCCTCCTCCAGGCCCGTCACCTTGTAAGTTGTGTTAGGACACTCGGCAGTGATCACCTGGTAAGCCTTCATGGTGGAAGCCTTCTTCTCAACAATGTAATTGGTGACAGAGGAACCGCCTTCGATGAGAGGAGCCTCCCAGCTGAGAGTCAACTTCCCCCTTGTCACGTTCTTGACCATCAGTTTCTGGCAGATGGCTGGACTGTCCAGAACCTTTAGGGAAACGATAATTATCTTGGGCTCTCCCACGCCATTCTCAATCTCCAGCAGGTACTTGCCGCGGTCATCGCGGGTGACCTTCGGGATGAGGAGTGTGGTGGCTCGCTCAGTGCTAGTGATGGTGTAGCGGTTGTCACCAGCAATGTTGCGGTCACCACGGCGCCAGGTGACATTGGGGGTGGGGCGTCCCTTCAGGGGAATAAACACTTCTACATCACGGCCGGCCCTGGCTGTGTACTGGGTTGTCATGGGAACATCCAAGTCCAAATCAGCCTCCTCTGTTGGAGAGAGGTATACACAAACGGGAAAGAGCAGTAATTAATAATGACAAAAATATGCATCAAAAGAAAATAATACAATTTACACAGTATAGCAATCAATGGCAATAATTAGAAGCTGTAAAAATGATAGAAAATAGCTTTTTAATGCTTCAGTGAACTCCAGTCATGCTTATTATCAGTATGTTTTTATCTTGATTATAAGACAAATACAAAAGACCCATGTCCTGTGTCAAAACCATAGAGGGATCTGTATGAATACAAACCCAAGATATCCTTGGCTTGCACAGGCTGATACATCTTGATGTCTTCTCCTTTGCCCTTGCAGTTGACAGCAGAGACTCTGAAGAAGTAGTAGGTTCCAGGTTTGAGGTGAGACACCACATACTCACAGGTTGTGACCTGTGGGTTGATGGTCACCCATTCTTTGTCCTCTACATTCATCTGGTCTAAAATGTAGTGTGTGATTTCACTGCCACCATCATAGACAGGCTTTTCCCAGCCAAGGGTAATGGAGGTCTTTGTAGAGTCGACTACACGCAGCTTAGATGGCTCTCCAGGCAGATCTGGAGAAGACAAAAGGGCATGAATGTAATAAGCGGTTCCATGTAAAGACCTCAATAATTAAGAAATCCTAAGTGATTGTAAAAGCTTACCGATGGGGTCATAGGCCTTGTAGAGATCAGAGGCCTCAGAGTACTTTCCTGCTCCAGCCTTGTTAACAGCACAAACTCTGTATTGGTACTCATTGTTCTCCACCAGGTTGGTGACTTTCTGCCTTGTGTCTCTGATGGTGCCCTTCACCACCTGGTCATAAAATGGACATTATAATTACTCACGCATGCTAGTCATTAGTTTGGCATCTTTTACACTTGAGCATAAAATCTGTAAAGACTGGTCACAAACAAACCTTGAACCACTGCAGACTCTTCTTCTCCCTCTTCTCTAGGTAGTAGCCATCAATGTCACTGCCTCCATCCAGTGCTGGTCTTTCCCAGATCACTGTCATAGTGGACTTGGTGATCATGGTCACTTTAGGCTTGGATGGCTCACTAGGAGGAACTGTAAAAAAAAAAAAAAAAAAATCCGGTTAGATGAAAAGAACTAATTTTCCATTGTTTGAAAAAAAAAAATCCATTGAGCCATCCACATGTAAATTATATTAAATAACACACTGAAGTGTAGTGACTTTTCAAAAGAAATAATTAGCTCTGGATTGAATGGTAGTTGCTGGTAAGATGGTAGGTTTACTGTGTTTGCTTACCGAATGCGTTCTTTGCAATTATGGGTTCAGACTCCAGTGGGTCTCCGATGCCATACTTGTTGACTCCACGAACTCTGAAGATGTACTCATTGCCCTGGATGAGTCTGGGTACGTTAACAATGCAGTCGACCATTTTCTCTGAGACAACGGACCACATGACCCTGCTGGTCTCCCTCTTTTCCACAATATAATGCGTTACCATGGCACCACCCTCATCAGCAGGCGGGGACCACATGATAGTGATGTTGCTGGCTGTGACCTTCTTAAACTGAATCTCTCCAGCAGGAGGGCCTGGCTTGTCTGGATAAGGGGAGGACATATTGATGTACATCAGAGTCTACACAATATATAATATCAATTTCATGCAAGGCAAAATACTGCCATAAATACAGATGCTAAATAATATCTGAATACCTTGAATGAGCAGCCTGACAACGGCACATGCAGATCCCAGGGAGTTCTTCACCTTGACCTCATATGTTCCAGAGTTCAGACGAGTGGTTTCCCTCAGGAACAAACTGGTGGACTCGAATGTGTGTTTGAAAGTGAGCTGGGCAGTAGGCTCAAGCTCTCTGCCATCCTTAAACCACTCAATTGTAGGAGCAGGTTTGGCTTTGATATTGAACTTGAGCTCCACATTAGACTCAGCCAAGTACTTGACCTCGCTGAAGTACTCTTGAGGTATGTCAATCTCTGGGGCACCTGGATGATAAAGCAAAAAAACAGGCAGGTGAATTCAAACTCTGATAGATGTATGCATCACACATGATAAAACATGATTTACAAAATTGGTGTGGGAAAGTATATTTCCAAAATGTGATTTCCAGTTTCACAATAATGCCATGGACTGTCCAAAATGTAATGTCAATTCTCTGAGGAGTGTGAATGTGCTCAATTTTATGGGAAACAACAGTTTGGGAAAAAAAAAGAAAAAAAAAAGAGACCTACCGTAGGTGTCCACGCATCTGGCTGGCCCAGCAGTCATAGATGGGTTGCTCACTGAGCCAACAGCATTTTTGGCCATGACTCTAAACTCATATGACTCGTCCTGGATTAGGCCAGTCACAGCAAAGCGGGTGTCTGTGACATTGGTGATGTTAGCCTTGGACCACTTAGCACTAACACCCTCTCTCTTCTCAATGATGTAACCAGTGATTGGGGATCCTCCGTCATAGATAGGCTTTTCCCAGGCCAGACTTATGGAGTTCTTGGTGATGTCGCTAATGCGCAAATTGACCGGTGGCTCTGCAGAAACACACAGTGGGAACTCATTATAAAACAGCTGTTGCTAAGAGGTAAAATCAGATTTCCCCAACTTTCATAAAAGGTTTTGACATTCCACTCACCACAGGCATCAATAGCCAGCACTGCATCAGAAACTTTGCTAAAGGCACTGATTCCAGCAGCGTTCTCTGCTGCAACCTTGAACTCATAAATAAGTCCAGGACTGATGCTGGTGACCTTGAAGTGTGTAGCACGGATCACCATTTTGTTGACTCTCTGCCAAAGTATGCTGTTCTTGTCTTTCATCTGGAGATGGTAACCAAACACATGGCTGCCACCATCTGACTTAGGCTCCTTCCAGGCTACAGTGATGCTCTCCCTGGTTACAGCAGTAATCTCTGGAGTTGATGGAGCTTCAGGAATAGCTGAAGATAAGAGTAAGAGTTGAAGAGTGTTAACATGTTCATTGTGACAAACAGAGTTGGAAAAAACAATAATGCTAAGTTTAAAGAGGGAAGCACAACAAAGACCACTCACTGTAAGGAAGGTTGACAGCAACAGTTGGTGAGTCGAGGTGCTCGCTAATTCCATATCTGTTCTCAGCTCTGATTCTGAACTGGTACTCCAGGCCCGTGGTCAGCTTCATGATCTTCATGGTGCAGCGGGCCACAGCAGAAGATACATCCATCCAGTTGGCTGTGGTTGTCTCTCTCTTCTGGATGATGTAATTTGTGATGGGACTACCACCTTCATATGCCGGTGGGAGCCACGTAAGGCTAACGCTGTCTTCTGTAACATCAAACAGCTCCACAGGTCCAACAGGGGCACTGGGGCGGTCCAAAACGATAATATTTATAAAGGATTTAGTGGTTCCACTAGAATTGGAGGCAGTGATATCGTAGCGTCCTGAGTCTCCAGCATTGCTCTCACGCAATGTGATCTTGATGCTGTCAGGGGTAACTTCAGCGTTGAACCTCATTGTTGACTTGAGCAGCACATTATCCTTGGACAGGGAGACTTTAGGCAAAGGCCGGCCTGTCAGTGGGATCTCACATTTAAGGGTGGAGCCAGCTCTGACATACACTGTGTTGTGGGGGAAGTCCTTCATGTTGATCTCAGGAGATTCTGGAGCAAAAAAAGTGACAATGGGAGTTATTGCATGGGAAAGTGGGTGCAATATTGTGCCATTTCACTTAGTTATTTTCTGGTTATATGCAATAACCACAAGTACTGGGTGATGGCTTATTCTATTGCTTATTTTTCTTAGTCCTCACTAATCACATTGTTTAATCTAATAAATCTGTTACTCACCAAGCTGGTCTTTGACCACAACAGGGGTAACCATTTCCTTATAATCACTGAAGCCAGCAAGGTTCTCTGCTCTGACTCTGAAGAAGTACTCAGCATTCTCTCTCAGACCAGACACTGTAAAGTGTGTGAACTTGGTTACACCACACTTAAACCACTTCTCCTGGCCTTTCTCCAGAGCTTCCACCAGGAACCCAGTGACTCTGCTGCCTCCGTCTTGTTCTGGTTTGGCCCAGGCTATGGACACACTCTCCTTGGTCACATCAGTCACACCAAGCTTTGGTGGTGGGCTTGGTTTTTCTGGAGAAAGAGGACATGATGTGTGTTATTCAAATGATCAGGTATTTATCTTTACAACAATACAGATCTATAACGTTACTGACTCAAAATTTAGTACCTGTAATCTTGGTTCCTTCTTTGGTCTCAGCAGAAACACCAACACCATACTCATTCTCGCCTGTCACTCTGAAGAAGTAGACTCCTCCCTCTTGCAGGTCTGTCACCTTGTATGTCAGTCTGTGGCATGTGTCAGTCAACCTTGTCCAACCTTTCTTGCTGGCCTCACGGATATCAATAAGGTAGTTCTTGACTGGTCCTCCTCCTTCATTCTCGGGAGTATCCCAGGTTACAGTAGCGGAGGTCTTGGTTACATCCTTGACCTCTATACTGGCAGGAGGTCCAGGGGAATCTAAGACTCTGACACTGAGTGTCAAGGAGGCAGTCCCTGATACACTGGACAAGGTCACAGTGTATTTGCCGGAGTCATTGCGAGTTGCTTTCTCTAAGGTGATGGAGGTGAAGGTGTCTGTTGTGTCAATGACAGCACGAACTCTAAGGTCAACATCAGGCTTTGTCCAGGTTACACTGGGGATTGGTTTGCCTCTAAATGGCACTGTCATGGTGAATGAGCTCCCATCCTTCACAATAAGAGTCTTCCTCATCTCATTGCTGATGTCAAAGATTGGCTCCTCCTCCTTTTCTTTGGCAACCTGTTTGTCTGACTCAGGACTGGGCTCGCTGATTCCAATCTTGTTAATAGACTCGACAACAAACACATATTCAGCTCCAGGTGTCAGTCCAACCACTGTAAACTCTGTGTTCGTGGTATTCCGGACTCCAACAAACCATTCATCATCTAAAGTCTTCCTGTATCTGACTCTGTAACCAGTCACAGGTGCTCCACCATCAAATAGTGGCTTATTCCATGACAGGGTGACTGTGGTCTTTGTAGAGTCAATGATTTTAGGCTTAGCAGGAGGTGAAGGCAGGAATTGTGGGTCTTCAGCCTTGACAAGTGCGCAAGGGATGCTGGGAGCACTAAGGCCAGCAGAGTTCTCTGCAAACACTCTGTACTCATACTCACAGCCCTCACGAAGGTGTGAGGCTTTGACTCTGAGGTCGTAAACAGGTTTCTTATTGACACGACACCAGCGAAGCCCAGTCTTCTCTCGCTTTTCAATGACATAGCCAGAGATACTGCTGCCACCGTCAGAAACTGGTCTTTCCCAACATATGGTCATTGCCTCACTAGTAACTGAGGTGACCTCAACATTAGTGGGAGCTGCAGGCACAGTGAATGGATCCATTGCCTTTGCTGGCTGACTCTCCAGGGCCTCACCATCCCCATATTTGTTGACTCCCCTGACTCTGAAGATGTACTCATTTCCTTTGAGCAGCTTGGTCACTTTACAGGTGGTTGCCTTCATGTCACCATAGACAAGGGTCCAGGCGAGGCGACTGGTCTCACGTTTCTCAACAATGTAGTGCATGATTTCAGCACCACCATTCTCCTGAGGGGGGCCCCATGTTATGGTGCATTTCTCTGCTGTGAGGCCAGACACTGCCAATGGTCCTGAGGCAGGCCCAGGTCTGTCAAGAACCTTACAGTTGACAGCCACAGACCTGGTTCCTGCCACATTGTGCAGGGTAAGGACATACTGGCCAGAGTCCCTCCTGATAGCATCCCTGACAATAAGTGTGGTTGTGAAGTTGGTAGAGGTGATTTCACACCTAGCCTTGGCCTCAATCTCTTTTCCATCTTTAGACCATGAGACAACTGGGAGTGGACGGCCTGTGATTTCAGCATCAATTCGAATTATCTCTCCAGCCTTAATGACAACAGGCTGTCTGAGCCTATCTTCCAGGATAATAGTGGGAGGGTCTACATCATCCTTGACTGTGATAGGACCAGTGCTCTCTGAGGGAGCACTCAACAGCTCAGCAGAATTCTTAGCAATGACATGGAAGTCATACTGGACATCCTCTGTGAGGCCTGTGACATCGAAGTAGGTGTCTTGCAGGTTGGTGAAGTTGCACTTAAGCCAACGGCCATTGGGAAGTTCTCTACGCTCCACAATGTAGCCTGTTATCTTTACTCCACCATCATACTCTGGCTTCTCCCAAAAGAGGGAAACTGAGTTCCTGGTGATGTTGGTGACTCTAAGATTATGTGGAGATTCACATGGATCCCTGGCTGCCACAGGCTCACTGGGTTTAGTGCATGGACCAATTCCAGCAATATTTTCAGCATAGATTCTGAACTGATACAACAAGCCCTCTTCAGTGCCTGTCATCTTAAACTGGTTCTCAGTCAGCAGACCTCTGTTGAACTTGGTCCACAGGATGCTGCTTTGTTCTTTGCATTCAATGTGATAACCAATTACAGGGCTGCCACCATCACTGGCAGGTCTGCCCCATACCACAAGCATGCCATACTTGGTGGCATGGGAAACATGGACGTTGGTAGGAGGGCCAGGAGGCTCAAAGGGATACTGAGCAATAACAGGAGCAGAGTCAATAGCAGAACTCTTGCCATAGCGGTTCTCAGCTGCAATACGGAACTGATACTCTGTTCCCTGGGTGAGACGTGTCACTTTGATAGATGTCCTGGCTACTGTGGCTGAGACAATCTGCCATGCAGTTGTAGTTGTGTCTCTCTTCTCCACCACATAGTTGTTGATTTGGCATCCACCATCATAAGTTGGTGGATCCCAAGACAGAGAGATGAAATCAGCACTCACTTCATCCATCTTAATGTTGCTGGGTGGGCCAGGTTTGTCCAGGACTATAACAAATATTTCAGCTGTCTTGGTCCCAACTGAGTTTGTCAAAGTAATCTCATACTTTCCTACATCCTCTTTGGTTGCATCCTTAATAACAATCTTGGATGATGTCTTGGAATTAAGAACATTGACCCTGGTTGTCTGCTTAAGTACCTGGCCGTCCTTCTTCCAAGACACGTCAGGTTGAGGTCTGCCTTTGAAAGGAACGTCAATCTTAAGGTCATCTCCTGCTTTTACACTGTATGTGTCATACAACAGGTTGATGATGGGCTGGACCGTGATGTCCCTCACCACCACAGGGGTAGCAAGAGGCTTGGCATCACTCTTGCCCTTATCATTTACAGCAGTAACTCTAAAGGAGTATTCCTCTCCAGTTGCAAGTCCACCAATAGTAGCTTCAAGTGCTTTTACTTCACTGCACACGTTCCATTTGTCATCTCCCTTAGGCTGCATCTCCACAATAAATTTTGTAATCTTGCTGCCTCCATCATGATCAGGTTTCTCCCATGAAAGAGTGACAGTATGTCGGGTCACGTCAACCAGGACAACCTTCCCAGGAGGCAAAGGAGCCTCAGCCACCTTGACTTGATCTGTGAAGGCAGGCAGACCTACTCCCAGCTCATTCACAGCCAGCACACGGAAATAGAATCGACCTCCCTCCTGCAGGTCAGAAATAATGTACGAGTTCCTCACACAGTTGGTGCAAACACTGGTGAAAGCCATTCTCTTTTGCTCTCTCTTCTCCACAATATAGTGTGATATCTTAGCCCCACCATCGATCACAGGGGGCTCCCAGGAGATAGCGACAGAATTTCTCTTCACATCCTTAACTACCAGGTTGGTAGGAGCGCTTGGGGAATCCAGAACTCTGACATTGATGAAGGCTGATTTAGAGCCACTGAGGTTCTCAAGGTTCAGAACATATTTGCCAGTGTCAAATCTATCAACATTCTCAATCACAAGCATTGTGTAAGAGCTTGTGACCTCAATCTGGGCACGCTCATTCAAAGTGCCATCAGCCTTTGACCATCTGACCTCAGGCTCAGGCTTTCCTCTGATTGTTACAAACAGACGCAAAGTGGCAGTGGCGCGAATATTAACCATCTTTCTTAAGTCAGCATCTAGTTCAATTTCAGGAGCCTCCAGCTTTTCTGCAGCAATCACAGAACCAGGTAGGTCCACATGCTCTCCTGCTCCCTCTGAGTTAACAGCAAAGATGCGGAAGTTGTACTCTGCATTCTCCTTCAATGTCTTTACTGTGTAGTGAGTGGTCTGAACACCAGTGGGTGATGTGCAAGATATCCACTCATCATCTCCTGCCTCCTTCCTTTCAACAACATATCCACTGATCTGTGCTCCGCCATCGTAGATAGGCCTGGACCAGGACAGAGAGACTGTGGTGCTCGAATGGTCAGTGACTTTGGGGTTATTTGGAGGACCTGGTGGATAAATGGCATCACAGGCCTTGATGTATTCGGATGGTGCGCTAGGCTTTCCCACACCAGCAGCATTTTCAGCCGAGACCCTGAATTCATAAGAGTGGCCTTCTGTGAGGCCAGCGCATCTAAATCTTAGGTCACTCAGCCTCTTCTTGTTGCACTTGGTCCATCTGATGCCATCCTTATCACGTTTTTCAAGGACATATCCTTCAATCTCAGCTCCTCCATTATTCTCTGGTCTCTCCCATGTAAGCACTATAGAGTCCCTTGTGATAGCGCTGGGCTCTGGGGTGGAGGGGGCACTGGGAGTGGTGAAGGGGTTACGAGCAATAACAGGCTCAGATTCCAAAGGCTCACCAACACCATATTTATTTACAGCTGTGACTCTGAAGATGTATTCATTGCCAGGCAACAGTTTTGTGATTTTGTAGCTGATGGCCTGGATCTTGGGCTCAACCATGGTCCATGACAAACGACTGGTCTCTCTCTTCTCAATAATGTAGTGAGAGATAGCAGCTCCACCATCGTGTGAGGGATGGCTCCAGTGCAGATAACATTTCTCGGCTGTGACCCCCTTGACTTCTAGTGGGCCATCAGGAGGTCCGGGTCTATCCAGAACTTTAACATTAACTGGGATCATTTTGACTCCTCCCACATTGACAAGTTTGAGAGTGAAATGACCACCATCCACTCTGATGCAATCCTTGACTGTTAGGATGGTACGTGTAAGTGTGGTCTTGACCTCCATTCTTGGTGTGGTTTTGTCAATCTCCTTTCCGTCCTTTAACCAAATGACTTCAGGTAGAGGCTTGCCAGTGTAGTCAGCATCAATGACAAAAGTCTCACCAGCATTAACAACAGTCGTATCCTTGAATTTAGAATCCAAAGTGGCCTCCGGAGCCACAATTTCATCTTTGGCTGTGATTTCTCCTGTGCTCTGAGAGGGACGGCTGGAAATGCCAGCAGCGTTCCTGGCAATGACTCTGAATTCATAAACACAGTCCTCAGTCAGGCCAGTGAGTGTGTACTGCGTATCAATGATGTTGGTGAAGCTGGCCTTCATCCAGCGGGTATCTGGGTGCTTCCTCCTCTCGATCAAATAGCCAGTGATTGCACTGCCTCCATCATACTGAGGCCTAGTCCACTGAAGTGTTACAAGATTTCTGGTGATATTAATAGCCTCAGGAGTGCCTGGTGGGTCACAGGGGTCCCTGGCTACTGTGCTCTCAGAGACCTTGCTAGCTGGGCTAAGTCCAGCAATGTTCTCAGCATAAACTCTGAATTCATACTCAATACCTTCTTCTAGCTCTGTAGTCTTGAAACGTGTTTCTGGGATTAAAAGCTTATTGAGTTTGGTCCACAAAAGGCTGTTCTTTTCTTTTCTCTCAAGGTGATAGCCTATGATGGGGCTGCCTCCATTGTTGGTGGGAGGTTTCCACTCAACAACCATGTTATCCTTGGTTGCAGCAGAAACAACTGGTGTTCCTGGGGCCGCAGGCTCACTGAATGGATACTGAGCAATAACAGTGGGAGAGACAATGGCAGAACTCTTTCCATATCTATTCTCAGCAGACACTCTGAATTGATACTCAGTGCCAGTCTTCAAGTTAGTGACTTTGATAGTTGACCTGGCAATAGTAGCAGACACAATCTGCCATGCAGTCGTGGTGGTGTCTCTCTTCTCCACAATGTAGTTGTTGATCTGACAGCCTCCAGTATACTCTGGTGGCTCCCAGGAGAAAGTGACAAAATTAGAGCTCACCTCCTCAATCTTCACAGGGCCTGTGGGTGGGCCAGGCTTATCAAGAATGATGACAGTGATCTCCTCTGTTGCTGTTCCAACACTGCTGGTGGCGGTGATGGTGTATTTACCAGAGTCTTCCCTATTTGCATCCTTGATGGCCAGCTTAGTAGATGATGGTGTACTGGATACATTTAGTCTGGTTGTCTCCTTAATAGCCTGCCCATCCTTCTTCCATTCAACTTTGGGAACAGGGCGTCCAATCACTGGAATCTCAATCTTCAGATCCTCACCATTCTGTATACTGTAAGTGTTGAATGTCATCTTGAATCTGGGCTCAATAGTTACGTCTTTAGCTGTGACTGGGGCAGCCAGAGGCCTGGGGTCACTCTTGCCCTTCTCATTGAAAGCTGACACTCTAAACAGATACTCATGGCCTGGGCTAAGGCCTGTAACAGTGCCGTCGCAAGTTTTGGTTGTGGCGGCCACCACCCATTCCTCTGAACCCACAGGCTGCATCTCAATGTAGTAGCCCATGATCCTGCTGCCTCCATCATGGTCTGGCTTCTCCCAAGAGAGTGAGGCAGATTTTTTGGTCACTTCAGTCAAAGTGACCTTACCCACTGACAGAGGAGGCTCAGAGGTCTTAACTGAGTCCTCTGTCTCAGCTGCCTGTCCCACACCAAACTCATTCTCCGCTAAGACTCTGAAATAGTAGATAGTTCCCTCAGTGAGGCCAGTGACACGGTAGCTTGTCTTTGTGCACTTGTTGTCCACATTAGAATAAACTGTTCTGGTAGACTCGCGCTTTTCAACCAAGTAATTCTTGATTCTTGCACCACCATCAATAAGAGGAGGCTCCCAGGTCAGAGTGACACTTTCTCTCTTAATATCTTTAACTGTTAGATTCAGAGGAGCCCCTGGAGTGTCAAGAACTCTAACTGAGACAAAGGCTGATTTGGTGCCAGCACTATTTTCCAATTTGAGGATGTATTTTCCAGCATCATATTTGTCACAGATGTCGATGGAGAGCTGTGTATATTCTTCACCACTCTCTATCTGAACTTTAGTGGGCAGTTCTCCATCCTCCTTGGCCCAGGTGATCTCAGGAGTAGGACGGCCCTTGAATGGAATGCAGATTCTCATTGAGCCTCCTGCACGGACAACTATTCCCTTCCTGAGCTCTGAATCTAAAATCATCTCTGGAGGATCAATCTTATCCAAAGGTTTCACAACTCCCTCGAGCTCAGTGGGCTCACCAACACCAAGCTTATTGATGGCACATATGCGCACCTTGTATTCCTGGTGCTCTATCAACTTTTTGATGGTAAACTTGGTTGCATTAACTCCCATGGGTGGGGTGCATATGGTCCACTCCTCCTCATCAGCCTTGGTAATTTCCACTGCATATCCTTGAATCTCACAACCACCATCATAGATAGGCCGGTGCCAGGCTACAGTGATGGTGTCTTTGGCCGTGTCGACCACATGGACATTGGAAGGACAACCAGGTTCAAAGCTGGGGTCACAGGCTTTGAGGTATGGTGTAGGTGGGCTTGGTTGACCCACTCCAGCAGCATTCTCAGCAGATACCCTGAATTCATACTCATGGTCCTCAGTCAGTCCTGTTACTCTGAAACGCAAGTCTGTCACTCTGCGTTTGTTGCACTTGGTCCATCTCACTCCAGCTCTGTCTCTCTTCTCAACAATATAACCAACAATCTCACTGCCTCCAGTGGTCTGAGGGCGGTTCCAGCAGACAGTCATGGAGTCCCTAGTAATGTTGGTGATCTCCAACTCCTGAGGTGAGCCAGGAGGAACAAACGGATTTCTCATGATAACTGCTGCTGACTCAAGAGGCTCGCCCACACCATATTTGTTAACAGCCATGACTCTGAAGATGTACTCATTGCCCTTCAACAGTTTGGTAACCTTAATCATGGTAGCTCCACAATCACTGGAGACCACAGTCCATGCCAAGCGACTGGTTTCTCTCTTCTGAATGATGTAGTGAGAAATGCTAGCTCCTCCATCGTGCCTGGGAGGCAGCCATGACAGTGAACACTTCTCCTCAGTGACATTGCTGACAGTAATAGGTCCCTCTGAGGGGCCTGGTCTATCCAGGACCTTTACACTGAATGGAACAGTCTTAGTTCCAGCCACATTAGTTAGAACCAGCGTGTACTGTCCACCATCCACTCTGATGGCATCCTTCACAACCAGCAAAGCCTTGAAATCTGTATTTTTGATCTCAGCTCTTGCTGAGTTTTCAACTTCAACATTTCCCTTGAACCACTGAGCTGTGGGGATGGGCTTTCCTTCCACACTGGCCTCCAGACTGAAAGTCTCTCCAGCATTGATAACAATGGTCTGGTTGTACATAGGATCTGTCTCACACTTAGGTGGGTCAACTTCATCCTTGGCTGTGATGGATCCTGTGCTTTCTGAGGGCTTGCTGACAGCACCGGCTGCATTCCTTGCAATTACTCTGAAATCATATTTACTGTCTTCTGCCAGGCCAGTAACTGTGAATTCATGTTCAATGACGTTTGCAAAGCTGGCCTTCATCCACTTTCCTTCAGGAAGGTCACGTTTCTCCACTACATAGCCAGTAACCAAGCTTCCACCATCATACTCTGGAGGGGTCCATCTCAGCTTCACTGAGTGCCTGGTCACAATCACAGCATCAGGACGGCCAGGAGGATAACATGGGTCGCGGGCTACATACACTTCAGAGACTTTGCTGCATTTTCCAATGCCAACAATATTCTCTGCATAAACTCTGTACTCATACTCAATGCCTTCCTCAAGAGGAGTAGATTTGAACCTGCAATCTTGGATGAGCATTTTGTTGATCTTGGTCCAGAGGATACTGTTCTTCTCTTTCCTCTCCAGATGATAGCCTAAAATGGCACTGCCTCCATCAGATGGGGGTTTGTGCCACTCAACCACCATATAGTCTTTAGCATATGAAGCTACAAATGGTGTTCCTGGTGGGCCAGGCTCCTGGAATGGGTACTGTGCCACAACAGGCTCTGAATCAATTGCATAACTCCTTCCATATCTATTCTCAGCATAGATTCTGAACTGGTATTCACTGCCTGTCTTCAGATTGGTCACTTTTAGTGTGGTTCTGGCCACAGTGGCAGATACAACCACCCAGTTGGTTGTGGTTGTATCTCTCTTCTCAACCACGTAATTGGAGATTGGGCAGCCACCTGTATATGTAGGAGAATCCCAGCTAAGAGTAATACTCTCAGCACTGATGTCCTCCAATTTGACAGGGCCTGTTGGTGGACCTGGTTTGTCCAGGGTGATCACTTCAATTGTAGCATCCTTGGAACCCAGGGCATTGGTAACACTGATGCTGTACATGCCTCCATCCTCCTTGGTAGCGTCCTTTATGGTGAGAGTGGTGAGACGTGGTGAGTCAGTGACATTGACTCTGGTGGTTTGCTTGAGAGCTGCTCCATCCTTGGTCCAAGTGATGGTTGGTTTTGGATGACCAGCAACTGGGACCTCTATCTTGAGATCATACCCCACCTGGACATGGTAGGTGCTCATTTTGGGTCTAACAGCAGGCTCAATCACAAGGTCCCTTGCTACAACTGTTTGAACCAGTTGTCTGGGGTCACTTTTACCTTTGTCATTTACAGCAATAACTCTGAACTGATACTCCTCTCCCTTAAGTAGATTTGTCACTACAGCTTCCAGTGCCTTCCCACTAGCGCACACAGACCAAGTTTCACTGTCCTTAGGTGCCAGTTCAATTTCATAGTAACTGATCCTACTGCCGCCATCATGCTCAGGCTTCTCCCAGCTTAGAGTTACAGAGTTACGAGTGACGTCAACAACACTGACTTTACCAGGTGGCTGAGGCTTTTCAGATATCTTAATTGGTTCTGTAGTTTTAATGGGGAGACCCACACCATATTCATTTTCAGCAAGGACTCTGAAAAAGAAGATTCCACCCTCTGGAAGAGGCTCAACTTTCCATGACATCCTGTTACAGGTGGTAACTGGAGAATAAACTTTCCTAGTGCTCTCACGCTTTTCAACGATATAATGCTTTATCTTTGAGCCACCATCCAGAAGTGGAGGCTCCCATGTGAGACTGACAGAATTCTTTGTAATCTCTTTCACCAACAAGTTAGTTGGTGAACTAGGTGCGTCCTGGACTCTGACACTGATAAAGACTGACTTCACTCCGCTGGCATTCTCTGCAGTCAGGGTGTACTTGCCAGTGTCAAATATGTCAACATTCTCAATGACAAGTGAAGCATAGTTGCCCGTACAGTCAATCTGAGCAGTCTCCTTAATCTCGCCCTCAGCCTTGCCCCATTTCACCTCAGGAGCTGGGCGACCTCTCACAGGAACAAACAACCTGAGAGTACTTGCTGCTTTTATGTTGATCATCTTTCTCATATCAGCATCCAGGTCAAGATCGGGAGCCTCAAGCTTCTCCTCCAGTAGAATTTTTCCTGGAACATCAGCATGCTCTCCAACACCAACTTTGTTGATGGCACACACTCTGAATTGGTACTCGTGCTTCTCAAGAAGCTTTTTAACTGTAAACTTAGTGTCCTTGATGCCAGTTGGAGGAGTGCACATAAACCACTCATCAGTTACTGTATTGCAGGCCTCAACAATGTAACCCTGAATCTCACAACCACCATCATAGATAGGTTTGCCCCATGTCAGGGAAACAGTGGACCTAGATGTGTCCACCACCTTGGGGTTGTTTGGTGGACCTGCTTTGAAGATAGGATCCAATGCTTTGTAGTACACTGTTGGTGCACTAGGTGTGCCAACACCTGCAGCATTTTCAGCAGCAACTCTGAATTCATAGCTGTGGTTTTCTAGGAGGCCTGTTACTCTGAAGCGCAGCTCACTCACTGTGCGCTTATTGCATCTAGTCCATCTCACACCGTCCTTGTCACGTTTCTCAACAATGTATCCCTGGATAGGACTGCCACCATCATTAGTTGGTCTCTCCCAGGTCACTACCATGGAGTCTTTGGTGATTGTGGAGACTTCTACCTCTGTTGGTGGGCTGGGAGTGACAAATGGATTTTTGGCAACCATTGACTCAGATTCCAGAGGCTCACCAACTCCATATTTGTTGACAGGAATCACTCTAAAGATGTACTCATTACCAGGAAGAAGTTTTGTGATCTTCAGGTTTAGTGTCTGAACTTTTGGTTCAACTACTGTCCATACTAGTCGGCTGGTTTCCCTTCTCTCAACAATGTAATGGGAAACATCGCTACCTCCATCTTGCAAGGGAGGTTTCCAGGCAATGGAGCATTTCTCACTGGTGACCCCATAGATGGAGACAGGGCCTTCAGGGGGACCTGGTCTGTCCAGGACCTTTACATTAATGTTAATAGATTTCTCTCCTCCAACATTCTTTATGAGTAAAGTGTACTGACCTCCATCAACACGGATAGCTTCTTTAACAACTAGACAAGCTGTAAAGTCTGTGTTCTTGAGCTCTAAGCGAGCTGCTTCAGTAATTTCTTGGCCCTCCTTCAGCCAGTGTACTGTGGGCACAGGCTTACCATAGATAGCAGCCTCAAGCCTAAATGTCTCTCCAGCGTTTACCACCACAGCCTGGGAGTACTTAGTATCTAAGTCAATCCTGGGTGGATCCACCTCATCCTTGGCAGTGATGGCTCCAGTAGAATCAGATGGCTGGCTGAAGACACCTGCTGCATTTCTGGCGATGACACGGAACTCATAAATCTGATCCTCAGTAAGTCCTGTGACAACAAATTCTGTATCTAAGATGTTGGTGAAACTGGCCTTCATCCATCGGCCAGCTCCTTCCTTTTTCTCAACCACATAGCCTGTGATCTTGATGCCTGCATCGTATTCAGGTTTAGTCCATCTGAGTGTCACTTGGTTTCTTGTGACAATCACAGCTTCTGGTTTTCCTGGTCTGTTACAAGGATCTCTGGCCACTTGCATTTCACTCACTTTGCTGGCTTTGCTGACACCAACAATGTTCTCAGCATAGACTCTGAACTCATAATCGATACCCTCCTCAAGGCCAACAGCCTTAAATCTGGTCTCTGGGATAAGTTGTTTATTCTGTTTCACCCACAGTATACTGTTTCTCTCTTTAAGCTCCAAGTGGTAGCCCAGAATTTTGCTTCCACCATCATTGCTAGGTTTCTCCCATACAACCACCATACTCTCCTTGGTGACTGACTGGACCACAACAGAACGTGGTGAGCTAGGTACTTCAAATGGATACTGAGCAACAATGGTATCAGAAACCAGCACTGAGGACTTGCCATATCTATTCTCTGCAGCAATTCTAAACTGGTACTCAACTCCAGTCTTAAGACGGGCTGCCTTGATAGTGGTTCTGGCCACAGTAGCTGAGACAATCTGCCAGTTAGTGGTAGATGTGTCTCTCTTTTCAACAATGTAATTGTTGATAGCACAACCACCGTCATACTCTGGTGGATTCCAGGAAAGGACCACACTGTCAGCAGTGACTTCATCCAACTTAATTGGGCCAGTTGGGGGTCCAGGCTTATCTAGAACAACAACACTGATGTCTGTTGATGCTTCTCCAGCTATATTGTTCAGTTTGACAGTATATGTGCCCACATCATCTCTGCAAGCATCCCTAATAACCAGGAGAAGGTTTTTGTCAGTGGCTTCAGCATTAACTCTTGTTGTCTCCTTGAGAGCAACACCATCTTTGAGCCAAGTTGCTGTAGCCTTGGGACAGGCAACATATGGTACATCTATCTTCAGATCATCTCCTGCTAGCACACTAAATGTGCTGAAAAGAAGTTTGAAGGTTGGTGAGATGACTAGGTCTTTAGCCACAACAGGCACATTGAGTGGACGTGGGTCACTAACTCCCTTTTCATTGGCGGCTGAGATACGGAACATGTACTCCTCTCCCCGTGTAAGGCCAGTTACAACAGCCTCATTGGTCTTTACCACCATGACCTGGGTCCATTTCTCACTGCCTTTACCCTGCATTTCAACAATGTACCCTGTGATTCTGCTGCCACCATCATGGTCAGGCTTTTCCCAAGTTAGTGTGACGCTGGAGCTGGTAACTTCACGAACGGACACTTTGCCTGGTGGTAGAGGTTTCTCAGACACTTTAATTGGTTCAACAGTCTCTACTGGGAGGCCAATGCCAAATTCATTCTCAGCCAGGACTCTGAAAGAGTACATCTTTCCTTCCTCCAAGTTACCAACCTTCCAACTAGACTTAGGGCAGCTGGCACAGACTGTTGAGTAGGCCTTTCTGGTTGACTCACGCTTCTCAACAATGTAGCTGCGGACCCTGGAGCCACCATCAATGAGAGGTGCATCCCAAACAAGGGAAACTGAATCTTTGGTGACCTCCTTGACAATCAGGTTCTGTGGTGCTCCGGGAGTGTCTAGCACCCTGACATTAACAAAGGCTGATTTACTTCCCGAGGCATTCTCCACAGTCACTATGTATTTACCTGCATCAAATCTGTCAACATTGTCTATCTGAAGGGTGGTGAATGATGAAGTGATTTCAATGTTAGCTCGGTCCAGAGATTCTCCATGCTCTCTTGACCATTTAACTTCAGGTACTGGTCTACCCTTAATGGGAACAAAGAGTCTGAGTGTGCTACAGGCTCGGATGCAGACCACCTTACGCAGCTCTGCTCCAAGTTCAATTTCTGGAGGAAGCAATCTGTCTTCAGCCTTAGGGGTTCCAGGAACAGCAGCAGGCTCTCCCACTCCCTCACAATTAGTGGCACAGATGTTGATTTTGTACTCCTGGTTTTCTTTCAAGTTGGTGATGGTAAAGGAAGTGGCTACCCATCCCTTTTTGGGAGTGTGAATAGTCCACTCATCCTCCTCAGGAAGGCAGGTCTCCACTATGTAACCAGTGATTTCTGAACCGCCATCATAGACAGGTTTGTTCCAGGCAAGGGTAATGGAAGACTTGGTTGTGTCAAGAACTCTGGGATTCCCTGGAGGTCCAGGCTGGAAGATGGTGTCCTCAGCTTTGTAGAATGGACTCGAAGGACTAGGCTGGCTTAGACCAGCATTATTCTGTGCAAAAACTCTGAATTCATACTCATGTCCAGGTGTGAGGCCAGAGGCCTTGAATCGCAGGTCAGTTACAGTCCTCTTGTTGCACTTTACCCAGCGCAGGCCAGTCTTATCCCTTCTCTCAATTATGTAGGTGTTTATACTGCTGCCTCCATCGTGTTCAGGGCGCTCCCAGCAGACAACCATGGAGTCCTTGGTAATGGTGGTAACTTCAGGCTGCTGTGGTGGGTCACTGGGGACATAGGGGTTGGTACAAATGATAGGTTCAGACTCCCGGGGTTCACCTACACCATACTTGTTAACAGCCATGACTCTAAAGATGTACTCATTGCCCTTCAGAAGCTTGGTGACCTTGAACCTGTTTGCCTGAAGGTCTGTGGCCACATTTGTCCATGCCAACCTACTGGTCTCACGCCTCTGAATGATAAAGTATTCGATCTTGGCACCACCATCATGTGTTGGATGCAGCCAGTTAAGGACGCATTTCTCAGCAGTGACGTCAGTAACAGTGAGGGAGTCTGGTGGTCCAGGTCTGTCGAGCACCTTGACATTAAAGGTGAACTTTGCAAAGCCACCGGGATTGCTGGCAGTCAGAGTATAAGCACCTCCATCTCTTCTCAGGGAATCTTTGTTTACCAGAGTTGTGTGGAAGTCTGTTGTCTTTATCTCTATCTTGGCTGTATCCTCAAGCTCCTTTCCTTCCTTGGTCCATACCAGAGATGGGAGGGGCCTGCCAGTCACACTGGCCTCCAGCTTGAATACCTCTCCTGCCATGACAATAACATTGCTGCTATACAATGCGTCAACATCAAGCCTGGGCTCTTCAAGGTCATCTCTGCATGTGATTGCCTCTGATGGCTGGGATGGAGCACTAACAGCACCAGCTGAATTTCTAGCAAACACACGGAATTCATAAGTTGCATCTTCGGTCAGACCACTGACTGTGTAGATGGTTTCTAGGATGTTGTTGAAGTTGGCTTTGAGCCAGCGTCCATTGGGCATCTCTCTCCTCTCTATTGTGTATCCAGTGATGGAAAATCCACCATCTCCCTCTGGTTTGGTCCATGACACTGTCACCTCATGTCTGGTAATATTCAATGCCACAGGCCTGCCTGGTGCGTCAACTGGGTCCAAAGCATACATAGGCTCAGAGGGTTTGCTTGGTTTGCTGAGACCGGCCATGTTTTCAGCAGTAACACGGTGTTCATATGCAATTCCATCAACAAGGCCTGTTGATTTGAAGATATTTCCGATAACAAGAGCTTTGCTGATCCTCTGCCATAGAATGCTGTTTTTCTCTTTTCTGTCCACATGATAGCCAAGGATGGGACTGCCTCCATCAGAGGAAGGCTCATTCCAGCTCAGAGTCATAGCATCCTTGTTAAAAGATGTGACCACAGGAATGCCTGGCTGGCCTGGCACATCAAATGGATAGGCAGCAACCACTGGCTCAGAGATAATGCTTGGTCCAATGCCATATCTGTTCTGGGCCTTGACACGGAACTGATATTGAGTTCCAGTATTGAGCCTGGCTGCTTTAAATGTGGTGCGGATTACTGTAGCTGCCAACTCCACCCAGGAAGTACCAGTAGTCTCCCGCATCTCAACAATATAGTTGTTGATGGGAACACCGCCATCACTTTCTGGTGCCTCCCAGGATATGAGAGCATAATCACAGGAGACCTCTTCCAGCTTGATGGGACCAGTGGGAGGACCTGGAATGTCATGGACCAGGACTGTGATCGTCTCAGTCACTGTACCCAGCATGTTCTTTCCAGTCATAGAATACTGGCCTGCATCAGTCCTCTTGATCTCATTAATGTTGAGGATAGTCGATGTTGGTGTGACTTCAGTGTTGATTCTCTGTGTCTCCCTGAGTGCTATGTCTCCCTTCTTCCAGGAAACCACAGGTCTGGGTTTGCCCAGCACTGGAATCTCCACCTTGACACGGTCCCCTGCCTTGACAATAACCGTCTTCTGATAGACTCCACGCAAGTCAAATGAAGGAGGAGAAGTCTGCTCTTTGATAATAGCAGGCCTGCTTTCACGTGGGTCGCTCCTGCCTGATGCATTGACAGCCATTATGCGGAAGGTATATTCTGCACCCTCAATCAGATCTGTTACAATGTAGTCCAGAGCCTTTATGGTGGCCACATGGACCCACTGGTCAGTATCCTTCTTCTGGGCCTCAATGACGTATCCAGTGATCAAGCTGCCACCATCATGCAAGGGCTTGGTCCATGCCAGGCTGGCACTGTCAGCTGTCACATCTGTGACGTACAAGTTTTCTGGTGGAGATGGGGCCTGGGACACCCTGATTGGCTCAGGGGATTCAGCGGGCTCGCCTACACCCAGGTCATTTTCAGCAGAGATACGGAAATAGTAGTAAGCTCCCTCCTCAAGGTCTGTAAACTTGAAGGAACACTTCTGCCATGTAGTGCTAAGCACTGTGTAGGCTTTCTTGGTAGCCTCTCTCTTTTCAATAACATAGTTCTTAATCTTAGAACCACCATCGATTATAGGGATTTCCCACTGGAGGGTGATGCTGTTCTTGGTGATCTCTCTCGGCTTGACGTTGACTGGTGGTCCTGGAGTGTCCAAAACTCTCACATTAACAAAGCCGGTTTTCTTTCCAGCAACATTCTCCAGACACAGGTTGTATTTTCCAGCATCGTATCGAGTGCAGTCAGGAATAACCAGTAGAGTGTAGGACTCTGTGGTGTCAATATGTGCACGTGTTTTCAGGTTGGTATCATCTTTGCTCCAGGTTACTTCAGGAACAGGACGACCCTTGATGGGAATAAACATACGGATTGAAGCACGGCACCTGACCACCAGGGTTCTCCTTAATTCAGCATCCAGCTCAAAGTCTGGCAAAGACTCCTGGTCCACCAGTTCAGTCACTTTCTCAATCTCTGCAGGTTCGCCAACGCCCTCTGAGTTTATAGCGCTGACCCTGAAATGGTATTTGCCTCCTTTTTGAAGTTTACCAATAACATATTCAGTATTTTTTACTGGATACTGTGTCTCCACTTCCCAGTCATCATGTCCCTCCTTTTTGTACTCAACAATATATCCCTCTACATCAAGACCACCATCATAGTGGGGTTTGCCCCAGGCGAAGGTAGCTGTGGTTCTTGTGGTGTCTGTAATTCTGGCGTTGGATGGAGGACCAGGTGGATCTAATGAGCAAAAAAAAAACAAAACAGGAGTTTAAAAAAGTTAGTGGGCACCTCTTTACAAAGATGCATGATGTTTATTTTTTGACTTCTTTGCATTTGCAACTCTCCTGTTTACAAATGTAACTGAGAAGTCCAGTTTTACTTACACACAATGTCCTTGGTCATCACAGGGTGTGTGGGCTCACTTGGCTCCCCAAATCCAGCCTTGTTCTCAGCAGTGACTCTAAACTCATACTCTACTCCCTCAGTTAGGCCCTGCACCTTAAAGCGAAGGTCAGGGATTGTCCTCTTAGAGGCTCTCACCCATCGCATTCCTTTCCTCTCTTTCCTCTCGACACAATATCCTCTAATGTCACTTCCTCCATCCTGTACTGGTCTCTTCCATGAAATGGTGACCGCGTTCCTACTGACGTTATCAATCTCTGGGACTGAGGGTGGGCCTGGTGGGCCTGGGGAAACAAAGCAACATTTTGGTCAGTTATGCCTTGAACTATTAAATTCTCCAGCTTAAAGGATTTTTACAATCTTAAGGTGGTCTGGAAATACTATAAAATTACAATCATTTATGAACAACAAAAAAACTTACTGAAACTGTCAACCATTTTGATTGGACCAGACTGGCTTGAGTCTCCGATGCCATACTGGTTCACAGCAAACACCCTGAAGATGTACTCATTGCCCTTGATCAGTTTGTGGGCTACATGTCTGCAGTCCACAATGTTTTCAGCTAACTTGGTCCACTGCAGGCGGCTGGTCTCTCTCTTTTCAAGGGTGTAGGACTTGATAGCGGAGCCTCCATCCTCCTCTGGTGGAAGCCAGGTCAGAGTACACTTCTCAGCTGAAATGTTACTGGCTTCGATGGGGCCTGGAGCTCCAGGCACATCAAGGACCTTCACCTTTACATGTTCTTCCTTAATGCCAAAGGGATTGCTGGCAGTGATGGTGTATTCTCCTGTGTTCTTCCGGCTTGCGTACTTGATAGCAAGAGTGGAGGAGGTTGGGGTGCTAGTGATGGTGACAACGTCAGAGGTCTTGAACTCACGGCCTCCCTTCGACCAGACAGCAGTGGGTGGAGGTTTGCCCACAATCTTGGAGGCTGAGATCACAATGGTGTCTCCTGCCTTGACTGATACACCGTCCTTCATGTCTGGGTCAATGGTGATGGTCGGTGGCTCTGCAAAGAGGATGGAAGAAAGTTGCATTATAACTGTCTACAGAACTCATAAAGTCAACTTAATGACAATATGAATTTCAAGACCTGATATCTGTAAAAGTAAAATAAAATGATTTGAAGGACCTGCATTCACAAATGTTTTAACTGCTGAACTACCCCACTTAGCTTACCATACTCATCCTTGCAGGTCAGAAGCTCAGTAACCTCTGAGGGAGGACTGATAGATCCGGCAGAATTCTTGGCCCTTATCCTGAACTGATACTGAGCTCCGTCTGTCAGGTCACTGACAGTGAAGGCACAAATCTGGATGTTAACATGATTGGCCTTCATCCAGGTCTTGCCGCCAGCCTCCAGCTTCTCCACCATGTAGCCAGTCAGCTTGTGGCCACCATCATATTTGGGAGCAGTCCATATCAGAGTGACTGTGGTCCTGGTGACATTAATCACTTCAGGCTTGCCAGGAGGATCTAACAGGACACAAAGTCAATGTGTTACAGAAAACATAAGACATGCTTTAAAAACATACTTTCCATTCAAGTATTCATACTATTGCAATAAAAACTGGAGCGTTGCCAAAGCAGAATTTAGTTTTCACATTAGGGAAAAACAATCTGTGAAAGCAGTAAACTCACCGATAGGATCAAGGGCAACCACAGCCTCAGTAACCCTGCTTGGCTTTCCTAAGCCGGCCATGTTCATGGCCATCACCCTGAACTCATACTCTAGTCCCTCGATCAGGCCAGTAACTCTGCACTCCTTCAGTCTCAGAGGAGTCTTAGTGGCCCGCTTCCACATCAGACTGTTCCTCTCCTTGAACTCCACATGATATCCTACAGAGAATACAAAAATCTGTTGGTCATGCTGTTTGCTATGAGCTTACAATTAACTAAAAACTGATAGGTTTAGTTCACAGTCTGTTACCAGTAACTGGGGAGCCACCGCTGTCCTTTGGATCAGCCCAAGTCAAGATGGCTGACTCATTGCGGATGCTCGCTATTTCTGGAGGAGCAGGTGCCCCAGGCACATCTGGAGGAAGCAGAGAAAGAGACAGGAGTGGAAAGGTTAAGAGAGGAGAAATTAAACTTACAAAGCTTGTGTGAGATGGGGTTGACTTCTTTAGAAGTAAAACACAGTAATTAGTAACAGAAAGGCTTTAAAAGAAATGTGACATGTTAAATTGTAATAAACCATTTAACTAGCATTAATTAGAGGCGTGATACTCACCAAATGGATGCTGGGCAATGACTGGGTCAGACCTCAGATACTCTCCAACTCCATACTTGTTCTCAGCAAACACTCTAAAGATGTACTCTATTCCCTCATGGAGCCTGATCACCCTCATGGTGGTCTTCTGAATAGCTGAAGCCACTGTGGCCCACTTGTTGTCTGTTGTCCTCCTCTTCTCCACAATGTAGTTGGACACTTCTGCACCACCATCATCTGCAGGCGGTCCCCACTCCAGGGTCATGGCATCGGCAGTGATCTCGTCAAACTTAATGGGTCCAGTACAGATGCCAGGCTTACCAACCACCTTCAGCTGGAACTTGCAGTCCTTGGAGCCAGCGCTGTTCTTGACATTGATGGTGTAGGTCTCGGCATCTCCTCTCTGGCAGTCTCTGATCAGCAGAGTGGTGACACCATGGGATGCCTCCACGCACATTCGGCCAGTGTCGCCAAGCCCCACGTCGCCCCTCTTCCAGGTAGCAGTGGGGAGAGGTATTCCAATAAGGGGGATGTTGATGCGCGTGGTGCTACCCTCCTTCACCACGTAGCAACCGTCATGTAGATTACTCAAGTTGCAGTCAGGCAGCACTGAAATCCAAAGGAGTTTGCTTAACAGAAAATATTTATAAAGAATTTTATGGTCTCACAAAAATATATACTAAACTAAAACAATAGGTGTTTTGGGACTGGAGAAACTCTTTCATAGTTCTAAGAACCCCCCTTTTTTGTTGTGTCCGCACCGCAAGTACTAGCAACAAACATAGTTCTTGGAACATTGTTTTGAGAGACACTTTTAGCTTCTAATTCAGTGTAGATACTCTCCCAGCACAAGAGGAACCATGAGTGATGTAAATGTATGGTTATTGGATCCAACACAACCGATGCAGCACGGGTAACCACCATTTTAAAAAACCCGAAAGCCATGTAAAAAAACAGACAACACAAAAAACACAATTCTGACTCTTAAAAAACAAAAGTGACATTGCTATACCAACTGCTGGTCAGCTTACAGTATGTCACTTAAAAGAATACTCCGACGATTTGGGAGTTATGCCCTTTTTCTATCATTTTCATAGTGAGACAACATGATCAAAATCTTTTTTGTGTCTCTATGTAGGGTGGCTAGGTCTCAGCGGTTAGCATTGCGGCTTAGCTTAGCAAATACAATTGAAGTCTATAGTGGGTCAGCAGCCTACAGTAAAAGTGAACAAATAAACGTTACAGAAACCCTGAAGCTGGCATTTCCGCAGTGTAACAAACTTCTTCTAAAATGGCTAAAAAGGACTCTTGTTTTCGAATTAATGTTTAAACGTGTTTATTTTAAATGCACGTGTAGAAATAAATGCGTATGCTGTAAAGCCCTGTGAGGCAAATTGTGATTTGTGATATTGGGCTTTATAAATAAAATTGATTGATTGAAATTGAAAATTGAAATACCAGCTTCAGGGTTTCTGTAACATTTATTTGTTCACTTTTACCGAGTGGGTTACTGACCCCCTATAGACTTCAATTGTATTTGCTAAGCTAAGCCGCAATGCTAACTGCTGAGACCCAGCCACTGGACGTACAGACACAAAAAAGATATCGATCATGTTGTCTCAATATGAAAATGATAGAGAAAGGGCCTAACTCCCAAATCGTCGGAGTATTCCTGTAAGGGTTCCTATTAGTGGTGCGAATGCAAACAGAAAAAAAACCCTTGATGGTATGTAGCTCTCAGAGGAACTCCCCAGTGGACAGTTCCTCTCAGGGAGTCCCCAGAACTGTATGGTCCAACAACACCTAATATCTGGCATGATGACAGAGTCGGGCTGATTTCTTACCAAACTGGTCCTTGGCGACGACAGCAAGCTCAGTGGGTGGTCCCTCTCCGGACTCATTGAGTGCCTTGACTCTGAACAAGTACTCCTTGCCCTCAGTCAGCTCGCTGATGGTGTGTGTGGTGTTCTTTCCCTTCATGATTTGTTTCCACTTCTCCTCGCCTTCGCTCTGCTCCAGGATATAAGCAGAAACGTAGCTTCCTCCATCGCTGATGGGCTTCTTCCAGGCCAGGACAATCGAGTTCTTGGTGGTCTTCTTGGCTTTGAAATCCATCACTGGACCAGGTTGCTCTGAAGGAGGAGGACAGATGGGTTCAGACTCAACATGTGGTTTGCGTTAAATGAGATGTGTTTAATGTAACTGATGCAATTTGATGCATCTTGGTCTTGGCCACTGATCTCTTAGATCGAGTTCTGACTGTGTTGTTTTTCCACTTGTTGTCAGGACAACAGCTACTACTAAGGACACTAAGCTCAGGTCATCTGTATTCTAAGGGGGGAAATTGGAAGTTAACTTACTGTGATTAACTACAATTACCACCTTGTGGTTGTATGCCTCCAAGAATAAGTCAACTTTCACTTACAGTTTCCGTCCATGTCTGTAAAAACATGGATGCTTCACACACAGAAGGTTTGTACAATGATCACAGTTTCAAAATTAGAGTCACCAATTCAGTATCTGACCAAAAGTCTCCGCTTCTGTTCCTGAGATATGATGCTGAGTAATGGACAGACAAGTGTTTTATGCAGAACATCATGATGTCACAGTGACGATGACCTTTGACTTTTGGATATAAAATGTCATCACTTCATCATTTTATCCTGTTAGACATTTGTAAGGAATTTGTCATAATTAACATATGAATTCTTGTTTTGTAAGGTCACAGTGACCTTGATCTTTGACCTTCGACCACCAAATACTGATCAGTTATTTCATGGGTCCAGATAGACATTTTTGCCAAATTTGAAGAAATATCCTAAAGGCCTTCTTGAGATATTATGTTCTCAGAAATCAGAAGGACGCAACATCAGAGTGACCTTGACCTTAGATCAACAATTTCTAATCAGTTCACCCTTGACTTTTGTGACCTGGACGTTTGTACCAAAGAAATACCCAAAAGGCATTCTTGAGATATTGTGTTCAGGAGAATGGGACGGACAGAGGGAAGGATGTACAACCTGAAAACATGATGCCTCCAGTCACAACTATCGCTGGTGCGGAGGCATAAAACCGTACGTATAGTGGTTATTCATTTTGATGATTCCAGTAGTGTCAAACCATATTTAAAAGTATTTCTCTACCAGAATTTTATTCCTGGCGGTGGGGAGAGGACATTTCTACAGTCCTAATTATGGTCTTTGTCTGAGTTGAGTCCACTAATACTTTTGTTTAATTTTGCTGAATTTAATAATAAAATTGGCAACTCTATTTTCCCAATAACATTTGAAGAGTTGAATGAAAGCAAGTTTACTAATCTGACCTAGTTGAGTTGAATTAACTTAAAATGATCCTTTCTCATATACTTTACTGTCATCTGCTGCACTGTACTGTATAAAAATATTCAACGACTTGTAGCTACCTGAGGCTCGGACGCTGCCGGCAGTCTCGCAGCCCTCTCCGATGCCGTAGGCGTTTTCAGCCAGCACTCTGAAACAGTAGGCCTGTCCCGCCTCCAGGTTTGTGATCCTGTAGGAGATCTTGTGGCAGTTTGGCGCCACACAGGTCCAGGCCTTTCTTTCAGCCAGGCGCTTCTCTACGATGTAGCTCTTGACTGGGCTGCCACCGTCAATCAGCGGGGCGTCCCAGGTGATGAAGGCGTGGCTCCTGGAGGTCTCCTTCACAGTCAGGTTCTGGGGTGGTCCGGGAGAATCTGAGATGGAGGAGACGCAACAGTCCTGGCTCAGAGCTTTTGTTAACTGAACCAAAAATACAATTAAGGCCATAGATATACACGATGGGAGTAAAAATATTTTATCAATGTTCTGGGAAAGAAATATTTTGTATAAATTCTTGTGGGTGAAAAAGTTTCAGATTCTTAGGTTCCACAATTTTTTATAGCTTTCTGGAAAACTGTATTCTTTTTCACAACAATATTACTATCTTTAGCTATTCCTCAAAAATATTCTAATTCTACTTTTTACGTACTTAAATATATATATAACTATTGTGACGGTATTTTAGTTTGTTGCAGGATTATAAATGACCCTGACCTGCACTGAAGTATACTCATGGAAAAAACTTTGAAACCATCAAATTTAGCTGCATTTTTGTTGTCACCTGTAACATGACAAAAAACACGCTCACTGGAGTGTGTGTGCTCCATTTTATCCCCCACATAATGTTTCCTTTGAGAGACATTCTTACCGAGGACCTTGACCACAATGGTGTAGCTCTTGGCGCCGCTGCTGTTCTCCAGCGACAGGACATATTTGCCAGCATCGTATCTGTTAATGTCCTCGATCATCAACAGGGTGTCCCATTCTGATGTCTTAATCAGCACACCCTGCCTATCCTTTAGGTTAGCGTCCACCTTTGTCCACGTCACTTTCGGCGCCGGGCGTCCTCTCAATGGGACGTAGAGCCTCATGGTAACTCCGGCTCGAAGAACCAAAGCCTTTCTTAGGTCAGCGTCCAGCTCAGCTTCAGGAGCAACTGGAGGACAGACAGAAGGTTGTTTGTTAATCACAGCTTTAGTGTTAGTCCCGTCATTCATTTATCAGTCTCACTTTGTCGTGTAAGCTGTTTCCTGGCAGCCTTAGCTTGTGCACAGTTAGCATAAGCTAATTACGTTCACCAAGAATGTTGCTCGTTACTGAGAATACATTTTTTTTTGTGCAAAAACTAATTACCTGGCTGAATTGGGTGATGATGCAAAATGAAACATTCTGATTTAAGAAAACACCCACTGAGGTAGAAGAGTTTTGTGGTGCTAAATGTAGTTTGTAGATTTGTTTTCTTGTACCAATTCACCTCAGAGGAAGTGTGTTTTCATGGTTAGCTAAATAAATAAAAACAACTCTACAGTCCTGCTATAAAATGGGTCATCTGTGTTTTCTTGTTTTCTTACAGTGAATTGCCTCTTCTTACTCAGAGATTATTTATCAAAACACAGTATAAAAATCATCTGACGTACTCAGGATGTCCTTGGGCATGTGGTTTCCAGGGACTTCACTGGGCTCGCTGATACCGATCTTGTTGACGGCTTTAACTCTGAACTGGTACTCAGTGTTGTCCATCAGGCCTGTCACCAGGAACTTGGTGGCCTGGAGCTTTTTCGGGATGTTGCACTTATTCCAGTGCTCTGCGTCAACTCTCTTGCACTCCACCAGATAGCCGATGATCTCGCAGCCACCGTCGTACGCTGGTTTGGTCCAGCTGAGGCTGATGGAGCTCTTGGTGGAGTCCACCACCTTGGGGAAGGCAGGTGGGCCAGGAGGATCTGGAGAATTATAGTGATAATATGTGTTGAGTTGAAGATAATTGTTAGTGGCAGCCCTGTTTTTAACCCTTTATACTCTGCAACAGAAACGGTCCGCCAGTGCCTACATTGGTATTTTTCCTTATTGTGATGTCATTTCTTGGAGTATCTCCAAATGCCTCATATCCCTAAAATCTGAGAGCTAAAAGCTTATGTAAGTCATTAAACCATAATAACTCATCAGTGTATTGAAATTGTGTCATTAAAAAAAACAAAAATCAGACATATTTTTTATCAGATTTTACAAAATAAACACACAAAACTTATTTTGATCCAAAATATTTCTATATGTAGAAACATTAACGAAACATTTCTTAACACTCTATAATTATTTTTAATTATGTACATAATTTGCATAGTGCAAAGGTGTCTTGATAGATTCATCATTCACTACTCTGGTGCAACTATGCGTTTTTGTGCAATTTTGCAACCCATGCAACGCAATGTAATGACGTCATTTCGCATGTACAACAGGATGCCATGGAAGACAGGAGCCTTCACTTTAAGCTGCAAAAACAATGAATGCTCCACCTATTATGGTTTTTATCTTAAATCGATATATATACTAGGGCTGTCAACAAATATTCTAAATTCGAATTTAAATTTGAATTTGAAAAAAAATTGGACCTTCGAATGTGAAAATTGATATTTGATTGTGGAGAGAAAAAAAAAACACCACCGCAGCTGTCCTCTTTGCGAGTAGGTGTTGGCCTGGGCCGCTGCACTGAAAGCACTGGACAAGCGGTTCTGCTCCCAGCTGCTGTCTCCGTCACCCGGCTTGACACATCCGCTCGCGGCTCGCGCAGAAAATAGACCAGAGCCGGCCACGGAGCTGCGCAGCGCTTCAAGGCTCTTCGAAGCGCTTCCGTGAGCGGTGTGGCCTGACGGGTCAGAGAGGCAGGGCGTTTCTAACGTAATGTTATAGATAATTGTTTTATGTGTTTTAATGTGTAGGTATGTAAATGTTTTCAAAGACGTTTATGTTGAAATAAAAATACCTACAAGTAGTTATGTTTCCTTGTATTAATACATATACAAGTATGTTTCCTTGTATTAGTTTGCCCTCTTGTGGACATAATGCGAAAAAAAAAATTCAAATGGTTCGAACCTATGAGTTATTTTTAGAAGGAATATTCGAATGTCATTTTTGAGCAATTTTGACAGCCCTAATATATACAGGACTATGCAAACAACAATCAGCTGCAGCCAATACAGGACTATACCAGCAGAATTGTGGCGACATACTACGTTTGCATCACATTTAATGGCGTGATGACAGGGAAGACGAAAGCCTTAGCTATGTGCTACAAAAAGAATGAAGGCTCTAGTTATTGTGGTTTTTATGTTAGATCAATATAGAGAGGATTATTCAAACGACAATCTCCAGTGGAGCATCTGTTTTTCATGGGTTAACAGATACTTACAGACTGGATCAACAGCCAGTGCAGCGTTAGATGCATCACTGGGTTTGCCCAGACCGGCCTTGTTAATGGCAATGACTCTGAACTCATACTCAGAGCCCTCTGTCAGTTGAGCGGCCTTGATGGTCCTGTCGATGACCGGCCGGCGGTTGACCTTAGCCCAGGTCAGCTCAGTGGCTTCACGTTTCTCCACCATGTAGCCCAGGATGGGGGATTTGCCATCGTTGGCTGGAGCCTTCCAGCTCACTGTCATGGAGTCCTTAGTGATGTTGGTGATGACGGGTGGCTCGCATGGACCGGGAACATCTGAGGGAAGAGATAACAGCATGACGATCTACCATCAGTGTTTGAGTTTATCGTACCTCAACAACAAAAAGTGCTGTCTCACAGACCTCATCCAGTAGCATAGTTCTCTTCAGCTATAGAGTTGTGAACATACCGTACGGGTTCTTGACCATGACAGGGTCTGTCATGATGACATCTCCCACACCATACTGGTTCTCAGCGCTGACTCTGAACTGATACTCATGTCCTTCAATGAGTTTCTCCACTGAGGTGTCTGTGATATGTCCATGGATGTTGGAGGTGACCAGCGCCCAGTTGGCTCTGCTGGTCTCACGTTTCTCGATGATGTAGTTGGTGATCTCAGAGCCGCCATCTGCGAGTGGGGGCTCCCATCGCAGCTTAACGCGGTCAGCAAACACCTTACTGATTTTGATTGAGGCCGGGGGCCCTGGTTTATCTGCAGGATAAACAGTGTGATATTCTTTGTTTATCTGTACACATAAAAAGCTTCACTAGAATAAACCAGTATTAAATCTGACTTACCAAGCACCTTGACCTTGATGGTGGCGTACTTGGAGCCATGGGCATTCTCAGCAGTGATGGTGTAGTCTCCAGATTCCCTCCTGGTGACACAAAACAGGTCCAGCAGGTGGACATGTTTCTTCTGGCTCATCTTCATTCCTTCGGCGAGAACCAGAGGCACGCCGTCTCTCTTCCAGCTAACCTTGGGTAGTGGCTTGCCAAACACCTCAGCATCCAGGGAGATGTTCTCTCCAGCTTTAACCACAATCAGGTTCTTCATATTGACACCAAGCTCCACACGAGGAGGAACTGCACACAAGGAGAAGAGAGAATGATCATCATTAATCAGTAATGGTATTTGTGAGACTTAGTTTTCCATGCTGTGTGGGGCTGTACCGTTCTCTGCAATGATGGCAATGGGGTCGGACAGCTCTGATGGCAGGCTGGTATTGATGGCCGTCTTGGCAATGACTCTGAACTGGTACCGCTGACCTTCCTCCAGGCCACTCACCACGTAGCTTTCCGTCTGGATGTTCATGCAGTTGGCATTGCAGCGTACCCACTTTTCCTCTGGAGGCTTCATGTACTCCATGAAGTAGCCAATCAGCTTGCTGCCACCGTCATGCTTGGGACGGCCCCAGACAAGCAAGACAGAGTTCTTGGTCACATCCATGGGCTCGGGCTTACCTGGTGGGTCTGGATGGATAGAAACAAAGGGTTGTAGAATCACTAATGAACAAGGAGGAAGGTTTGAGTTAAGGATGAGTGAACAAGAACCTGGTTTGTATCACTGGCCTGAAAAGTAAATTTCACCTGAAGCAATGGGGATCCAACCTCAATTGTTTGACGTCATCCTATTTGTATTTACCTTTCTTTAACAAATCAAATATATCATGTTGAAATAATTTATGTCATTATCGTACCAACTGCAGTCCTGGCGGTGATGAAGTCGGTCTGCTTGCAGGGTTTGCCCTGTCCAGCCAAGTTGTGTGCCGACACCCTGAAGGTGTACTCCAGGCCCTCCATCAGGCCACTGCAGGTGTACTGGGTGGCTTTGACCACGGACTCGTTGGCCTTCACCCACAGGATGCTGTTCCTCTCCTTCTTCTCGATGCAGTATCCAGTGATGGGGGTTCCACCGTCATTGCTGGGACGCTCCCATGACAGGATGACGAAGTCCTTGAAGACCTTGTTGATCTGCAGGTTTCTGGGCTCGCTGGGAGGATCTTTAGAGAAAAAAATAACAGTTAGTACACAGTATCATAGTATGACAGTAACAGAGCTAAAAAAAAGTTTTGGCACAGACTCACCAAATGGATATTTTGCAATCATCCTCTCAGAGTAGATGGGTGCACCGATGCCGAACCTGTTCTCAGCACGGACTCTGAAGCCATACTCTTTGCCAGGTGTCAGTTTGGTAACTCTGAAGCTGGTTTTGGTGCAGGATGGGGACATGGTGATCCAGTCACCCTGGCTGATGTCACACTTCTCAACAATATAGTTGGTGATGTTGCTGCCGCCATCCTCCGGTGGGGAGTTCCAGAGCAGCGTGCAGGCATCAATGTCCTGTTCAGTGATCTCTAGAGGAGCTTCAGGGGGTCCAGGGATGTCTGCAGGGACAAGAAGGATGAGTCATCCATGTAGGTGTACGACCTGACATTGATCATTCACACTGTAAGTATTATCTGTATATTTCAGCCTTAACGGTGTCTGTTGTTCAAACTGACCCATGATGGTGACTCTGAGGATCTGGTTGACCTTGCCGGTGCTGTTTTCGGCTGACAGGCTGTAGTAGCCGCTGTCCTTTCTCGTCACATTCTTGATGATAAGCGTGCAGGATGTCAGCGTCTTTACAACGGACAGCCGGTCAGAGGTCAGCACATCCTCGTTGCCTTGCTTCCACTTGCAGAGGGGAGGGGGTTTACCTGCCACAATGGCCTCAACCACCATCTTGGATCCAGCTCTGAACGTCATGATGTCTGGCATGATGATCTTAGGAGCCACTGAGAGGAAGAAGCAAAAGTTAATTTAGAGATTCATCAGGGAATGTTTTAAGTTTTCTGGCTCCAAAGCTGAACACCAGTATCCATCAGTACATTGTGAGGTACATTTTAAGGGCGGTCTACTCACTGAGCTGCTCCTTGACCTCAAACACTCCCTCTGCCTCTCGGGCCAGGCTGACTCCCACTGAGTTCCTGGCTGCCACTCTGAACTTGTACTTCTTTCCCTCTTTCAGACCAACCACCACGATGGTCAGGTCCCTGACCACAGAATAAGGTGTCCACTTGTCCTCAGGCGCTCCCTCCTCCTGGTAGTCCACCACATAACCATTGATCTTGGCTCCTCCGTCCCTGAGTGGCTTCAGCCAGCCCAGTGTGGCGCTATTCTTGGTGATCTCCAACACATCCATCTTCTTCGGAGGGTCTGGCTCACCTGAATGCAACACACAGCAGGTGTTAGGAAAAATGTAAAAAGCAAAGAACAACAGAGGCCAACGAACACAAGGGTCTGATAGCACAGTCTGTGGTGGCACTCACTGATGGGGTCAACAGCCAGATAGGATTTGGGTGAGTCCTGAGGAACTCCGATGCCGTACTTGTTGCAGGCTGTGACTCTGAAGTAGTACTCGATGCCAGGAGTCATGTTGGTCACCTTAAAGCTAGTCTTCTTCAGGTCTTCTGTACACTTGTTCCAGGTCTTCCGGTCCACCTCCCGTTTCTCCACAATGTAGTTGAGGATGGGGCTGCCACCATCATTTTCTGGTGGCAACCAGGACAGCTGAGCTGTCGTCTTGGTAACATTGGTTGCCTCCAGGCCACCAACGGGACCAGGAGTATCTGCAGAGGATGAATATAAGAATCACTTTGATCATACTGTTTCCTTACCAGTGAAAATGAAACATTTTTTGTTAAAGGCAAGAGCTGTAAAAATGTAGTTTGTCATTCTGTTTCTCACCAAGGACTTTGACACGGACAAACACGGCTTTCTCTCCGGCTGAGTTCGACAGAGTCAGCGAGTATCTCCCAGAATCCTCTCTGGTGCTCTCAGGGATGACCAGGAAGGACATGGTGTCAACCTGGTCCACATGACCTCGGCGTATCACGTTGTCCACACCCAAGCGCTTCCAGGTAACCTTGGGGGCGGGTCTTCCTCTGATCACAGCAAAAAGCCTGATTGGACATCCAGCCCTAACGGACAGACCTTTCCTCAGACTGGCGTCCAGGTCAATCTCTGGAGCCTCTGTTGCCATAGAAACACATTGAGATCATTAGAGTTGTTGACATTTACCATGTTGTGTAAGATTAACTGCAGCAAAGTTGACTTTCATAACCATTCATTCTTACCCAGGATCTCCTTGGGGGAGACGGCCTCCTTCAAGTAGGCATGACGTCCCCAGCCCACTTGGTTTTTGGCGGACACCTTGAATTCATACTCCTGCTTCTCATCCAGCTGGCCGATGGTGAACTCTGTGAGCACCAATGGGCCACGGGTGTCAATTCTCTTCCAGCCCTCAGTGGGCTTCTCAGGGTCTGCCTCGCTCTTCAGCCTCATGTCCAGGCTGTAGCCGATGATGGGTGCACCGCCGTCATACACTGGTTTAGACCAGGACAGGGTGATAGACGTCTTGGTGCTGTCGCCCACCTTCAGGCCTGCAGGAGGGCCAGGGGGCTCTGCAGGTAGAGACAGTGAAACAAAAGTCAACAAAATGACACTCTGACATCTGAGGCTTGTATATTCACGGCCTGAGCACTAGAATATTTTTAAGACAAAACTGAACTGTGACTGCAACCACAAACTCACCAATGGGATCTTTGGCTGCAACTGGTCTGCAGGGTTTGCTGGGCTCTCCCAGGCCTACTTCATTTTCAGCCTTCACCCTGAACTGGTACTCATGATTGGGGATCAGGTTGGCAACTTTCATGCGTCTCTCAGAGATGGGGCTCTTGGTGCATGGCACCCAGCGCACTGCCCTCTTCTCTTTCCTCTCCAGGATGTAGCCAGTAATAGACTTTCCTCCATCATTCTCAGGAGGAGCCCAAACAACAGTCATCTCATCTTTACTGACCTGCATCAAAAAAGTTTTAACAGTGTAAGTAAACAAGCAGCTTGTTGTAGCAACAAGGCAAAAATGTTTTTCCCATAAGCCAATTTTAGGAAAATCTATAAAACAGGAATTCTTTTACTTACCTTGGTGACCTCAGGGGCATCTGGGGGTCCAGGTCTGTTCAACTGAGTCTTGACAGTGACGGGCTTGCTCTCCATGGCGGGGCCGGTTCCCATCTTGTTCTCAGCCCTCACTCTGAAGATGTACTCGTTGTTCTCCACTAGACGAGTAACATTGCAGTACGGTGTGACCACAGAGTCTGAGTATGTGGACCAGACCATCCTCCTGGTCTCACATTTCTCCAGGATGTAGCTGTCCACCTCACAACCTCCATCATCCTCTGGAGGATCCCAAACCACTCTGCACTTGTCGGACCCGATGCCAGTAACCCTGAGGTCCCTCACTGGGCCGGGGACGTCCAGGACATTAACGGTGGCATATGCCGTGAAGGTGCCCAGCGAATTAGTGGCAGTGATGATATACTTTCCACTGTCGGTGCGTCTGGACTTGGTCATAAGGAACTTGGAGTAGTCAGGGCCAGTTTCCACGCTGATTCTTGGGTTGTCTCCGACAGCCTTGTCTTTCGTCCATTTGACCTCAGGCTGAGGCTTTCCTCTCAGGCCAGCCTCCATCCTGACTGACTCTCCTGCCTTCACTGTCAAAGCTCCAGCCAGCTTCAGATCCAGGACAGGCTTCTGCAACTCCTCCTTCACCAGAATATCAGCAAGTTTTACCCAAGCACTTTCACCTCCTTCATTGACAGTCTGGACCCTGGATAACAAATGATAATTATTAAGTCATTTAAATTAAATAAAGCACTACTTAAAGAATACAGTTTCTGAACCACGACAGACCCTGCAAAACAACTGGTATGAACTTTTTAAGTGAGAATGCAGTAACCTACCTGAAGGTGTATGTCTGGTTCTCTACACACTTGTCAGCCAAGAAGAATGTGTTAGTGAGAGTGCCGGTGTTGAGTTTCTCCCACTCTTCAGCATCTTTGGTTTTGCATTCTAGGTTGTAGGAAAGGTAGAGGCTGCCACCGTCATAGTCAGGCTTCCTCCACCTCAGATAGACGTAGTTCTTACCAATGTCAGTGACTCTGAAGTTCTCAGGCTCACCAGGCTTCTCAATGGGGTCAATTGCCAGCAGAGGGGTCTTGGTTTCCACACTGGGTCCCGGGCCTATCTTGTTCACAGCACAGACACGGAACAAGTACTCATGGCCCTCCATCAGCTTGGCCTTGATCTTGCGATTGGTGCAGTTGGAGGTAATCATAGACCACATGCTAATGCTGGGCTCGCGGCACTCCACTATGTAGTTGGTGATCTCGGATCCACCATTATCCTTGGGGGCCTCCCAGTTGATCATGCATGAGTCCCTAGTGGCATAGGTGGTATGCAGGTTCTGGCAGTGGGTGGGTCTGTCTAGAACATTGACTGTGATTGTGCAAGATGCCTCGCCACCCTCATTTGAAGCCTTCAGGATATATTTTCCATGATCATCTCTTGTGGCTTCCTTGATCCTCAGATGGACCAGAGGGAGGTTCTGCATGATAAAGACACGTTTGCTTTTCTCCAGAACTGTCTGCTCCTTTGACCAAAGCACTTCTGGGTCGGGGCGAGCCTTGATGTAGCCAGTGATGTTGATGTTGTGTCCGACACGCACAGTGACACGCTCGCGGCAGCTGGCATCCATCTCAATCTCCGGAGGGATCAGGATATCCTGAGCAGTGACGGACTCTGGGATTTCTCTGGGCTCTCCGTCTCCGATCATGTTTGAGGCGAAGACTCTGAATCTGTAAGTCACACCCTCCTCCAGACCCTTCACCGTATAGGCACACTGCTTGATGAAGTCCTCCAGGTTCACCTTTTTCCATTCTTCAGTATCTGCCTTCTTCATTTCCACACTGTAGCCCAGGATAGGGCTGCCTCCATCTTTGTTGGGTTTGGTCCAAACCAGGTCAGCAGTGGACTTGCTGCAATCTTTAAGTTTGGGGTTTACAGGGGGGCTGGGGACGGTGATGGGCCTGCAGGGCTTGCAGGGGTCGGAGATAGGAGAGGGGCCACTGTAGCCGGCAACATTCTCAGCAAATACTCTAAACTCATATTCATTACCCTCAAACAGACCCAGAACTGTGTACCTCAGGTCCCTGCAGGGTATTCTGTTTACACGGATCCATTTTCCTCCCTTGTGTCTGCGCTCAATGATGTAGCCAAAGATCTGGCTGCCTCCGTCAGACAGGGGCATGGTCCAGCCGAGTGTAACAGAATCCTCTGAAATATCAGAGGGCTGTGGCTTGCCAGGCGGGCTGGGTGGCATGAAGGAGTGCTCAGCGACAGTGGGCTTGCTCTCCAGAGGAGCACCGATGCCCATTTTGTTCTCAGCACGAATGCGAAGCACATATTCGACTCCCCTCTGGAGGCGGGTGATGTTCATCTTGGTGGCAAGGCTGCCAGAGCTCACACCTCCCCAGGTCCCCTTGTTGGACTCTCTCTTCTCCACAATGTAGTTGGTGACAGGGCTGCCGCCATCGTCTTTGGGAGGACGCCATTCAATCATCATGGAGTCCGGAGTGACCTCCAGGATGTTGAGAGGTCCAATGGGAGCAGCGGGAACATCCAGGACAGTGACGTTCAAGGCCGCCGTCTTGGTTCCAGCTGGGTTGGACACAGTGAGCAGGTAGGTGCCGGTGTGGTTCCTGGTGCACTCATTAATGCTGAGCACAGTGGAGAAGTTGTCCGTGTCGATCTTGGTGTTACCCTGGCTTTTGATCTCCTCTCCTTCGATGGACCACTTGGCGCTGGGAACAGGCATTCCTCTCATGATTGCTGGCAGCCTGATGGTGGTGCCAGCCTTTACGATGATGCCCTCAGTAAACTTAACGTCCACCTCGAGAATTGGAGGAACTGTGGACATGAAGACAGAGGAGGTTATCTCAAGCTACTAGAGTCACTATGTTCCAATAATAATTCAAGGCACATTAGTTTGCTGATGTGGACTTCAAAAAGAGCTACACCTGCACCAACACTGATGATACAGAAAATATTGGTGAACCTCTAATTTCGACTGAGAATAAAAATAAAAATGAATTATATATGATCCAGCATAAAATTTCTCCAATGGAGATCATATGGAGTGCTGGGGTTTTGTCCTGTATCTTACTCAGTTTCTCCTGGCAGAGGATAGGCACAGTGGTGTCAGGTCTGCTGAGGCCAATGGCGTTCTCAGCCCTCACTCTGAAGCGGTAGGTCTTTCCCTCCTCCAAGCCTTCATTCACATGACTCTCAGGGATGCTCACAGTCTTCCACTCGTACCACTCCTTCTCTCCCTCTTCCTGATACTCCACCAGGAAGCCTGTGATCTCACTTCCACCATTGCGATCGGGCCAGTTCCAGACCAACCACACCTCAGTCTTGTCCACGTCGGTGTGGTGCAGGTCTTTGGGAGGACCAGGAGGGACTGGAGGGAAGGAAAAAAACACATTTAGGTTTGAATCGGTGAGTTTGAGCATTTATAACATAGACTCCACCTTCCTTTATCCTTTAAGAGACTGATGGGTTTGGGGTTTTTTTGAGTAACAAATGCTTCCTTGAAGGATAATCCTTTGAAAATGTCAGCGAAATGGTGGAAATTTGAAAACACTTTTACTTTTGCCTTTGAGTATTTTGTTTGCGTTTATTTTCATTGTGTGTAAACACACTTTGGGATCTACTCTCAGCACAATATAATACATATGAATCTGCTGATCACTGTGCTGTTACTCACAGAGTGGGTTCATGGCCTTGATGGCCTTTGGCGTCTGGACATATTCGCTCCGGCCGTATATGTTCTCAGCAGCAACTCTGAATGTGTAGGATGTGCCCTCCATCAGGTGCTTCAGCGTCATGCTGCGTTTCTTGGATGTGGAGCAGACGGGGACCCACTGAGTGGACGCCGTGTCTTTCTTCTCCACCACAAAGTTAGTGATGCGAGTACCACCGTTGTCCTCTGGGTCCTTCCAGGAGAGGTAGGCAGAGTCGCTCCTGACATCAGACACCCGGAGGTGCTGGATGGGACCAGGTTTGTCTGGAGAAAACACAGGAAGAATGTCACTGATCTGTTGAGCCTGGCTTTTCATTGATGACAGATACAAAATGGAATTAATTAAATGTATCAATTCTTACTACGGATGTCAACCGTATACTGTGGAGAATATTTTTGACTGGTTATCCATGCTGGTCTACAGGTTAATTTTGCTGCTTTTCAAATTAGTGCAGTGCACACATAATGGGTCTGGTGGGAGTTAGCTAGTGGCGTCACTCATTAGGCGTTTACTGCAAGTAACGCTGTCCAACCCAACAGTGTTGCTGTGAAAATATGGTGGCCATCCTCCAACCTCCCACCAGGTCAGCCTGTTGAGTAAGCTGTTCACTTTTGAATCGCAAACCCCCTTTAGCATTGCTATAACTGTTAGCTCTGTTAGCACCCTTAGCTTTGTCAGCACAGCTTTTGGTGCTAACATTCATTGGTTAGCAATGCAACAATGGCTTTGGCTCAAACTGAAGCTACTTACTCACCAGGCATACCTGGGGGGAGTTGGAGAGTGGCCACCATATTTCCGCAGCTAATGATTACCATCAGTAAATTGCTGAATGAGTGGCGCAGTTAGCTAGCTTCCACCCAACCCATTTGGTGCGCTGTGTGGAGTGGCCAAGGCTAACAAGTGGAGACCAGAGGGTTGGCAGCGGGCACTATGTGTAAGCATGTTAGCATGGGCAAGAAAGTAAAATAAAAGGCAAAACACTTACATCACAAACCCTGAAAATGTCACCACCTCTAAATTAATAGGACTGTGAAATGTGGTGCTAAAGCTCACTGAGTCAAAGGAGCGCTGCACCAAAATGAAAGGCCTCTTAGATTTTACAGAATTTTGCATTTTTTTCCTCTTAAAAATAATAGTGGGTGTTGGGCTATCAAAAAACAAAATGAACAAAAACTAGCAACTCCTTACCAAGAACCAGCACGGTGCAGGTGGCGGTCTTGGATCCGGCCGGGTTCTCCACGGTAAGCGTGTAATCTCCACAGTCACCGCGGTGACAGAACCTCATCTCCAGCTTTGTGCCTGCCGTGTTGGTGTCAATGTCAGCCCTGGTGGGCACCTCGGCATCGTTCTTCTTCCAGGTGACGGTAGGGAATGGGACACCCTTGATGGCGGCCATCAGAGTGATGTGAGTGCCGGCCCTGGCCTTCACCTCGCGGGTCATTGAAGCATCCAGAATGAGCTCTGGGGGCTCTGAGGGGGTGACAGGAGAGTAGAAGAAGCACTGCTCATTAACATAGTAATATCACATTTGATTTACAAAGCATTTCATAAAGCAGACGTTGGTTAGATAATATGTCACAATGACAACTTACCAAGTCTGTCCTGCACTCTGATTGGCTCCTTCAAGTTAGCCGGATCAGACACTCCAGCAGCGTTGACGGCCATGACTCTGAAGCGGTACAGAGCTCCGTCAGCCAGGCCGACCATTTTAAACTTGGTCTCCTGGCAGGAGTCTGGAGTCTGGTTCCCCTAAGGACAGCAGCAGGACAAAAGTTCAATACCACTTCAGGTTTACAGGGATAAAGAAAATGCAGTGCAAAGGTCATGGGGTCATTAACATCAAATGGGGAAGTCCTCTGACCTGCAGCCACTCCTCCTCTCCAGCCTTCTGGTACTCCACCAGGTATCCGAAGATCTTTCCTCTGCCAGTGTCAGCAGGCGGCTCCCAGGACACAGTCACTGACTCCTTGGTGAAGTCAATGGCCTCAAGGTTCAGCGGTGGACTTGGTTTCACTGTGAGACAGGACAGGGGGTACTTGTGGTGAGTGGAAACACTGATAATGAAGAAACAAAGTGCTGCTGTAAGTGGTGAACTTACCGATGGGATCTTTGGAGAAGACAGGTTTGGACGGTGGGCTCGGGTCTCCGGCTCCCACCACATTCTCAGCGCTGACTCTGAACTCGTACTCACAGCCCTGCAGCAGCTCTGTCACCCAGTACTCTACCTTCGGAAAGATTCTGTCTGTGTTGCAGCGAACCCACCTGGAGACAGAGACATTAACACTTTATCTATGAGCCACAAAGAAACATGCTTAAACGTAAAATGCAGAGGCGGGAGGAGCCTTCTGTCCATACTCTGTGTTCATTTCATCCATATTTGTGCTTGTTTTCTGAAAGCTTATAGTGTAGCGTTCAAACGAGGAGGAGACTACGAAGAAATTTTAAAAATGGCGGTACACAACACATCAATAATACAGTGAAAAGAATTCTTCATCGACATTTCAGGATGTATATATTGACGACAGAGACAACCGCCGTCTACAACACTGCCTCCATTAAAGGGTACAAAATTACAACCTCCTCCAACATCGCCTTGTTTGTATTTTTGTGAAACTTTTGACTCTGCCCTCTAGTGCCTCTATTGGCTGTACACATGACATCATAAAGGACGCATAGAAGTATGAGGCAGTGACATTTACAACATTTGCTTTAGATGGATCTAATTTCATACGTAAAAGGAGAATAAATCAGCCTTAAGAAGTTTTAGGGGAACATTTAGAGATGTTACCTTGAGCTTTTTTTGAAAGATGACTCAACTAATCTAACATCTAGATGAATAATAAAAACACTCTTTAATTGCAACCATAGTGTAGATACAGATTAGTGATCAGATCCCAAACTCTTAATGTTTCAAAATTGCAGTGTTTGTGGCCTCAATGTTTGTTTCTAAAAATAAGTAAAGTGGAATTTGAAGAACCTTAAAAGGCAGTTTTCCAGCTTCTGTCAGCTTGATGTTCCCATCTGAGACTCAAACTGGAGGCATCATCCTCCAAACTACAGAAGTTTTTGGTGTTTTGTGTTTGTGTACCTCTTGGCCATGGTCTCCTTCCTCTCCACAATGTAGCCTGTGATTGGCTTTCCTCCATCAGCAGGTGGCTCCCAGCTGATGAGGGCAGAGTCATGATAGACCTCCTTCACTGTGGGCTGTTTAGGAGCGTCGGGCACCCCTGTGATGGACACAAACAGACACAGACTGATCAGACACTGCGAGATGTTTCATTTTTACTACCCAAGACTTTCACAAAGGATTCATCAGCAAGTTATGTTTCCATCTCGTTGAACATCTCTGAATGTTTTCAGTGTTTGAGAGGACTTACTGAAGATGTCTCTGGCCTTGGTTTCTGCGGACAGCAGGGGCTCACTGATGCCGTAGATGTTCTGAGCCATGATCCTGATGATGTAATCACGACCTTCGATCAGCTTTGGCACCTGATCAATAGAGAGCAGGAGGCGTTACTGTTTTGTTTTTGTCTTTGTACTAAAGACCTTGGTATTCTTTCATCAGAGACTGAGATTTGATCAAAAAGAATCAAGTGTTGAAAGTTGGTGAAACGTATTGAGTATCTGCCCACCCTGCAGGTGGTCCTGGTGCAGGAGGCAGTGATTGGCATCCACAGGTCTCTGTTGGTGTCTCTCTTCTCAATGATGTAGTTGGAGACGGCACAGCCTCCGTCATCCAGCGGAGGGTTCCAGGAGATCACCATGCAGTTCCTGTAGATCTCGTTGAATATGACAGGGCCCTCTGGAGGTTGTGGACGGTCTGACGGGAGGAAGAATACATACAGGTCACTCTACAGGTTTTTATTCAATAAACTTTTTATTAGGTTTTAAAATCTGATGCTGTTTTTTCTCACACAGTTTCGCTTTCTGTCCCTCTCTGCTTTGTACTTCTTGTCATATCCTTAATTTCTAGTCTTGTTATTGGATCCATTCCACGCTTTGCAGTTCCTGTTTCTTGCAGTTCTTTGTTTCCCACCAAAGCCAGAATTTCACAACCCTGTACTTTTCTCTCTAAATGCTACATTTTACTGAGCTGTGACACAGAAATACTGCCGCAGATTTGAAAGGACGTGTCGTATATATCATTTTAAAAACCTTTGTTGACTAGTATTGGTATATCTGATCAGGCAGTGGGCTGGTTTGTAAATTACCTCTCAGACAGGTCTCAGTGTCTTCACCTTCACCTCTTCCTGATGCAACACCCTGGTATACCCCAGGGTTCTGTGTAAGGTCTGCTGTTATTTTCGATTTATATTAATAGCCTTGGTCAAAACGTGGATGGCTCCAATTTTCATTTGTATGCTGATGACACAGTGATACATTGTGCCACCTCATCCATTACAGAGGCTGAGGCCAAATTGCAGTATGTCTTTTATGTATCCAGATTCAGCTTCCGCAGCTAAAGCTGGTTGTAAATGCTGATCAAACTCTTTTATTGTGTTGTTGCTTGGCGGTAACTGTTTGGTATGCTGCTGTCTTGGCCAGGTTACCCTTTGATGAGACTGACCTGGTTAAAAATGGTTTAAATGAAATAAAAATAATAAAATCTTCTAAAACACTGAAACCTGTGTAGGAATTTAAAACATCTTTGCAGTGAATCAGAGTTTTTAGTGGAGCAGCGACTCACCGACCACAATGATAGTGCAGATTCCTGTGCGAGTTCCGGCAGCATTCTCCAGGCTGACACCGTAGTGCCCACTGTGATCCCTCTTGGTCTTGCTGATGGTGAGGCTCAGGTGGCGGGCAGTGCTGTGCAGACTGATCTCGTCATCCGCCTTCAGCTCCTCGTCATTCTTCTTCCAGGTGATTGTTGGCGCTGGTTTGCCGCCGTAGCGTCCTGAAAGTGTGCAGGTGTCTCCCACTTTCACCATCATCTTGTCCCTGAAGTCCAGGTCCAGAGTGGGCGGTTCTGAGAAGGGACATAATTGTTACTGAGCCTGAAATTCAGAGCATCTATAGTTTAGCATCAGATAAATAAACATGGCGCTGCATTACTCACCAAGCTCATCCTTACACTGGACAGGTTTGGTGGCAAAGGAGGATTTACCCTTTCCGACCTGGTTGACGGCAGAAACTCTGAACTCGTGGGTCGAGCCCTCCTTCAGCCCTGTCAGGGTGAACTTCCTGTCCATCAGCTTAGTGTCTCCACCTACTCGTGTAAAGCTGTCCCGGCCGACCATGCGGGTCTCCAGGATGTACTCGGTCACCTCGGCACCGCCATCATACTTGGGTGGTCTCCAGGCGATGGAGATGGAGTCCTTGGTGACGGCCGTGATGATCAGGTCCTCTGGACGCTCCGGGACCGCTGAAGGAGACACAAATGTGATGAGAGGTATCAAACAAGGTCATGATAGCTTAAGGAAAGTCAAAAACTTTTTTAAACCACTCAGAATCAAATTAGCAACTGATTTCAAAATAACACAATTGACGGAAGGTTGTTGTATGTCCGACTCACAGATGGGGTCCTTGATGAGAACCATCTTGTCGGTCTCGATGAAAGGTCCCATGCCGATGATGTTCTCGGCTGCGATTCTAAAGAAGTAGCCCTTGCCGTCGAGGAGTCCCTGCACCACGGCATTGTTCCTCGTCACCGTGTAGGACACTGAGGTCCAGCCCATGCGGTCTGACTCCCTCTTCTCAATGATGTAGTTGGTGATGGCCGAGCCGCCATTGTCCTCGGGGGAGGACCAGGTCAGCTTGCAGGAGTCATTGGTCAGATTCTCGCCAGCGAAGGGAAGACCGACGGGTCCGGGAACGTCTGGAGGGAGGATGGAGGGAACAGAAAGTCAGAGACATCAATTATGTGGTTAAGAGGTGAAAACGTTTGGGATATTTACACATATATGTAAGTTCAGATGGTGAAGGCATCTTAAGCCAATTATTTTGAGTTGTTTTTAACATAAACTCATTTTAAATAACTCTTCATCTCCTCACTCTGGTCCCCCCGACTCACCAAGGACCTCCACGACAATGGCCTTCCTCCTCTCTCCTCCCTCATTCTTGGCGCTCAGCGTGTAGATGCCCTGGTGTTGGCGTTTGCAGTTCTTTATGACCAGTGAATTGGAGATGCCCGTCTTCTCCACCACAGCCTCTTTGGGCACCTCTGCGTCATCACGGCACCAGGTGATCTGCGGGGCGGGCTTACCGGACACATAGGCAATGATGCGGATGGTGCCGCCGGCATGGACCACAATCCTCTCCTTCACTGAGGCGTCCAGGTCCATCTCAGGAGGAACTGGATGAGGGAGACGATGATTTGCATTTAATAAAATGTTGCTGAGGTTTTATCATCAGAAACAGTTGGCACAAAAAAACATCAGGTGGATCAGAGTCTTACTTGTTCTGTCTTTGACCTCGATCATCTCAGACACATATCCTGGTTCTCCAACTCCTGCAGCATTCACAGCTCGGACTCTGAAGCGGTACAGACCACCTTCCTTCAGACCGGTCACCATGTATTTGGTTCCTCTGACCTCTGTGTCCTTCGCCTGGAGAGACGATGAGGAGATGAAAACCAGAGCTGATGTAAACTCAATAACAGAGTCTCAATGTCTAAAACAGGAAGATGATAACTCCAAAGCAGGTGAAGCAAACCTTGTTAGGTAGCTTCATATTCTTTTAAAATACGACGCTCTGAGGAACGTCTCTGGACAAAACACATTAACAACTTTAGGGTGTGTCCTGCCTTTGTTCAACCATAGATTCTTTGCACTGTTAGTTATTTTTTACCAGGTGTTAAACTGAGGTTTAAGGTGAGCTCAGAGAAACTTTCCTCCTTCAGCAGATTACTAGTCTAAGTGGGCGGAAGTTCGCTGCATAGATCAGCCTCTCATTGGGCGGAACGAGCCACCCGCTGAAGTCCCGCCCTACCACCTCCGGTTGTGTAGCAGTTTTAAACCGTTTTCAACACGTCCTTTACTAACTTTTGCAGTGTTTGATCTTGCGGGGATGTAGCCATTTTTCTGCCATGGTTCGCGTCCTGTAGGCGACATTTTTGTGGGCGTGTTACACCAAAACCTGTTTTCCCCCGGCAATATTTTTGCAAGCGCACCGTTGCTGTGGCACCGCCCAGAACGATTGTGATTGGTTGAAAGAAATACAAGCAGCCGGGGCGTTTTTTTCTCCAATCTTAAAGTGAGAGTCGGCGCAGCCAGACCTTTCTTTTCTTGAAAAAGGTCTGGTGAGCGAGACTAGCAGATTACAAACTCTGTGAAGCTCAAACATTACATTGAAGGAACAAAAGGAAACATGTTTCTCAGTGGAGGAGGAAAAGTCGAAACTAGCATAAGATGTTTGTGGCATGGATCGCATATATAACCCCTATCAGAGCTGACTTTATCTGAGCCTATGGTCCTTTAGACTTTAATTCATTTTATGTTGTTCTATTACTTCTTGTCCATGATCCGACCTGGCTGGCAACATAATCTCCCTCTGTTCTATGTAAATAGTTGATTTTCTGTTTTTATTTCTATATACTTATATACTGTACTGTCATGTTACAATCTTGTCTTTGCATGAAATCGCATTTCGAGAGCATGTAGCTCAAGGACACATGTCTGAGTGACACAGGATTGGCAGGTGGGATGTAACATTGGGAGGAGTTTGATTTGATTATTGAAAAGTGGGCGAACCAGTGAGGCCCCAACAGTGTCACGCAGACGAGACAGTATCTGTCAGGGAGGTGAAGACAGTACGTTTCATGTAAAAGCTCAGTACTAAACGCCACGCCCTCCTCACTACTTCAGTCAGCGGCCCAGTTACCACAGTATGTAGGGGAAAGGAAGACACAGACATAGCATGTTGTTGCTAGCAAACCAGCTCTATGCGGCCAAAAGTTGGAGAAAACACGACTGGATTTTGATATAAGAAAAAATTGATTGAGAAATTGATTTCTTTGTATTTTTTCTCATGTACTGTTAAATATTTGATCTAAATTCATCATTTCATCTCAACTTTAAATCAACATGTTTGTTTTCACTCATGGAGCCTTTGGCGGTGTATTTTTTTACCTTTGCCCAGCCCTCGTCGGTCTCTGGCTCCTTCTCCTCCTCAGCGCCACTCAACAGCAGCTTCCTCTGAGCTTTCTTCTCCTCCTCCTCCTTGTTCACCTCCTTGAACTCTGCGATGTAGCCCGTGACCTTTGACCCTCCATCCACCAGAGGAGGGATCCACTCCAGCTCCACCGTCGACTTTGTCCAGTCCGTCACCTTAGGAGTGGGCGGTCCGGGAGGCTCTGCACACACACACACAGATACTCATATTAATGTGATAATTATCATATAAACTAAAATGATTCATTTATATTTACTGACATAAATAAAAGTCAATGAAAACGTGTCCTTCTTACTGATGGGGTCTCTGCAGAGTGTTGGATCAGAGGGCATGCTGGGCAGACCGCAGCCGGCGGCATTGACAGCAATGACCCTGAACTGGTACATGGCGCCCTCCTGCAGGCCGGTGACAAACCAGCTGTTGCCCAGAGGGAGGGCTCGGATTGGGTCGCGGCTGACGCGGATCCAGCGCTTGGCGGTGGTCTCTTTCTTCTCCACAAAGTAGCCCGTGATGGGGGAGCCGCCATCGTACTTGGGCTCATCCCAGTGGACGGTCATCGACTCCAGACTGACGTCATCTACAGTCGGCTTCTCACACTGACCGGGGACGGCTGCAAGAGGACAAGACAGGGATCAGTAATCAATACATCAGCTGTGGGAGTTAGAAAGAGGCTGTTGAAACTGAAGCCGGCAGGTTGTCGATGTGTACTCACTGAAGAGGTTTCTGGCCTTCTCCGGCTCGCTGACCAGAGGAGGACCGACTCCAAATTTGTTCTGGGCCATGACTCTGAACTCATACTCGTGGTTCTCCGTCAGTCGGGTCACCACATAGGCACACTCCTTGGGGTCGTTGGAGACGTGGACCCAGGACTTCCTGTTGTCCTCACGTTTCTCAATCACATAGTTGGTAATCTTAGATCCTCCGTCATCTGTGGGAGGGTTCCAGGCCAGGCCGATCCTCTCCGCAAACACTTCAGTGAACTTGATGGGTCCAATAGGTGCACTGGGAGGTCCTGTGGGTGGGAGGAGGGACAGGTAATGTTTGTTTTAGAAATTTTGTAGCATCAGTATGCAAAGATACAGGTCTGTGGTTAATCTTTGTGTTAGAAAATAATCATACGATTAACGTCATTACAACCTGATGTGACAACATTTTAAGTGTTACTCACCGTAAACGGAGACCTTGATCGTCTTGGTGATGCTGCCTAGGATGTTGGAGGCCGTCAGGCTGTAGAGGGCGGTGTCGTGTCTGCTGGCCTGCTGGATCAGCAGCGTGCACTTATCGTGGGTCACGAGTTTGTTCATATGCTGGTCATACTGGATGGGAGCCTTCTCCTCGGGTTTCGCCACACTGGCTTTATGCCAGGTGAGCGTGGGGAACGGACAGCCGGCCACCTTCGCCACAACACTGACATCACAGCCCTCCTCGCCTTCCATGGCCTCACGCAGCTCAATGGTGGGAGCAACTGCAGAGACAAATGAGATGCTTTATGAAAGGCCTGCAGAGCACGACAAAACTAACCAACAGATGAGAGTCTAATGTGACATCCTGATTTTTTTTACCTAACATGTTCTGTCCACAGAGGTCTAAGACATTGTGTTAATGAGGAGCCCATGACTGGCTGAAGAGTCTGTTACTCACATGTCTGATCCTTGATGATCAGGGGTCCAACGGTGGCGGAGGGTCGGCCTGGTCCAGCGGCATTCACGGCTTTTACTCTGAACTCATATTCTCCTCCCTGCAGATCAACAACAACACAGTCATCAGAGAGTCTACATCATCATCTTTATCACACAGTAGTTACATTAAGTAAAAGTTGGCACATTCCAAAGATCACAACATCTGTGACAGTAGAGAGGAATAGTGGGCTGGAGTCTCAGCTTCACCTCTTCACTGGTATCACTGGTATTTCTCAGGCAGGCAAATCTAAATCGTCCACTTTTGGAGTTCCTCAGGATTCAATTTAGGGCCTACTTTGTTTTCAATTTGTTTGTGACACTAACAAGGAATAATACAGTTTATTGGAGTACCGATTTTTAGAAAAAAAAAAAGAAAAAAGATAGATAAAAGATAAAAGTTAAAAATGTTTTTACTGAGAGCAACTTTAACAACATGTTGTGCTTGGACACTTTCCAAATTAAAAAACTATATATATGCTTGCCCCCTGACTCACACCACCACAAGTTTCAACCAAATTCAGCCGTTTCAATGCCTTTACATATTTTTCATCCAGAAATATTAGAACTTTTAACATCTTTACTGTCCACTGACAGCTCACATTTCCCTCAGACAACCCAAATGTTTAATGGACTTCTATAGAGCCTTTTTTTTTTTTTTTTTACCTTGACGGACAAAGCACCACAGATGACCTAAACATGGCAGTGAAGGTGATGTTATGAGAAAACGTCAGATTTTTGTGGGGTCTAAAATACATATGTACCGATACCACTTTTTCCTTCCCGATACCGATTCCGATCCCTGAACCTTAGGTATCTGCCGATACTGAGTTCCGATCCGATACCAGCATGTAAAATAAAAATGGATGGGATATGAATTGTTGTGTGTCTCAACTCCTAAAACTCTATGCAAAATATTAAGAAATAAATACATAATAGTAGAATGAATGCCAAAGAATGTTTCGTTTGCCTGTAGCGTGCGTATGCGTAATGACGTGAGGCATTACGTGGTATGGGATTGGTCATAGGCTGTACTCACCAATACTGCATTTTAGGCAGTATCGGAGGCATTTCCAATACTGGTATCGGTACAACTCTAGTACAAGACAGAATTACTACATTTTCTCTGGAAAAAGTAAAACAACTTCTTTTGAAGTACACACAACAGAATGGGACCAGGATCTACACATTATTTACCATCTCAAAAAAAGTGGATTTAGTATTAAGTTACTCTTAAAAAACACCTGCAGAAAAACACTCCTCTTTTATGTAGATTTTTCTAGAAATCAAATGAAACTACCAACAGCCTGGAGGGGAAGAAATCCTTCAGAAAACTGAGCTCTAATGTAGAATTAATATAAAATTGGTCATCACATACAAACCCACTTTGCTTAAGAGTGTTACTGATCATTAATGAAGATAGGAAGTAGTAAAGTAAGAGTATCCTTTGAAGAACGTAGCCCGACCTCCTTCAGATCCTCCACCACGAAGGTGAGGTCCTCCACGTCTCTCTTGTTGCACTGCTTCCACGTCTCCTTCTCTTTGCCGCTGGTGTCCCAGCTCAAACGCTCGATGATGTAATGCTTCACTGGAGAACCACCGTTGTTTTTGGGAGGCTCCCAGCTCAGAGTGACGGTGGTCTTTGTCACCAGGTTGATCTTCAGCTTGGTGGGAGGGTCAGGGGGGACTGAGGAAGAGGAGGAGGAAGAAGAGGACGATAAGTATTAAAACAGTTCCAGAAAAGTTGTGTTGTATCTCTGTGGTGGTCATAGCAGGTGTGTCCTCACAGATGGGGTCTCTGGCCAGGATGGGATCAGTGGTGATGGTGAATGGACCGAATCCAAGTCTGTTTTCAGCTCGGACCCTGAAGTGGTAGTTCTGACCTTCCAGTAGGCCTGGCACCACGAAGGCCTGGCTGGCACAGGCTGCATTCACCTGATGACAAATAAACCAATCGATCAATTAATTGCAAACTGAAGAATTTAATATCTTGAATTTAATGGATAGATTAAATTAGATTGTGTCCATTCTGACTGTAAGTCCATCTAACTTTGTGACATCAGTTTAAATCTGCTAAAGCAGATCATTCCATGTATGGAACGATAATAACAGTTTGTCATTACTGCTGACGTAGAGGTGGTTTGCTCAATGGCTAACCAAACAAACTGCTGAAACTGTGCTTTCATTCAGTTGGACTCAGAGACAAAAACAACTTTCAAATCTTATTTGAAAACCAGGAATTAAAACAATGTGGACAGACAGATAAATGGACAGAGTGATGTTTACCGTTGTCCAGGCCTTGTCAGCGAGACTCTTCTTCTCAAGAAAGTAGCTCTTGATTCTCTCTCCTCCATCGCTGTCAGGGAGTTTCCAGATCAGCCTGGCGGTTGACCTGGTGATGTCAGTGACCCTCAGCTCCTTTACAGGTCCGGGGACGTCTGCAGCCAGAAAAAATTTACAGTCAGAGTTACCAAGAACAACTAAACAGTGACTCAAACATATCAACTCGACAGATAGACATACCGAGGACGATGACTCTGACGTTAACATGTTTCTGTCCGGACTTGTTCTTGGCGGTGATGGTGTAGCGTCCAGAGTGGCTCCTCAGACTGACAGGGATGTTTACAACGGACGTTGTGTCTGTAGATTCAACCTGAATACACAGTTTTTTTTAAATCAGACTAAAACCCAGAAAACATGAACACGACCAACCTCTATAGAAGACAGTGTTCCATAAAATGTGGTATTTACAAATACGCTAGAATTCCCTCACAGCCTTCTTGAGATATTGCGTTCTCAAGACAGAGACGGGCGCAAGATCACAGTGACCGTAACCTTGTGCCAGATCCGTAGAAAATCCCACAAAGCATTTTAAAGATATCACATTCGCAAGATGGGATAGACCAACAAACATGATGCCTCCTGCCACAACTGTCGCCAGCACAGAGGCATAAAAACAGCAATACTGTAACAAAAATCCTCTTTGTATTGGCTCTTTTCAGTAAATAAGACTAAACAGTACAGATACATTGTTTTATGGTGATGTGGTGAGTAAAGCACTGTGTTGCTGGTCTCACCTGGGAGTCGACTGGCAATGTGTGCAGCTTGTTGATCTTGTGCGTCGGGGCTTTGCCATCAAAGTCCCAGGTTACCCTGGGAGCAGGGCGGCCTTTGATGGTGGCCGGGATCCTGATTGGATCTCCAGCAGGGATGCACAGCAGGTCCTCCATCAATATGTCGATGGAGATGGCAGGTGCAACTGTCGAGTAAGAGACATCAGTGAAGAGACTTGCAGAGAACAAACTCTGGATAGTTATAAAAGTCATTATTTATTTATTGCAGTGAGACTTAAGAGTGGGACTTACGCTGGACATCTTCAATCAGAACCTCAGTGGTGCGGGGGCTGGGGTCAGACTCCCCAATGGCGTTGACGGCGATGATCCTGAAGCGGTAACGTTTTAGCGGCCGTAGGCTGGGTACGGTGAACTCAGTGGTGGGGTTGAGGCTGTCAAGGTCATTCACCCTCGCCCAGTCTGATTTGCCCTCATCCTGGATCTGGATGATGTAGCCTTTGATCGGGCTTCCTCCATCACTCTCTGGTGGCTTCCAGGACAGTGTGACATTGTGGTTTGTCTTATCAGCCACCACAGGAGCGGCGGGCATGCTTGGAGGAGCTGGAGTGGAGAGCAGTGGTTTGTAAAAGTAGCATCCAATTTGGGATTTCCAAAACAAAGGAACTAGTCTGTCTAAGATTACTAAACTGCACAAAGAATTCAATTTATTGCAGTGTTTTAGTTATTTCAGATTATTTTGATATGTAGCACCTATTAATTATCCAACGCTTTCAAAGGAAGCCTGTTGTTTTTTACTCACTGATTGGATCAACAGCAAAGGCAGAGTCAGATGGTCCGCTGAATGGTCCAGTTCCTGCAGAATTGGTGGCAGCAACTCTGAACTCATACTCTGTTCCTTCCATAAGACGATTTGTCTGGGAAACAGACAAAGAAGTGGATTCAAAAAACTCCTGTGAATAGCAGACCTTCCTAAAGGCCTGGACACACCAAACCGACATCGGAGAACTAGCTGCGACCAGAGCCTTTTGCTGCGTCGCCACTTGTCATTGTGTCTCAGCCAAAAAGTTGCACATGAATACACCAAACCTCTGACCAACAAGTGCATGTGTTGTGCACCTGTGTGAGAAGACATACCACTCCACACCAACAGATGGCGGTCATCTGTAAACCTCATTCCAAAAAGGGAAATCACAAGACTGTTGACACTAATTAGCCAGTTAGCACATTAATAACACAATCCAATGAACAGAGCATTTTTGCCATGCACCAGTGAACAACAACATAAACCATCACGAAATGTTTCTGCTAAAGAGCTCATTTACTGAAGAAAAACAATCATTCCTCTTAACAGGTTTGTTTCGACCTCACTCCCTCTTGACTTTGGCTCTTTTTCTACATTTCTCATTTCCGTTTCTCTTTTCGTGCGCTGAGCTGAACTGACAATCAGACAGGTCTACAGGTCTGTCTGAGTGTACTTTGAGGTTCTATTTTGGTATGTAGGAGGTTTGGAAATATTTGGTTCAAAGACAGATCCTGAGACAGACAGGTAAAGACAGATAAAGTTGGAATTTATGGGAATGCCCACAAAATGTCACATCCTTTTATGCCAAGAATGAATACAAAGCATTTGCTACCATGCTGACATGTTGTTGTGTGGCTTTCTGCACATCACATGAATTTAAAAATCCATCAACATTATGGAATGGATCCCCACAGAAATAGAACTTTGTGTTAAAGAGTAAGATCCTTTTAGTTTGACCACAAACAGCCACTACTTTAACAGTCACTGATGATGATGCAAATGGAGTCTGTTGGGTTTAGCGATGGCGATGGTGGGGTTGTTTGTAGGAAAACAAAAAGGATCTAACGCTTTATCCAAACCGTGTTAGATTGTTTAGTCACTGGTGAAAAAGTTGTGAGCCTCCAAGGACTGTGCATGATAATATTATACAACAACAGCAGCCCGAGCTGCAAGCAAGGAGACAATCATTTATATTCAAAGTGAAAAGCAGCTCACCTGGTACTCCCAGCCTTTCATGCCCCTCTTGGTGATGGGCGTCTTGTTGACTTTGGCCCAGTAGGCAGTGCCTTTCTCCCTCTTCTCCAGCCAATAGCCGATAATCTTAGAGCCGCCGGTGTCTCTGGGAGGCTCCCATGTTAGGGTCATGGTGGTCCTCGAGTACTCTGCGATGGTTGGTTTCTCTGGTGGGCCAGGAAGGCCGAATGGGTCTATGATCTGGACCTCCTTCGATCCGCAGGGGTCAGATTTACCGTAGCGATTCTCAGCTCTGACCCGGAACATGTAGGACTTGTTGTTCTCCAGGTTCCACACCTGCAAGGAAGAGAGGTGGTGTCTCTGTTAGAGTTCCATAGAGCTTTAAAGACCTATGACAACCCTGTTGTCATTGCTGTTATTATTGGTACATACCCCGTATTTCTTCTCAATGATGCTGTTGGTAACTAACTCCCACTGAGGTTCACCTTCCTGCTCCGGCTCCCCTGTCACCACTTCCTTCTTCTCAACAATGTAATTGGTCAGGTCGCTGCCACCATTATCCACTGGTGCATCCCAGCTGAGGTAGCAACACTCTGCCTTGATGCTGGACACCGTCACATTCCTGGGTGGAGTTGGTCGGTCTGAGAGAAGAGCAAAGACAGTTAGTACACTCGCCACATCCTGTGTTTCCTGCCCCTTATTGAGTCTATGGCATGTTTCAACTCACCCAAAACCGTAACATAGATGGTGTGCTTGGCTGAGCCCATACTGTTTGAGGCAGTTACAGTGAAGCTGCCGCAGTCCTTCCTGTTGGCTTCTGGGATGGACAGTTTGGTCTTTGCGTTCAGCCTGCCGGTCACCACCGTGTCAATCAGCAGAGCATCAGTGGGCTTAGCGATCACCACATCATCTTTGTCCCACTCAACCTTCGGGATGGGGAGGCCGATGATATCAGCAGGGATCTCAATGAGCTCACCCTTCTTTACAGTAATGGACTCGCCCTTTGTCAGCATGTGAACCTCGGGAGGAACTGACAGGGACCAGAACAAAACAAATCAGCACACAAAGAAAAAAACAGTGCATGCCAGTTCATGATATTGAGACATAGAATGTTTCTTTAAACTGTGACCAAATTTTAATTAGTTCATTGTTGGGTCCAAGTGGATTTTTTTGCCAAATTTCAAGAAATTCCCTCGAGGTGTTCTTGAGATATTGCGTTCACATGAATAAGACAGGTGCAAGGTCACAGTGTACTTGAACTTTGACCTTCAACCGCCAAATTCTAACCAGTTCATTGTTGGGTCCAAGTGGATTTTTTGCCAAATTTCAAGAAATTCCCTCGAGGTGTTCTTGAGATATTGCGTACATGAGAAGCAAACGGACAAGGCCACAGTAAACTTTGACCACCAAATTCTAATCAGTTAATCCTTGAGTCCAAGTGAATGTCTGTGCCACATTTAAAAAAAAAAATGCCACACAAGAATAGGACGGATAGATGGGCAACCCGACAGCACAAAGGCATAAAAATCTGCCTTGGTCCCTCTCTTGAATGTAAAAGTAGGGTTAGGGTTTTTTAAGACCATTCCAAGCATTCAGCCTTACCTTCATCGTCTTGGATGATCACTGTCAACGGGATGGTTGGCTCACTCTCTCCCAATGCGTTGACACACTTGATCCTGAACTCATATGGCCAGGCATCCTCCAGGCCCCCCACAGTCATGGTCAAGTCAGTGCAGAGCTCCTTGTTGCATGGCTCGAAGACCTGCTGGTCTTGCCTCTTCTTCTCAACAATGTAGCCAAGGACAGGGCTGCCGCCATCATTACGAGGTGGCTTCCAGGTCAGCGTGATGGAATCTTTGGTGCGCTCGGTGTAGTTGAACTTCTCAGGGTTTGATGGAGGGGCTGCAGAACCATCAAAGCCACATTTAGATTTACAGGTGATTTTCAACCAGATCTGTGGCACTGCAGTGTGGACGGTATGTGCAGATAAACAGTATTTGGCTTCCCCTGTCTCGGCAACAGCCGGAAATCCCCTGCCCGTTTTGCATCATTCAGCAGATTTTTAGCTGGCAGCAAGGGGGGTGCCTTAACAACGTTTATCTCCACAGACTGTAGTGATGCAGAGCTGGTTGAAAATCAGCAACGTACACCTTTAACTACAAAATCCACTTTTCAACCAATATAAAATAGCCTTGATCTGCTCACAAGAGTGAATTTTAGACATTCGTTTCTGAATTAAAATCAAGAGATTTTAGGACTCACCCTGTGCGTCAACAGCAAGAATGGGCTCCAGCTCTACGGGCACTCCCAAGCCATACTTGTTCTTGGCAAAGACACGGAATATGTACTCCTTTCCCTCCACGATGCCCGAGCACTCGCACTTGGATGAAATGGTTTCAACAGGTTGCCTCCATGTGTGCATCTTGCCTTCTTTTCTTTCCACGAGGAAGCCGGTCAATTCACTGCCGCCGTCATCCACTGGGTCATCCCAGTTAAGGAAGATCATCTTGCGAGTGACGACAACAGGCTTCAGATCCGTTACAGGTCCAGGAGTATCTGAAGATACAACAATATCATCCTTCTGTGTATTCTTATTTAACAGCATCACTTAATTAACTTTCAAGTTTTATCATCAACTACTGACTTTGTTGACTTCCACTCACCCACTACTTCCACTCGAGCCGAAACATTCTTGATGCCACTGGGGTTGCAAGCAGAAATTGTATATTTGCCACAGTCCTTCCTCTGGCAATTCTGGACTGAAATGATGCTGTTTTCGCCCTCAGTGAGGACCTCCACACGGTCTTTGTCAAGTTTGGCGTCGTCCTTGGTCCAGGAAATGAATGGGTAGGGTTTACCTGTGACTTTAGCAGGTATAAGGAGTGTCGTTCCGGCTCTGACAATCATGCCGCTCTTGACGGCCAGGTCCATTTCAATCACTGGCATCTCTGTGGAAGGCAACCAAAGAAAGAAGCCAAAAACATAACATTTGTTAGATTCCACCAACCCTGTAGAACTTTTAACCAAATTAAATCATAATTTCGGTCTCTGTATTTTTTTTGCTCTGCGTTGGGTTTTTCTTTCCATCTGACCTGCTGGATTCATGACAATCGCAGCCTCTGTGAATCCTGGCGTTCCCTCTCCGGCAGCGTTGCAGGCAATGACTCTGACCATGTACTTGGCTTTCTCACGGACTCCGTAGACAGTGAAATTCCGGGCCCTCGTCATATGCTCTGAAGCTCTGGACCATTCCTTGGAACCAGCCAGAGACTGAAGAACACCATAGATCAAAGATACATGAGTCTGAACTAAAATCAATTTAAGGTCTTGCGTTGATGAAATCTGATAATGAACCTACAGCTACAGCAAGGCAAGACGCTAAAAACCAGATGTGAGCAAAGCTGAAAAAGCTTCAGCGGTGACTTGATCAAACCTTTTCCACATGGTAGCCAATGATCTCTCCTCCGCCGTTGTCAACAGGTGGGTCCCACTCTACTTCAATGGAGTGGTCGGTGGTCGTGGCCACTCGAGCAATAGGTGGTCCAGGAGGCACTATAGTGTCACAAATAAACACAGATGTTAACTGTGAAAGTAGCTTGTTCATGATTCTTGCGATACTTCATCATTATTCTAGTTTTCTGAATACCATCTAAAGCAGTATTTTTGACAAGTATTTTCAAATATGTAGTCTGACAAAAGGGAGACCACAGGGGGATACAAACAATTATTTTCCTCCAGTTCAACAGATATGGAGATGCAGATGAGAGCTGAACTGAACACAGGGTTTAAAAAAGTGTACGTACGGATGCGAGCCTGGGCCATCTTGGGTTCGGTGGGGATGCTGAACTTTCCGGGGCCGGCCTGGTTTTCAGCTGCCACCCTGAAGATGTAAGTCAGCCCCTCCATTAGACCTCCAACGTTCAGCTCAGTGGTTGGGACAATGTTCCTGAAGACAAGAGCAGAAGGAAGCTTTCAGATAACCAGCAACAACATTTCTGGTAAAATGGTATCAATGTGTTTCGACATTTTCCCACACAGCAGCTAACATCCAATTTTTTAGTCTTAGTAGAAATTTAGACAGAAACTAGGATGATACTGGTTAGAAACTTTCATCAGTTCATCACTGAGTCCAAGTGGACGTTTGTGCCAAATTGAAGGAAAGTCTTTCAAGGTGTTCTTGAGATGTCACATTCACAAGAATGAGACCGATGCAAGGTCACAGTGACCTTGACCTTTGATCACCAAATTCTAACCAGCTGATAACTGAGTCCAACTAAGGCTGTGTTCAGACTGCAGGCGAATCTGATTCAAATCTGATTCCTTCTCAAATCCGATTTTTGACTGCTGACTGTCCACACTGTTTTTAGCAAGTGTCCAAATCGGATTTGGCTCTGTTCAGACTGGGCCACATTATTGACCAATCTGACAGGTTGCTGTGGCAACGACATCGGAGCGGAGGCGTCATCTAGCGTTTATTGTGTAATGTCATATAAGGAGTTGTTCAGACTCAGACACATCTGTCCAAATGCGATTTGAAACTACCTCCCAAAGGTGGTTTCGATCTGGTTTGCAAAAATCAGATTTCATGTCATTTATGACTGTTCAGACTTCATAAGAGCCATCTGGTTTCTAGATTGGCTAAAAATTAAATTTTGGCTGGCAGTCTGAAAAAGGGGGTTTGTGCCAAATTTGAATGAATTCCCTCGAGGCTTTTTTGAGATATTTAGTTCACGAGATTGAGGTGGATCCAAGGCCACAGTGACCTTGACCTTTTGTCCATTACCACTAAAATCTAATCAAGAGAATGTTGATGCCATGTTTAAGGAAAAACTTTCAAGGTGTTCTTGAAATAATCAGTTCATGAGATTGAGGTGGATGCAAGGTCACAGTGACCTTGACCTTTGATCCATAACCACTAAAATCTAATCGAATGGATGTTTGTGCCAAATTTGAAGAAATTCCCACAAGGCACTCTTGATCTATTGCATACACAAGAATGGAAAGAAGGGACAACCTGGAAAAATAATGGCTCTGGTCTAAGCTATCGCCAGCACAGTGACATAAAAAGATTTTGTTTACTCACTTGTTGGCACGTGTCCAGCGTGAGCTATTGATCTCACGGCGCTCCACCCAGTAGCCAATGATGGGGCTGCCATTGTCGTTTGGTGGGGTCCAGGTGACCAGCATGGTTTCGGCTGTGATGTCATTAACCTCTGGCTTATCAGGGGCCTCAGGAGGGTCTGAGGACGAGAAAGGGATGGCAGAAAGAAACCAAGTGAGAGTGAGAAAAAATTACAAACATCAAAATGTTACATTTAAAGTTCTTGTCATGTAATTAGCACTCTGAACTTTTAACAAAACTTTAACATTCCTACTGTTTTTATCATCTGTATAGTGTCCATATAGTGTATACTCTCAAAATTATTAGAAGTTAATAGTTTGTAATGGTTTTTGGTCGGCAACAACAGCCAACAAAAATGGAAAATGAAGGAACCTAACATTATAAGGTAATTAAAAGAAGCATTTTATTCATAACCATTATTCATAACCAAAGGAATACTATTCAATTCAATTCACATAACTGAGGGGCAATTTAAGAACAGCTCACTGAGTAGTTCAGAGAAAAAACACACAAGACATAAATAACTACAATATAAAAACAAGTGTAAAAAACACATTCTTAAAGTGCAGTGCATTAGAGTCCAGTCCAGCCCTCCTATACAGTCTCAAGCTTCCTGAGAAAGTAAGGTTTGATATATACACATCTATTTCCAAACAGGTGCATAGGAGAAGGACCAGAAACTTGTAGAAAAGACATTGCATTTTAGAAAATGTAACTTAACAAAAAGGACTTAAGCATGTGTTCTCAAGAACGTACCTATCTAATGTAAACTTTTTTTGGGGTATGTTTCAGATTATCACTAAGCAGTTTTTAATTTTACTTTTTATTCCTCTATTTCTATGTATAATGTTGATTGTTACACTATTTGATATTTGGTATTTAGCCTTTCCACTGCATGTGGGTAATATGACTAATCGCAAACTCAGAGCCACTCCTTCTTAGGATTTGTTACAAAACTGTTTGCCTGATGAAGGTCCAATAACTGAAACATTGCAGCATCATTATATTCATAACCAGTTTAGAATGTATTTATGTAAGTGTACGTAAAATGAGTAAAACACACTTTAAAAGTAACCACAATGAAAATGGAGGACTAGAAGATACCTTTGGAATATCTGGGACTTAAACACAAGCTGGGCTAAACTGGATAAAAACTGTCTGAATTGGGGACATTGGATAATGGTTCAATTATCATTTCACTTCAACTGTTATGTAAATACAGAGTTGTTGCTTTTTATGGACCAGTCTTGGGACATTATGATTTGTACATCTGCTCTTTGAGAAAATGTAAATAAAACAAACAAAGAGTAAGAACGGCCCAAAAAAAAGTAATCATATCTGTTTATAAAGTCTAAACGTAGCAGTTAATGTAAATTGATTCGGCTCATAAATCCTGTTATTTATGATTAAATGAAAGGGTTTTAAAATATTCAGCATGTAAAGACATATATTTACCGATTTGTAACGACTAAATAATAAAAGTCTCAAGTTACAAATTAAAATGAATACAGCGCCCCCTAAGGTCCTCTTAGTTGCATTTTTTTCAGTGATATTTATGTTAAATGTTAAAACTAAAAACCAAAGGAGCTTCACTTGTAGTGGGAACAGGAGTAATAACAAAGAACATCATACCGAATGGATTCTTGGCGATAAGTGGTTTGGAGACGCAGTACGGGCCCGCGCCGAACCTGTTCTCCGCGGTGACCCTGAATAAGTACTCCTTCTTCTCGATGAGTTTGGGCACCAGGAAGCGGCATCCTGTCAGCATGGAGGTGACGCAGCTCCAGCCGATCTCCAGCTTGGAGTTGTCTTTCTGCTCCAGGGTGTAGTTGAGGATCTCGCTGCCACCGTCGTCCAGAGGAGGATCCCACTTACAGATCACAGAGTTCTTCCTCGGCTCCTCAAATTTGAAGTTCACCGGAGGCCCGGGTGTATCTGCAGGTGGACAGACGAAACAACAACGTTTTTATTTGTCAAATGTCTAAAAACTACAGCCAGTCAAACATTCACAACAAATTAATATTCTATTCAGTAAAATGCATTGTTCATTTGTCATTTTCACATTCTGTCAAACAAAGAATTCAATGTGTTTTTCTTCTCTAATAAGTGAAAAGAAATAACCATCGGTCATTATACGCCAAAGTCTTCTCAGACTGATTTGATCGACGCACTCGAGAGGCTGAAACAGTGCAGCTGGACAATGTTCAGCATTTTGTTGGAAAAATGTCTTGATAAATTAACTGACTGTCAAAAAGTTAATTTCAGATCAAGCTATGTATCTCTAATCTCCTCCTTTTGTGTGTCTAAATTGGGAAGCACACTGATTTGTTAAAAATACAACATTTTAAGACACTGTTGTTATTGCCTTGTTTATTATTTGATGATTTTAGATTTAAGATTTAATGCTAATAATAATCATTTAACACTGTAATTATTTCATTATTTTACAAATTAATAATTTCATTTTATGATTTAATTATGTTGCAACTTAATAATTTAACAAATTAATGATTTCATTATTTAATTATTTTGTGATCTAATGATTATGTATAATCATTAGATCATATAATGACTTTATTTAATTATTTTACAATCAAATTATTTTAATATTTTACCAATTAATCATTTTAATATTTAATGATTTAATAATTTTACGATTTAATACTTTTATAAATTTGTAATTTTATCATTCACTTATTTTGCAATCTAATAATTTTATAATTCAATGACTTTATGATTTAATGATTCAATTATTTTATGAGAGGCTTCTTACCGAGCACGTTGACCTCGCAGGTTGCTGAGGCTATGCCGTGGTCGTTCTCCACCTTCACCATGTAGACGCCGTGGTCAGGGCGGTACGAGTCCTTGATGATGACAGAGGACACGCCCCTGCGGCTGTTGTTGATGGTCAGACGTTCATTAATGGTCGGATAGTCGATCTCCTCCACCTCAGGCTCTGCCACCTCCTCTTTCTTCTCCTCCTTCTTCTCCTCCTCCTTCTTCTCCTCTCCCTCCTTCTTCTCGGCCTCTACCTCCTCTTTCTTCTCCTCCTTCTTTTCCACCTTCTTCTTCAGGGGTCTCTCGGGCCTCTTGCGGAGCGGCTCTGGGCGGATCACCTTGTTGTTCCAGTACCAGGTGATCTCAGGGTACGGTGCGCCAGAGATGTTGGCGTCCAGGCAGATGTCACAGCCGCGCCTCAAGCTGAGGCCGGACTGCAGGCTGCCGCTCAGGAAGACCTTCGGAGGATCTGAGAGAGGACGCAAGTCACATTAACGTAAAGTTCAGATTAAAACCCAACAGCAGCATCATTATTAAAGAAGAAGGCTGTAGATCTATGAAACATCTGCTGAAACCGAAACAGACATGAAAGTGATGTTACTCTGAATATCTCAATAAATGTATTACCTTAAAATTTCCTCAAAAATTTGTTGAAAGGTCCTCGTGTTTGGATACTGAAATACATTTTTTTTTACGATTAGACTATAACACTGATGATGTCATCCTTACCGATGGCCTCCGAAGCCTTGACAAACGGCGTGTTGCGTGACGGCTCGCTGAGCCCAGCAGCATTCTCGGCTTTGACTCTGAATGTGTACATCTTGCCCTCCTTCAGCCCTTTGACGGTGTAAGACAGGACGGGCACCAGGAAGTCGTTGCACCTCTCCCACTTGTCCTCACCCTTCATCTGCTTCTCCAGGATGTAGCCCATGATCTTGGAGCCGCCATCGTACATGGGAGGCTTCCAGGTCAGAGTGACAGTGCTGGATGTGGGGTTGTGTGTCTCCACGTCCACCGGCGGGTCAGGGACGTCTGGAACCAGAGACGGATTTCAGTTACTTTTCTCATAACTTCCAAATGTGAAAGTTTGTTGATACAAACTCTAAGTTCATGAATCATATCCAACAGGAAATGTTTTTTTCTCACGTTTCTGGTCCTCTGCGATAACCGGGTTGCGGAGCTCAATGAACTCTCCTCCTCCGACCTTGTTGACAGCCTGGACTCTGAAGTAGAACTCTCCGTTGGGGATGAGGTCTTTGACGTTCCAGCTCACCTTGTTCTCTCCGGACATAATGTTGACATACGTCCTCCTGCCAGCCTCACGACGCTGCACAAACAAAACAAACATCAGTTTAAATCTTTCAGGACCTGACATTTGATTTAAAACCATCATCGCAGCTTAGAAACAAAAACATGCTGCTGACTCTGACCTGCAGGACGTAGTGTATGATCGGGGTGCCGCCGTCGTAGTCTGGAGGATCCCAGGTCACTTTGCAGGAGCTCTTTGTGATCTCAGATGCCAAAATCTCCTTACATGGACCAGGAAGACCTGAAGACAGAGACAGAGGGACGTGTTAATCAGTACTCCAGGACGTCTCTGTGATTATCTAAAAACTGGATGAATGATGGAGTACCGATGACTTTGACGTTGATGGTGCCGCTGGCGGCTCCCAGATTGTTCTCCAGGGTGACTTTGTACTGTCCTGCGTCAGCATGAAGGCTGCTGTCGATCTCCAGGTGACAGGAAGTGTAGTCCTTCCTGTTGGACACAAACAATCCCATCAGCCACTGCTGCTCACACAGACCAAGAACATGAGATCACCCTGAACCAGATCCAGGGGGGCAGTCGAAATGATCAATTAGCTGATTGTTTTCTACGCAAAAAATCCAAATATAATCTGGTTTCAGCTTCCTCGATGTAACGATTTAATGTTTCTTCTTTGTTTTATATCATGATAACTGAATATCTATGAGTTTTGGACTTCAGGTCAGACCAAACAAGACATTTAAAGATGCCACCTCCAACTCTCATAAGCTGACTTGTCTTTTAATTAAGAACATCTGCAAATCAATCGATAATTAAAGGAGTTTTTGTGTGTGATCAGCAAAGATTCAGAACAGATAAACAAGCTGTCTATCCAAGTCACAATCTCAACAGTCTTTGTTCTTCAAAGTCGTTTTTGGACATTTAAAAGCTTAAACAGATGAGCCGTGGCACTGACCTGAAACCAACGCGATCATCGGCCTTCAGCTCCTTGCCGTCTTTGTGCCAGGTGATCCTGGGTGACGGGACGGCTCTGAAGGGAACTGGGATGTGCAGCTTCTCTGTTTCCACAACAACCAGGTCCAGAGTCTGGAACTCCAGCGTCGGGTTGCCTGGAAACATACTCGTATTAGTTGATTTACATAACCCTGCACAAGAACTCTCCACAGACAGTTAAAAACTAGCAGATGCTCTTACACTCAGACTCTCTGGCGAAGACGTTCTCGGAGATGTCGGAGGGCTCGCCAACTCCGACAGAGTTAATGGCCCTCACTCTCAGGATGTACTCCTTCTCGGGGACCACGCCTTCCTCCACGCGGTACTTCAGCTCCTTCACTGGACGGGAGTTAACCCTCATCCACTTCTCCGTCCCGGCCTCACACATCTCGATGTGGTAGCCAGTGATGGGGCAGCCGCCATCTCTCTGAGGAGGTTTCCAGGCAATGGACAGGAAGTCCCTGCTGGCTCCTGTGACATGCAGCTCGATAGGTGGTGATGGGGCTCCTGGAGGAGACAGGACAAACACATTTAGACTCTTTTCCTATGATGCTTTTAATGAGCTGTTGATCATTACTGGACCAACCTGTTGGATCCTCGATAGCAAGGAGCTCTGTGGGTTCGCTTGGATGGCCGACGCCAGCCTCGTTCTCAGCGCAGACCTGGAACTGAACCTCAGTTCCCTCAATGACATCCGTCACTCTGTACTTACAGTCTGGACCAGAAGTCTTCCCGCATTTCACCCAGCGGGTTCCAAGCCTCTCCTTCTTCTCAATGGAATACCTGGAGGGCGGAGTCAGCAAAAGATAAACACACCTTCACACTGGAATGCCACCGCTGCAGCGTGCACCATTTACTCTCTGATGTTCTGACATGTGCAATAATGTTATAAATGAAACTAGCATAAAGTGTCCAACAAATACCAGGACATGAGCTCCTGATGAGTTTTATGTTCTTTATCTTTGGAAGCTCTCTGATATTTGGTTCAAATACTGTTAGCAGCACTATTACCCGGTTTTGGGGGAAGGTAACGCACCCTTCACAGGACGCGAGTGGTTACGTCAGTTGGAGGCCTCCACGTGGGGAAGACAGACAGGACCCTCGACCAATCATTGCATTCCGTCCGAATGCAATGATTGGTCGGAATTTTCATAGAACCATATGAGAATGGTATAATTATGAGTTTTTATCTCTGGTGGAATTCACTTACCATCGGCTTATTAATAGCATTTTAATCCAAACAAAGAAAAGCCTAACATTTCCAGAAAGGTAAGTGTTGCTTTAGTGTTGAAAATGTCTTGCCGATAAAGATTTAGATGAAACTACAATTTATGTTGAAGAAAGTTCCTCTAGACCTTCTTGACATATTGTGTTCATGAGAACAAGACAGACACAAGGTCACAGTGACCTTGAACTATGAACACCAATCCTATCAGCTCATTGTTGAGTCAAAATGGATATTTGTGCTAAATTTTAAGGAATTCCCTAAAGGCATTTTTGAGATATCACGTTCAAGAGAATGGGACAAACGAGAGGTCACAGTGACCTTGATCTTTGTCCTTTGACCACTAAAATTTAGTCACTTCATCCTTGAGTCCAAGGGGACGTTTGTGCCAAATTTAAAGAAATTCCCTCAAGGTGTTTTTGAGATATCGCATTCACAAGAATGAGACAATTAATGTATTGCCTCTGGCTATCACCTGTGCAGAGGCAAAAATGTAAGAAACACCTACTTGAGGATGGGTCTGCCACCATCATTTTTAGGCTCCTCCCACATCAGGTCCACGTATCTCTTGGTCACAGCATTGACAGTGAGGGCATACGGCGCCCCAGGAGTAGCTGCAACAAAAACAAATTTTATTATATCCACCCTCCTGATTAAAATAATTCATCACCACATGACTCAAACTGCTCTCTGACTTACTGAAGGTGTCTTTAGCCAACACAGAGTCCTCCAGCTCGCAGAACGGTCCCACACCAACAGCGTTCTCAGCGGCAATACGGAACACGTAGAGAGAACCTTCATTGAGTGGCGTCACGGTGTACTTCAGCTCCTTGACTGTGGTGTCAACGGCCTGCCAGCCTTTACGCTTGGCGTCACGCTTCTCCACTATGTAGTTGGTGATGCGCGAGCCTCCGTCGCGTTCTGGCGCAGCCCACTTCAAGTCAGCGCTGTTTCTGCAGATGCTGACGACATCCAGCCAGCGAGGAGCCGATGGAGGGTCTGAGGAGATGGAGACAAAGACGTTTTGATGTCAGCTCTCAGAGATTTACTGTCATGTGATGAATTCGTAAGTTAGTCGATATTCTGGACAATGAGTTTAAATATTGTTAGTTTAACATGTTTGTTTCATTTTGATTCATTTGTTCTTACTGAGTCTCTCTTTGCAGAGCACAGGGTCGCTGGGCTCGCTGGGTTCGCTTTCTCCAGCTGCGTTAACGGCTCGCACCCTGAACGTGTACTCCTGCTTCTCCATCAGGCCCTTCAGGAAGTATTCCAGGGTGGTGATGTTCTCTGCCGTGCGGATCCAGTCTGTGGTACCGCTCTTCAGCATCTCAATAATGTAGCCTTCGATCTTTGCTCCGCCGTCGTGCTCTGGTTTGGTCCACATGACGAAGCAGGAAGTCTTAGCTACGTCCTTCACCGTGGGTTTACCAGGAGGCCATGGAGGATCTGGAACAGTGAGAACATGATGTTTTTAATGCTCTGAAATGATTTTAGATGCTCATAAACGACTAAGGTGACAATATTTTTTGTACCAAATGGATCTTTGACAAGGATCGGGTCTGTCTCCTTGCTGGGTTTTCCAGTTCCAGCCAGATTCTGAGCCAGAACTCTGAACTTGTACTTCTTCCTAGTGGGAAGACCTTTGACTCTGCAGAGGAAAAGGCATCACATCAACAGACTGAAAACTAAAGACTCAAAGTGTAAAACTCCTTTCAGACAGCAGAGCAGGCAGACTCACCTATAGTTTGTGTCTTTGATGGGCACCTTGTTGCATCTCATCCACCTGTCATGTTCGGGTTCATATCTCTCCACCCAGTATCCGGTGATGGGGCTGCCTCCATCCTCATCAGGCTCGTACCAGTTCAGGGTCAGGGAGTCCTTGGCAATGTCTGAAGCCTCCAGCTTGTAAGGAGCTCCAGGAGTGTCTGAGGAGAAGACAGGAGGGATGAGATTAGTCCCAGCTGACCTGGAGGCGGACTGATGCAAAATATTGTACCTTACCACGAAGGGATTGATCTACCTGAACCTGATCTGACTGAACCATTACAGGAAAAGCCTAGCAAACAACTATCAGACCAAAGCCTGGTAAAAACAGACATCCTCTGATCAGGTGACCTACCGAAGGGGTATCTGGCAATGATGGATGGGTGCTCAGCCGCTGGGCCAACACCAAACTGGTTCTCTGCGAAGACTCTGAAGATGTACTCCTTGAACTTGACCAGGCCCACAGCTCTGTAGGTAGTCAGTTTCACGGTTGAGGACAGCCGGTGCCAGATCTCGCTATCTGTGGCTCGGCGCTCGACAATGTAATTGGTAATTCTGGAGCCGCCGTCATCACGTGGAGGGTTCCAGGCCATAAAGCAGGATTCATTAGTGATTTCAGAGATATCGAAGGCAGCTGGAGGACCGGGCTTATCTGTGGGAGGGAATTTTAGTTTTATTAACCAGAAACTAACAAAGTCATTATGGAAACCTTCATTCTCTGTTGTCAGGTGACCTTACCGAGGATGTTGACCTCAACAGTGGCAGTGGCACGGCCGCTGCTGTTGGTGGCCTCGATGATGTAGGTGGAGCTGTCATCTCTCTTGGTCTTGGCGATGGTAACGGTGGAGTGTCCCGGCTTGGTGTCGATGGAAACCCTGTCGTCTGGTTGGAGGACCAGGTCAGCTTTCGTCCATTTCACGCGGGGTTCAGGCTTACCCTTCACCTCTGCAGGGAGCTCAATCTTGCTGCCGCCCTTGGCAGTCAAACCAGCCAGCAGCTTGACGTCCAGCTGGATCTCTGGAGGTTCTGCATGGACGATAAGGGTGAGGGGTCAGTCAGAAGTTTGAGGAAATTTCAACTTTTAACTTTATCTGCTGTGCTACGGGACTGATTTTGTTAATTACTACAAAACATGACTATCAACAGATCAACAGTTACCCCTTTTCCACCAAATTAGCTTTGGTTCTTGAACCAGTTCCGTTCAGGTTTATTGGAACCTTGGTGCTATCTAATGAACCAGCCTAAGTTTCAATTGATTTTGAGCAAAACCATTGTAAACAGTGTCATCAGTGGAGGACAATTCACAATGGAAGTAAACAGTAGTAGAAAGATGGCAGATCAAGTTGATAACCTGAGTACTGAAGTCATCACGAATTGAACTTAAGGTCAAGGCAAACCTGCTACTTTTGGTTCCAGCTGGGGAACCAACTTTCTGGGTTGAAATGCTTTTGAATGGTTCAAAACTAGTTGCGTGAATGAAACTAGTTCCATGTTGGTGGAAAAGAGGTAAGAGTGTGGTGTAGAGCTCCCCCAAGTGTTCACTGGTGGTAATCAAATATGAGGTTTGTTTATTTGCACACGTTAAAATCAAGCAAATGACAAACAAATTAGGGCTTTAACTGACGTTCTCTTCATTATGTTCTTGACTATCTAAAGGAGTAAATCAGTAGGTACATTTGAAGTCTCAATTTTGTGTTTTTCTGGAGCTCTTCCACTTCATGAATATGTTGAATGAGCTCAAGTATATCTGTATATCTATCTAAATTTGTTTAGTCCTTGATTCAAGCACAATGAAACACTGTTTCCAGGTCTCTAACAGGAAGACATTGTGGGTACCTTTGGGATCAACTGCCTGGATCTCATCGGTGGCCTTGCAGGGTCGGCTGGCTCCCAGCTTGTTCAGGGCTCGGACTCTGTAGGCGTACCACTGGCCCTCAATCAGACCTGTTACCTGGCACTTCAGCTCCTGCACCATGTCCCCGCAGGGCTCCCACTTATCTGTTCCTCTCATGCAGCGCTCCACATTGTAGCCTCGGATGCCGCTGCCGCCATCGTATTTTGGCGGCTCCCAGGTGAGGAAGATGCCACTGGCGGACTTGTCTCTCCACCTCAGGTTCTCTGGAGGGTCAGGGATGGCTGAAGAGAAATGAGACAGAGAGGTTAGAAAGTTCCTTTGAACGCAGTTTAAAAGTTAAACTAACTTGATGTTTGTGGTAAAAATGAGCCATGGAAACCATCGACTTAACGTAACGACATAATGGCCAGAATCACAACATTACCAGGAACTGCTTATTTTAATCTCAGGTCGGACTCACTGGCAGGAGACGAGACATTGACGGGATCGTCGATGTACGCCGGCTCTCCTGGTCCACACTTGTTGCAGGCAGTGACTCTGAACAGATACTCCTTTCCTTCAATCACGTCAGTGACTGTGAACTCCGTATCCTGGATACCTTGGGCCACCTGAGAGGAAGAACACAGCGGCAGTGTGAAATCATCATCAGGCGTCTGGTCAAAGACTTCCACGTGTTTTCATCTAAAGACACCCACCTTGACCCAGGTCTTGCGGGCCACATCCCGTTTCTCCACCTGGTAGCCGGTCAGAGGACTTCCTCCATCGTGCTCCGGAGCCTCCCAGCTCAGGTGGACATGTTGCCTGGTCACCTCCAGGACTTTGAAGTCCTTTGGAGCGCTGGGCGCCGCTGGAGGACACAAACAGATACACAGTGATACCAACCACACAAACAACAAACCTTCCAATCAACTGAAAACAGTTTCTGACGGTGTACCGATGACGTTGACATCGATGTCTCCAGTGACAGACGTGACGTCATTCTCCAGCTGCAGAGTGTAAGTGCCTCTGTCGGGGCGGACGCTTGGTGTGATGATCAGCTCTGTGAATGTGGCCTTGGTCGTCATGGTGACACGCTCGTCATCGGTGCTCAGCTGCTTGTCTCCTAAGGTCCACTTGGCGACAGGGATCGGGTATCCGGTGATGGGGACTCTGATGGTGAGAGGCTGAGGGACAATCACCTCCAGGCCATCTTTAAAAGCACTCAGGTCAAAGGTTGGACCGACTGGAGAGGAAACAGAGAGGCATGGTGGGAAATTAAACGTTAAATGTGCTTTAACTACATTTCTGTGGGGATTGATTAGTTTAATAGTTCAACATTACAAAGTGATTGAAGACACTCTGTCTGTCTCACCATGTGGGTCGTCAGCCAGCAGAGGGCCGACAATGTTTGACGGCTCTGAGACTCCAGCGGCGTTTTCAGCAAACACTCTGTAGTTGTACTTGTTTCCATATTTCAGGCCAGACACCTGAAGACAAAATTTAAAGGTACAGTGTTAAAATAAAATGAAGTAAAACTTGAACCAGGACACAGTTTTACTGTGAAGGAGCCACTGTAGGGCTTTTATTGAGGAGGGGCCACTTTGAGACTTTTACTTTGATACAACTACTAGATGACTTTTAATGTGAAGGAGCTGCTAGAAGACTTTCAATGTGAAGGAGTACCTCGAGGACTTTTAATTGTGAAGCAGCTACTAGGATACTTTTAATGTGAAGGAGCAGCTGAAGGGCTTATACTGCGAAGCAGCCACTAGGAGAGTTTTAATGTGAAGAAGCCACTAGAAGACTTTTAAGGAACAGCTGGTTGACTTAGCTGGAGGACTTTTACTGTAAAGCAGCCACTAGAAAACTTTTAATGTGAAGGAGCAGCTGAAGAGCTTATACTGTGAAGCAACTGGAATAAGACTTTTAATGTGAAGGAGCAACTGGAGGGTTTTTAACTGTGAAGCAGCTGCTAGAGGACTTTTAATGTGAAGCAGCCGCTGGAAGACATTTACTTTGAAGGAGCTACTAGAAGGCTTTTAATTTGAAGTAGCAGCTAGGAAACTTTAAATGTGAAGGAAATGCTGAATACTTTTAATGTGAAGGAGCAGCTGGAGGGCGTGCCTCGCAGGAAGTAGGGAGCTTTACCTGTGAAGACATTTACTGTGGGGACTTTGACAAAGAGACATCTAGAGGATGGTACTCTGTAGCAGGTGGATGGTTTTATACTGGTTGAACAACATACATTAAAGTGTCTCATGTAGCCTCAAATGCTAACAGAACCCCCCTGTGAAAGTTTCGCACTTGTTTTGTGAGATGAGGTCACTATCTGACAAACTGGAAGCGATGATTTATCTGAATCTGTACCTTGTAGAAGAGGTCTGGGCAGAGGCGGGCGTTACAGCGGAGCCACTTGTCGTTGCCTTCCTCGTTACGTTCAATTATGTATCCGGTGATCATGCTGCCTCCATTCCTCAGAGGAGTCTCCCAAGTGAGATTCACCGAAGTCTTGTTCTGGTCCCCCCAGACCAGATTCAGAGGGGGACTGGGAGGCTCTGCAAAACACGGACACAAAAAATTAACTAAAATAACAGAAAGAATGAATTTACTTAATTGTATTTCAGCTGTTTAGAAGGATTAGGATAACCATTTAAAGTAAGTTCTTGTTAAAGTTTCTTACTGAAAGAAAAAGAGCGATGAATCCTAGCTTACCAATGGGATCCATGATCTTGACGGGCCGCGAGGCAGCGCTTGGCTTGCCGTCGCCAGCTTTGTTCTGAGCTCTGACTCTGAAGATGTACTCCTTGTTCTCGATGACGTCATTGATGACGGCACTGAGCTCGTCAGCTTTGGTCACCTGGACAGGCATCCACTTCACAGACGTCCTGTCTCGCAGCTCGATGACATAAGAGGTGATGGGAGAGCCTCCGTCCGACTCAGGAGGTTCCCAGGCAACGGTGCAGCCAAACTTGCTGACGTTTCCAACGATCACATTCAGAGGAGCCTCAGGAACATCTAAAAATAACAATACACAAAACAAGTCAGTAAACTGAGAGCCACGCTCTGGTGTTCTGGGAATTATTTCACCAAGTTTAGTCGTATATCTTGTGTTGGTTAATGTTTTTATCCCATCAGCTGTTCAAATCATATTTGGTGTACCTCAGGGATCAATTCTTGGACCATTTCTGTTCTCTTAACCTCTGTTTTCTCCTATTTTACCACTTGGACAGAAGAATTAACTAACTATGAAGACAGATTTGAAATTAATGTAATTTGATTTTCCAGCTCAGTCTACATTGGGTATAACGGGTAATGTACCGATGTTAACCCAGAAATTTATCTTCAAATATCAATATAAATAAAAGTAATTCTTACCAAACTTGTTCTTGGCCTGTACGGGTTTGTCGGTCTCAACGTTGGGTCCGCTGCCGACCCGGTTTCTGGCACACACTCTAAACAGGTACATGGAGTCTTTCTGGAGGCCGGTCACTGTGTACTCTGGACTGTCAGCCTGGTCAGTGGCCAGCGTCCAGGTCTTACGCTTCACATCACGTCTCTCCACCACGTAGCCAATGACCTTGGCGCCGCCATCATTTTCAGGCTCCTCCCACGCCAGGCTGACCTCACCATCGGCTGTGTCGATCACCTGCAGGTTCCTCACGGGTCCAGGGACATCTAGAAAAATTGAGGACAAAGTCACATTTATTGTCAGAAAAGTGAGGAACAAAGTTTGTATAGAAAGTAAAGTTCAGTAAAGTCCACATGACAATGGATTTAGCTTGGAACTCACCAATGACCTCCAGGTTGATGAAGGCTTCTCCCTCTCCGTGTTTGTTCTTGATGATGACCTTGTAGCGGCCCTCATCAGCCTTCATGGGGTCCTTCAGGCGGTACTCTGTGCGGTCGGCGGATGTGTAGATGTTGTCTTTGGGCAGACTCAGGTTGTTATACAGCCAGTCAGCCTCGGCCTGTGGGTAGGCGCTGTAGGGGACGGCCATGACGATGGGCTTCCTGGCGTCTGTGACGTAGGTCTGGTCTGTGGTCTTTATCTGAGGCACAGCTGGAGGAGGAAGAGGAGGAAGAGGGAGACGCTGTCACAGAGACAACAACACTGGAAACCAAAGTTTATCAGCTTCAGGTTCATCTTGACCTTTAATCTCTCTGTTTCTTTAAACAACTGATCTTCGGATTTTTAAGAGTCCTGTTTTGAGCTCTTACCTGCCAGCTCCAGCTTGGCCTTGGCGTCTTTGTCCTTGACGATGACTCTGTACTCTCCCTGATCTCGAGGTCTGATCTCACAGACCTGCAGTCTGTGGATTTTACCCTCGCTCATCATCTGGTATTTGTCTCCCTGGACAACCGTCATATTGTTCCTCAACCACTTCACTTCCTGTCTGTCTTTGTTGAGCTCCACCTCGAACACGACATCCGAGCCTGGAGGTTCGAACATGTCCTGTGGCGGTCTGACGATCTCCACCGGCGTCTCTGCAGGACAGATACCAGATATTCATGACAGATCAACCAGAGCAGGAACAGAACAGGAGGTTGTTGAAGTAAAAGCAGTGAGTGGAATCTGAAGAACCTCACCTTCAACAAAGAGCCTGGCTCTGGATTTCTTATCGTCCACACCACAGGCGTACTCACACTCATCGTCCGGTCTGCACTCCTTGATACGCAAGGTGCACAACTTTCCATCTTTTTCAAATGTATATCTGGGAAAACAAACAGCTTACTTGAGTCGATAATAAACCATAAGTTAAGATTTAATATGAGCTGCTAACGTTAGCATGTCTGGCTATGAAACTAAAATAATAAGAGTTTATAGATGACATACCTCGGTCCTTCTCTGATCTCACGTCCGTTTCTGTACCACTTGGCGTCGGCTTTCTCTTTGGTCAGCTTGCATGTGAACTCCGCGTCCTCGAACTCGGTGATGGTCTGGTCCTTCAGGTGCATGTCAAAGTCTGTAGGTGCCTCGCTGATGATCAGCTCTGCGGTGGACTTGTTGTCTGCGGCTACGGCAGTGTACTCGCCCTCATCCGCCAGCGTGCAGTCCTTGATGGTCAGCGTGTGCTTCTCTTTGTCTACTCTGTAGACAATGTGTTTGTTGAAAGTGATCTCCTGGCCGCCCTTCATCCACTTCAGAGTGGCGTTGGGCCTGTTGACCTTGCAGGAGAAGCTGACGGTCTTCTTCTCCTGAGTGTCGATGTCCTCCAATGGAACCACAATCCTCAGACTCTCCTCTGAACAACACAAAACACCAAAATACACATCGTCAGCTCGAACAGAAATTGAGCTCAGTGCTGCGGAACGACTTTCAACTCAAACAAAAAGAGACTAAAACACAGAGCTGCAGTCCAGCTCTGTTTATGAACTCTGTTAAACATGTCTGACCTTTGACGGTGAGGTCGCAGGAGCTCTTGGCGTGCTCTCCTCTGTGATTGGTCAGGTTGATGCTGTAGTTGGACTCGTCTCCCTTCTGGGCGTCTCTGATCCTAAGGGAGAAGACGTTGTCCCTCTGGACCATCATGTACTTGCTGGTCTCGAATATCGTCTCGTCCTTCTTGAGCCACTTGGCCTTCGCTCCCTCTGTGTTCACCTCACAGTTCAGGACCACTTCCTGTCCTTCTCTGGCCTCCGTGTCCTTCAGCGGCGTGATGATCTTCAGTTTCTCTGCAGGAAACAAAACAAACCGTCGGACACGCCGATGAGTAAGAAACCCTCTATATCACTGTTATTACTGCCGGAGAAATCAAACTGCATTTAATTTACTTAAAACTAAAGAACACGAAGCAATTAAAGTCATGTTGTCATTTTAATTTCTTAGGTGATTAAGTTGACATTTAGTTAAAAAAACATTTGAATAAAAATGACAAACATATGTAGGAATGTAAACTAAATGATTACTTCAAAATAAAGTGATTGAGAAAATTAATTTTCTTCCCTTAACTAAATTTTGTTTTGTCCTGTGGCGGTAAAAAAAAAAACTATGCAAAACTTAATATATAAAAAAAGTTGTTGAAAGTTGAAATCAATTAACCTTTAATTAAAAAAAGAAAAAGAAAACAAAACAAATTAAAGAGCTTTCTTGAGAATCTGATTTTTGTTGTTTTTGTTGAAGGTGATTTTTTGTTGTTGAAAACTTTAAATTAAAAATGAGTGAGCAAGAAAGAAAAACCTAAACTTAAGCTAGAACATGCACTAACTGATAAATAAAAAGAACTATTAGTAATTTGATTTCTCTTTAAATCCGACCATGTTCAGCTTTGGGGACGAACTCAAAGTTGAAGAATTTCAAAGTTAAACCTAAAAAAGGAATATAAAATCCAACAAAACAAAATAAAATGAATAAAAAATAATGATAAATGTGTTAACATACATTAATTTCTTTTACAACAGCCTCATAAATCTCAAATGTATGAAAACTTTTTTCTGCCACTAAGAATTTTGACTTTTTAATTCCAATTTTTAAGTTCCTCATATTTGACTTTTTATTATATTATGTTTAATAATATTTAAATTTCCTGACAGTGTATTTATTTATTTTTTGGACAGGAATGAATTTCCATATAATTCTCCTCACAACTCCTGATTCATGTTTATTATGGTAAAGCGAGCAGGACATTATAGGATTTAAAATTACATCAACAAAATATTTTGTAAAGTTGTGTTCACTTTATTTAAATTTAGGGTTTAAAACAGAGTTTCACTTCTTTTAATGTGAAAAAAATCTGTCTCTAATAATTAAACTGATCTAAAGTTTTTTTTCTTGATAATATCAAACTTTATTGATCCTGAGGGGAGTCGTTTCTCAGCAGCTGCAGTACATAATATTAAAGAGTGCAAATGAAACAAAGTATAAACCATAAACAATATTGGTAAGATACAAAAACTAAATGGACACAACACAGAAATATCACCAGTTAACAGTTAGATGCAGGTTAAGGTATTTTTATCACTCGACACAGACTGAGAGTGAGTGGGCGGGGCTTACCGAGCACAGTGAGGTCGGCGCTGGCTCTGGTGGTTCCGATCATCACCACGTATCCGCCCTCGTCTCTGAGCTCACTGTTCTTGATGACCAGCGTTCGCCTCTTGCCGTCGCTGACCATCTGGTATTTGTCTCCGGCCTCCAGCTCCCTGTCGTCCTTCAGCCATTTGACCTCATAGGTTTCCTTGGAGACAGAGCAAGTGAACTCTGCCTTCTCGCCCTCCACCACCTCCTGGCTCTGAGGCCTGGAGATGAACTCAGCAGCCAGTTCTGAAACACGGGAAGATCACGTACCGATCACATGACAGAAAAACAGAAAAGTAAAACCTGCTTTCACGCTACAGTTCGTTTTTGTTCGACATGTTACGTTTTTATAAATTTATTTGTGTTTGATGAAAAGCAGCGTCTGCAGCTGTTTATCTTTCTTCAAACAGCTATAAAATATTATTATGGGTGTGATTTTTATTAGATAAATTTATGATCAGAGGCTTCAGATCACATTCACAAATGCTCTGACATGTTTTTTCTTTACCGTTAATCTTGAGGTTTGCGGATGTCCTGATGCTAGGACTCAGCCTGCAGTTGTACTCTCCCGCGTCGGCCATCTTTAGGTCCTGGATGAGGAGGATCCTCCTCTTCCCGTCCACGATCTGGTCGTGGCGGCCGCCCTCCGGCAGCTCCTCGTCTCCTTTGTACCAGATGACGTCAGCGCTGGGTTTGGACACCTCGCAGATCAGCTTCACGCTGTCCGTCTCTGTTCCCTCCACGTTGGAAAGGTTCTTGGTGAACCTTGCCTCCTCCTCTGCAAGGAGAGGAAGACAAACAGCAGATGTCATTGAAGTTTAAATTACTGAGAGCAAAGAGACTTTTCTGGCTTCTGTGAACTTCTGTTGTACATTGTTTTAAAATGTCTCAACATCTGGATGATGACTGCAATATGTAATAAATAAATCTTCATCTGTTTATTTATCAAGATGAATTTTAGATGAATTTAAAAATAATTAAAAATGTTAAATAACAATTCAATGACAAATCCCCACATAAAAGTAGTGGTGTAACAATCCATCGATCTGGACTGATGTATCGGTTAAAAGATCAATGATCCTATGTCACTGATGCAAAGTAAAAACGTCAATCCATATCGTCATCTTTAGGATATGCTTTTATTTTGAAAGTCTGTGTCACCGTCAAACAGCATCAGGCAGATGATGTTATTTACTTGGAAATAAATCAGTAGCGTGGAAATATTTTGGATTTCGGAAAATACGGGTCAACAAAGTATGTGTCGTATGTAAACAATGCTGTTACAATGAAACATATGTACCTGTATAACGTACCTGGACGAGTATCTCCGTTAACTTCTCACAACAGAAACATTAATATTTACACCCCTCAATAAAAGAGCTGAATGAATGTGCTCAGGTCCAATTTGTTTTAACCTTTTAATTGGATATTTAACTGATGTATTTTATTTATTTTCTTATCACAAACTAAATCTGGAGATGCAATTTTTTAAGTGCAATGATTAAAGTCGCTATTTTAGTCATTTTATTACATTCAAATAATGATAACAAGATCAACATGTGTATGTTCTCATCAAAATTCATCATATTGATATTTTTTCATCACAACTTTTGGAAAAAGATGTCTTTTGTGTCTGAAAATGAGCTCATATACGATGTTCACTCCAAAATAATCCAGTTAAATGTAAATTAGCTGAACATTCGCAGCTGCAGATTTGTAGAACTGGATGATCCAAACAAGTTCGTACTTGTATAAAGAACCAGGTTCTAAACTCAGTTCATATGTTTGTTTATTCTTACCGACGACAGTAAGCATGCCGGAGGATTTGGAGGTCTTTGCGTCACATTCATATTCAGCCTCGTCGTCAAACACCGACTTGTGGACGATGAGGATGTGTTTGCGGCCTTCAGCAATAATTTCATACTTCTTCCCCTTTCTGATTTCACTTCCATCTTTGAACCAGCGGACCTGCGAGACGAGATTTCAGAGACGTTAAAGAGTGAAGAATCTTTTTCAGACTTTATAATCTGGACAAACAGAGAAAAAGAAGCTGAGCTCACTTTGACGTTGTCTCTGGAAACTTCACACTCAAACCTGGCAGATTCCTTCTCTTTGACCTCGACATCATGGAGTGGCTTCGAGAACTCGACATGTGGAGCTGTGGACATACAGAAAACCTCTTTACCTTAAGTCTTCAGGATCTCTTACATGTTCCTTAATGAGAATTCATACTTCCTTAATCTCAACCTCCAACCTCCAAGAGATTTCTTAAATGTAATGAGGGGTTCTTTTACTCTAACTTCTCCTTAAACTTTATTAAGTCTTACAAATGACTCCTCTAATGAGGCAATGTTTTTTCAGGGTCCCTTAACTCCAAATACAAAAGGTTCCTCAACTGAAACAATTGAATCTTTACTCCCTTACCTCTGAGTAATTTAATTAGTACTTTAAAGGTCTTTTGTTTTTTATGGGTGTTCCTTAATTCAATTGAGGGGTTTCTGTTCTATTTTTAGGTTTCTGTTCTATTTTTAGAGGTTCCTTAACTCAAATTAAGGGGTTTTGAGGGGGTAGGAGTTCAACTTTTAACTCTGAAGGATTTTTAAAGTCTCACAAAAGGTTTCCTTTTTGTTAGGGATCCCTTAGCTGCTGAGTCCCTAAATTCAATAGCTCAACTGAGGGATTTCTAATCTGTTTTTAGGGGTTCCTTCACTCTAATTAAGAGGTTGAAAGAATTTTAACTCTAAAAAGGGATACTTTGATTTTCTTGAGGGATTCCAAAAGTCTTAAAAAGGTTTCCTTTTTGTTAGAGACCTTTCTACTTCCATGAGAAGTCCTACAGAAGGTTTGTTAGCTCAACTGAGGTATTTCTCATCTGTTTTTAGGGGTCCCTTCACTCTAATTAAGGGTTTTGAGGGGCTAGGAGATCAACTTTACCTCTAAAAAGGAATTATTTGACTTTCCTGAGAGATTCCTTAAGTCTTAAAAAGGGTTGCTCTTTCCTCTGCCATAAAAACCGTCTTAACTCCTACAGAAGGTTCCTTAGCTCAAAATAGCGATTCTTTAACCTTTTTGATGAGTTCTTTAACTCATATAAAGAGTTCCTTAAATTTTTTGAGGGATCTTTCACTTTGACATTGGATATCTTTACATTTTTGATGGGATCTTTAACACTTAGAAAGGTCCTTTAGCTTTTAAAGAGAATTCATGGACACTTAAGGAGATCCATTTAGGGTTAGGGTTCCTTAGCTCTAACAAGTAGTTCCTTAGCCTTTAGAATTCTTAACTTTTATAGAGGGCTATTGAGCGTTCATGGTGGTCCCTTAACTTTTGTAAGGGGTTCCTTAAACATTTTGAGAGATCTTTAACTCTGACAAGGGATTGTTTACATGTTTTGAAGGGTTCCTTAGGTCTTATAAAAGTTACTAATCACTTTCTCTTTTAGCTTTTAATGGGGGTCCCTTAACACTAATGGAAGATCTATTTACTCTTATAGAGGGCTCCTTACCTCTTAAAAGTGGTTCTTTAACTTTAATAGAGGGCTCTCCAGCTTTTATGTGGGGGCCTTAAATTGTATGCAGTATACCTCAAATCTTAAGGGGTGTTCCTTGACTGTTTGGAGAGCTCACTTTTTTGAGTGGTTTCTAAAATCTTACTGGGGGGGGGGGGGGGGTCCTTGAGTCTTTTAAAGAGTTTCTCGACTTTAAGAGGGTCCTTTCACTTTTATGGGATTCCCTTTCTGTAAAGGGAGGTTCTTAATCTCTTACAGAGGGTTCCTCAGCTCAAATAAAGGATTCCTGAACTTTTTTGAGGGGCTTCTTGAAGTCTTACAAAGGGTTCTTGGACCCTTAGAGGGTTCCTTTATCTTTTATAGAGGGTTCCTTAACACTAGATATCCATTTACTCTAATAGAGGGTCCCTTATCTCTCACAAGTGGTTCCTTAACTTTAAGGTTAGGTTTTATTAAGGCTTCCTTAATGCTTTTAGAAGATCCTCTTGCTTTTATTAAGGTCCCTCAGCTTTTACAGAGGGGACTCCTTAACTGAAGTTATTCTTTAACTTTTTTGTGTGTTATTAAGGGTTCCTAAACTCTTATTAAGAGTTTGTTAAGGTTACTGACTTCTTTGAGGTCTCCTTTAACAAGGGGTTCCTTCTGTTTTTTTAAGGGGGCCCCTTATCCCTGATGAGGACTTTCTATAGTCTTATAAAGGGTTTCTATGGTTCCTTAAATCTTATTAAGTGTCCTTTAACGCCTCATAACTTCTGTAAACTTGTGCTAGTTCTCAGCTGTACTCACGTTCAACGTTGAGGAAGCAGGAGGTTTTGAAGTCTTTGGCGTCACAAGTGTACGTTCTCGAATCGTCCATAGTGCAGTCGTGGATGAGCAGCGCCCTCTTGCGGCTCTCGACGATCATCTCGTACTTTTTGGTCTTTCTGATCTCCTGTCCATCCCTGAACCATCGCACCTCTGCATTTTCTCTGGAAACTTCACACTCAAGTGTGGCGGTGGCTTCCTCCTCCACCGTCTGGTCCTCCAGAGGCTTAGTGAACTCCACCGGTGGCTCTGAACACGCACAGAAAAACACAACAAATGTTTCCTTTGTTTACATAAAACTCAATCAGAACTTCCTTTGGAAATCTGCCAGTCAGAGGTGTTGCACCTGAAGCCCCGCCCAGTAATGATGTCACAGTGTACTGACACACCCTTGAGTATATGTCTACATCACTGCGGCATGGTGAGTCAGCTGATCTTACCTCCGACGATCAGGTTGGCCTCTGTCTGGAAGTCTTTGGCGACGAGTTTAACTTGTCCGGCTTCATGTAGTTTGACGTCCCTCAGAGTCATACTGTGGACTTTAGCCTCCGCCTTCAACACCACCTGTCCAATACAAACACAGAGTTTAACCTGCCCTCAACGCTGTCTGTCAGGTTCAACAGAGTCACTACATTTCACCTGCCCTCAACACTGTCTGTCAGGTTCAAATAATTGAGAGGGTGTAACCATCCCTGAACATTGTTTGTCAGGTTAAACAGACTGTGACTGTGGACTTTAGCATCCACCTTCAACACCACCTGCCCAAAAGTGACACAGCGTTTCGCCTGCCCTCAACACTGTCTGTCAGGATTCAGCAGAGCCACATTTAACTTGCCCTGAACACTGTCTGTCAGGCTCAACACACTGCCTGTAAGCTCAGAACACTGTCTGTGGATTCAACAGAGCCACAGCCATTAACATGCCCTCAACACTGTCTGTCAGGTTCAACAGAGTAAAAGAGTAACCTGCCCTGAACACCATCAAATGGTTCAATAGAGTCAGGAAGTGTAAGTGTTTAATGTGCCCTGAGTACTGCCTGTAGGTCCAACGGAGCCCATAAGTCAGTGGGGCTTAACCTTCCCTGAACTCCCCCTGTCAGGTTCAACACTGTCAGTTAGTCAAGAGGTGTAATGTTCCCCAAAATATGCCTGTCAGGTTTACAAAGTCACACAGTGGAGTATTTGGATTTTTTCAGATTATGGGTTTTATCATCCATGAGCACTGACTGTAAGGTTAAAAGGACAGAGTCATTGACTGTCAGGGTTTACCCTGAACTCCGTCTGTCAGGTCCACAGTAAATACTAAGAGCGACACTGACAGTGTATTATCATCCCTGAACATTGTAAGGTTCAGGAGACACAGAATCAGAGATTGTATGCATGTATGTATGGATTTTTCCCAGAACAGCAACTGTCAGGTGAACAGCATACACTTAAATATACACATATAATGTGGGTTTTATCATCTTTAAACATTGTCTGTGAGAATCACAAGAAACAGAGTTGAACTGGAAGTCACAGGTCTGGGGGTCAGTCAGCTGAGGCCTGACAGTTGAAACATATCCAGGCAGCTGCTTTCCTTCCCCCGATTTAAACTGCACAACCTTTGACACCTGATGGCTGATTTTAACACACACCCACACACATAACAGAGACACATAACTCACCGATGAGGAATTAAACATATTTCCTGTTCACTGCTTCTTTTTAAAGAATAAAAAAATAAGCATGATTACACTTACCTTTATTTTTCAATTGTAAGAATTAAAAAACATTTCTGCTGCACATGTTTATCGTTATATGACCTTTTTATTGTTTTTCTGGGATAATTTTTTGGTTTAAGAGGAAAAAGAATGTGAAGTACTTTCAACTTTTTCAATATTTTAAAATGCTGATGAGTTAAAAGTCTGTTTCAGAAGATGTCTGTTAGAAGTCACAGACTGGTTCCTGATCTCCACTTTGGAATTAAGAATAGACCTTTAACACATTTAGGTGAACAGTCAAGTTAAAACGTTTGTTGTTTTGTCCATTCCTAACCAGCTACAGACGATTTAATGTTTTTACGCTGAGTGAAGAAATTAAGGAATTAAAAGCAATAAAGTCTCTTCGCTCTGCAGACAGAAATTATTTGATTTTAGCTGTTTTCGATTGAATATCCCTTTTTTTATTCAGTTTAAAGTTAATCTCAGATCAGCTGTGATGTTGCTTCCCGTCAGAGTTTCGTAACAGTTTGGTTGTTAGTGTGGGTGTCGGGGGATGGACAGGTTGAGCTGTTTTATTGTTTTGTGAGTCTCTTTGAGGTCTGTTAACTGCTTATTTTAATGTTGTAAATATCACCAAAAAATTAACACACAAAAATACACCAAAAGTTTTGTTAAGTTCTCCTCAGTGAAACTAAATATGTGGCTCAATAAACTTCTTTGTTTCGTAACACAGCTTTATATATCACTTTAATGTTTCTAAACCTGAATGTTTATCAGTTTTGTTGTTTTAACTTTTAAACTCCAGTTTAAACTCTTTAAACTGACGGGCAAGGAGGTTCAATAAACTCAGCTCAGTCATTTTCACATTAATCTGCTTTGTTTTCCTGTTTTAGTTTTAGTTTAGTTGCTGATCTAGTTTTTCTGAGAGTAATAATGTATTTCACGCTGGTTACATTGAAATTTATCTTTGCTTTTGAACACTAATCTTCAAATTAAATCCGTCCCTGCTGATACAACCTTGACTTTACTTTGTTACGAAAGAAAACCAGCACATAAATCTTTTATGTAAACAGGAGACATTTACCGACTAAACAACTAAACAGCTCTGAGATCTCAGGAAGAGTTTCTGTCTGCAGTAGCATCACAATTAAAGACTTTAAAACAACAACTTAATTTACTCATTTTACATTTAAAGAAAACAGGCGAAGCTGTCGAACAGTTTTAGTTTGTGATTTGATGAAACTGTTGATGTGGTGTTTTGACCATGTGACATGCAGTAAATCACACTTGCACAACCCACAGAGAGATCACGTGTCTTTGCAAACCTCACACTTCTCATGTTACATCCGATAATCAAACTAATCCTGCGTTATGACAGGACATCGTTTCAAGGCCAGACTCACGGCCAGCTCTCTTTTCAGCTTTTTTTTTCAGCCTGAAAACAGCAGAAAAACATCTACAGCACGTTTCAAAACTGAAGCTGTTAAATAGCTCCTGTTGCCACCTGCCCTGCGTCTCAACCTCCTGCAGCTGTTAAAAATAACCCTGCAGAAACGCTTGCAGGGCAGAAAAGTCTCCCTGCCTGCGTTATCTCAAAACCAGGATCGAATGCTCAGCAGGAATCCTGAACCTTCACCAGCAGGCCCTTATATGAAGACAGGCCGAGGCTGCTGCAGACAACACTGAACATTGTGTACAAATAGAACGGGAAACAAAAGCCTGGCTCTGGACCTGAACCACCACAAGGCCTGAAGGACCTGCCTGAACTCCTGGAGGATCTGTGGTGGCTTCATTAACTGTCAGTGTGTGGTGTGTGTCAGGAAGGTTACAGGAAGTGGATGTGTTTGTTGTGAGGACTCAGGTGTGCTGGGACTTACTCTGTCGCTTGGTTCCAGCTTTGTACCCCCCAGGAACCACTCGACAGCGATGCCTTCATAGGACAGCTCGCACTCGAAGGTTGCGGTCTCCCCGGCAGTCACAGTGACATCCTTCAGGGGCCGCTCCAGGCCGATCACTCGGGCTTTGGATTGGGGAGAAGACATGATTAGTCCCCCCCCTGAAACAAGTCAATAGATCCAAAAAGTCCCCGCAGAGAAACGGCTGATCCTCAGTGGCTTATCCTCATGGTGGTGTTGAGCTGAAGACAGGCCGCTGGAAGCCCTCAGGACAACTGAACACCGCCACCGTGGGACTTGGCATTGGGGGGCCTAGCTCATTAGCATACGACCTGCCATCAGATGTATATGGCCGGCAGAAACCAGTGAGGGACGGGGTCGCGTCCTCCCCCCTGCCAATCACTGCAAACCTACTCTAGATAAGGCATGTGGCTTCTAAAATAACCGGAGGTCCTGATTGGCTGAGAGCCCACCTCTGCCAAACCCATCAGCAGAGGCCAATCTGCTCCTGTCAATCAGCAGCCTGCAATTTTCCTGGAAAAGGAGAATGTAGAGCTCCTCGCACGAGTTACCCAACTGTCGGGCCGCCGCGCGTGTCATAACGCTGTGGTGTAACTGGTGTTTTGGAAAACTGAGATCCAGGATGTCAGATTAACAAGCTGCATCAAATATTTACAACAGGCTTCTTCACATGCCTGAATTAAAGCCTCTTAACAGCTAGTTAAGGACTGACAGTGTCGGTGACAGCCAGCTGTCAGTCTGAGGAGTTTACAGTCTTCATCACACTGAGAGGGACACGACATATCTGCTCAGGAACATATCAACAATCATAACGTTTCACACACTGCAGAAAAACCTCTATCTGAACCAGTGATTTCACCCTCTGAGAGTTCAGTGTTTAAAGTCGTCCACACTGCAGAGAGTCTGTGACAGCGTCGTGATTTACTCTGAGGTCTAAATTACAGTTAGTGACGCCTCAGCTGTGAAGCTTCACAGTCTCAACTCTCCACCTGTTACAGCATTACATGAGAAATTAAGAAAGTAACTGTTGATGTTTGAAGATCATTCTTTAAAACAAAATCTAAGTCTCTGTTCTCTACTGATTTTAGTTGCTTGTCCTAAAGCAAGAAACCTGTTAAAAAAAAAAAGTTTTAAATGTCCAGTGTGTCAGATTTAGGGGGATTTGGTGGCGTCTATCAGCAAGGATTACAGATTACAACCAGCTGAAACTTCTCCTGGTTAGAATTCCTTCAGTGTTTATTCTTAAGGAGCTGAATTATCCTCAGAGGTCTCCTCCTCTCCAAAACATACAGACCAGCTGATCTAAAGAAGAAGTTTAACATGTAGCAAACCTGTGTGTGTCTGATACTGCTCCTTGCAGAGGTGCTACTGACTACGAAAACACAAATATCCCTATCTAGAGCCAGTGTCTGGTTTGTCTATTCTGGGCTACTGTAGAAACATGGCAATCTCAGTGGACGAGGACCTGCTCCCTATGTAGATATAAACAGCTCATTCTAACATCGAGACTCAATCAGTTTAACTGAATGTTTACTATTGGACTGTCCTGACAGCCCGCGAGAGACGCAGTGCAATACAGCGTAATGTGGCACGCCATTTTGAATGAAACTTGGTTTCACATGGTTGAAATGAGGAGTTACCTAAAGCCCCGTTTCCACCAAGCAGCCCAGTACAGTTCAGTTTGGTGCGCTTTTTTCCTGTTTCCACTGTGAAAAGTTGTGGATGGTACCAATGGAACCGTTCTGTACCGTCCCCATGTTTGGTCCCCCCTCTGTTGGGGTACCTAGCACACAGATCTGGTACTAAAAGGTGGAGCTGTGAACACTGCAGTCTGATTGGTCAGTAGAGGACGGTCACTCTGCTCAGGGCTGAGTTGTGTCTGGTTTTGAGGCTCATGTAACCACTGTTCATACTATGGAGAGTTTTATTAGTAAACTGTAACTATAAAATGAAAGGATGTGTTGCTGCCTCTCACAGCAGCTGGAGTCTGACAAAAAATAACTTCATTCACTGGGCTGACTGCCGGCGACTTTTAAGGTGGAATGTTAACTTGTTACTCAATGCAAGAGTTGATGACGTGAATCCATCAGCACACCTTAAATTTCACTGTGACAACTTTAACTGTTCCATCAGTTTTTATTGTCTCTCTTGGATGATAGAAAGTTTTAGTAATGAGTGGATCTTCAGGCATTAAAAAATATATATTAAATTCGCCTGGGTTATATGAACTGCATATATTCTTATCCTCACTTGGAGAAAAAAAAGCGTCGCAGGGCGTCGTTCCTGTGGGCTACAGCAACACTAAACCCCTGAGCTTGCCTGAGAAGGACTAAAAGCACAAAGCTGCTATTTTTAAATATCCCATGGAGAGAGACTCTCACTGCAGCCTGTTCTATTTTGTTCTGAAAATGTCGGTGTGCAGCCTCGTTCTGTGGACGATAAACCAGGTGCAGACATCCATCTGTGTCAACAATGACAACATCCCCACCCACATTTAAGAGTACTGTTTGAGGTGGAAACACCAAACACACTGAGGGTATAGGTACCACGTCTGAAGGGTTACATTTGGTTCCAAAGGTACTGTACCGTAAGTGTTTGGTGGAAACGTGGCTTAAATGACACCTTCTCATTTCACTATAAAAACCTGAATAAGCTGGGGTCTGTTTGGAGGGAGATCTCCAGGGAGGTGAACATCTCTTAAAGTATTACTGTGTGGGACGCTCAGCAGATGCTGCCATCAAGCTAGCTCGTTTTACAAAGTGGAGACGGTGGTATGATGCAGACAGTGGCTTGCTGTTTGGACACAATGTAAGGTAACAAAAACACAATGATTTTTATTGTCAGGTAATTAAACATTAAAGAAAACATTATATTTCTGCTAATATATCCCCCAAAATCAGACACACTGGACTCTACCCTCTTCAATCAGCATTTGAGATTAAATCACCTCTTTCAAAGTGGGATAATGTCACCATAATTGAGTGGATTTTGTTATAGTTGCATAAAAAACAAGTCACTGAATAACGATGAAAGAATAAATGATGGAGGTTTTGTTGCAGTGTAGAACATATTCAGGTCGTGTTATATGACTTACTGATGACACCGGGCACAGCAGAATTTTTTCTCTGCAGGTAACATTGGTTAACAGTTTGTTTATGTTGCGTTGGTTGGAAGAGAAGAATTTCTTGTTGTACCAGATGACTCTCTGATTTGCTGTAAATTTCTAAACGAAGGGAATTTATATTTGTTTTATAAAATGATTAAATCTTTGTTGTCCCCATATTCACCAGAAGCTTTTCTCACTTTATCTTTACACTTTAGCTTTGTTTTTGTTGGAGCAGGCGGCGGCTCTAAAATGTCGAATTCACCATGAATGTATTTCATTTTTTAATTGATGATTAACATATAAATAATCTTTAGTGATGGGTTTAATCTAAGTTAGTTAAATATAAAGCTACAGTCTTGCCTGATATCAGACAGAATCACCAACTCATTACGCTCCATTTCTTAACAGCTCAAACTTGGTTGAGCGAACAGATTCAAAGGTCTGCACCTGGGAAAGCTACAGCCTCCAGCTGGTTAGCTTAGTTTAGCATAAAGACAGCTAGTCTTACTTACCATTAGGTAGAGACTGTGCCACTCCTTTTAATGAGTATTTTACTCAGAAAAACTCTCTCATGCTTTCAATTACTTTTTCAACTTTTTTAACAAACATTTTTGCAGGAAAATGTTTTTTCATTATCTTTCTTTGCCAACACAACTCTCACAGATATTCTGGACTATACTCTTTACTCTCAATGTCAGTTTTACTTGCATATCAGCAGTAAGCATCTTCTGATTGAAGCTCCCTTCAAAAAGATACTTAACCCACTATTTTTCCAGTCAGCCAGAGAGCTTCTAAAAGCTGATTAAAATTAAACTTTTTGTGAAAAGCACCAAATTACCAGGTGGCGTCAAACACTTTCCTTTCTCAACCAACCAATGAGGATAAAGGAGATTTTACGTTTCATGTTTCCCACAACAAAAGAACATCTCACATTTCAAATCAAGTGTGCAGGAAAGGGACGAGTTGGGCAAAATTTGCAGACGAAAACGGCTCACTTGCAAAAGAAATAAAATTACTGCAATGTTTTGGTAACTTGACCTTCATCAGGAAAACAGTAAATGTATTTCTGTCTGCAAATTGTGTCCTATGCCTCTCACAACAACATGTAAATTTTGTCATGAAACTGTTACCAAATTCTGGTGAGTTAATTAACAGTCTGCGTGTACTCGGATCCGAACCGAAACCAGAGTGTCATCGGTCAAGAGGAGGACTTACAGGGATTTTAAGCTGCCTACCAAAAAATGTTTTCACAAAGTGTCTGTGGTAAATGTCCCTATTGTTTCTGTCACCTTTGACCCTGAGCTGAGCTGAAGATTTGGCATTCGCTGCCGCGAAGTCTACAGTTCCGGCCATGTCCATTTTGCAGTTGTAGAGGATCAGCGTGTGTCTGGTTGCCTCCATCTTGACCTCCACATCCTGCAAACAAAAATCTACAGTTCAAACAAACTTTCACAACAATCTCTTAATCTCAATTTTGAGGCAAGGTCACAAGAAAAGGTGCTTATACAAAACATTTTTACTTATAATATATGAAGATTAAAGTTAAATTGATTTAACTGAACAGAGTTAAACTGAGCATCCCCAAAGCGAAAGGAAATCATTTTTATCCCACTGGCTTTTTCTCTGGATTAAATCAAAATGGCACCATCTTTATTGGTGTTTAATCTTACAGCAGACGGGTGGAGTGTCTCTTCCTTCAGTTTCCAGGTGCCGTGAAGGTCCTCCTCTGAGATCTCTGTCTCAAACTTGGCGGTCTCTGTCTCAGTGACCTCCACACTGTACAGTGGGCGGACAACCTTGATGTCGCGCTCTGCGGAGGTTTGAAAAGACGTTAGATAAAAGCCAAACAGAAGGTGAAGCTAACTGATATCTCTCAGAGGAACCAGTGAACAATCCAGTTATAACAATAGTTTCACATCGTCGTACACAGTTAAAAGAACAGCTTGGTGTCTGATGATCAGTGGAGGACATACAGTGGAGACATGGCAAGCAGCTGTCGCTCTTATTCAGAGAGACTTACAGGATGTGCAAAAGCAGGAAAGTCGAATAAATATAATAATCCAACCCTATAAAACATCTCACTGTCAACACATACTCTATAAACGTCTCATAAAGCATTTTAACTGAATTATTGATGTTAATGAGGACACTGATGAAGTATTAAAATGAACAAAACAGTGAAACTAAAATTAATATTAGAAATATTATTTTGAATTTATTTTTTATTTTACTAATTTATTTTTTTTTTATTCTCTTTTTGCAAACAGGAGTATGATGATTACTTTATTACTGATAGTGGGTACTGAAAATCAATTGTTTACAATAAATCAAATTAAATTAATTTCCTCTGTGTATTTTTTTTTATTATTTTGAATGTATTTTTTTTGTTTATTCATTAATTTTATTTATTTCTCTTTTTTATTTTTAAAAAAAGGGAGGATGGTGCTAACTTTATTACTGATACTGTGTTTTGAAAACCAGATAAATTAAAATAATTTCTTGGGTAATTATTTTTATTATTTTGAATTTAATTTTTAAATTAAAATTAAATGAAACTAAATTAATTACATTAAATTAATTAAATAAGATTAACTGAAATTAATCTCTTCTGTATTTTTTTTATTGTTTTGAAATACTGTTTTTATTTATCAATGTATTTATTTTTACTTTTCTCTTTTTGCAAACAGGAATATGTTAATTACTTTATTACTGATACTGTGTACTGAAAACCAAATTAATAAACTGGATTAAAAAAATTAAACATGACATATTAAAAAAGTTTACATAAATCAACTACACAGTCATGGCTAACTTTATAAATGCATTTATATTATCAACATCCTGACAAACAAATAGTCTACACAAGCCTTAATTTTTACTACTTTGATTTAAAGCATTAAAAAAATTGTAATTTTCCAAAACATTTTGCAGATAGTGAGCCCCTAATCCTGTGCTCACCTATACGTTTTTTGCTTTAAATTTGGTGCAAATTTTCACTTTCCCTTACAGGATAATGGAAATCTTTCCCCAAAAAATATTTCAAAATTTGACTGTTAATGTGCATCCTGAAATCTCTTGTAAAATGTAAACATTCCTAATGAATAAACACACACAAAAATAAGTGATTATAACATGTATATGAACACTATTATGGGCATCTGAGTGAGGAGACATTAACATGACAGATTGTGTCTCCGTTGTTTCCTCAGAGTTCATAAAGTGTTTCTGTATACAGTTATAATGAAGATGTTTCACGTTGGATTATGATATCACGTCACAAACATTACAAACAATGAGTATGAGAATACAGAACACAGTGATGGAGGGAAAATGGCAGAGAAAGGTGGAGTTTCGGCGAACGGCGGTGGGCGGGGTCTGATTCTGCAGTCCTGACCAGGGTTTGGAGGAGGGGCTGGATCGCCGCAGGTATTACCTTCGATGTTCAGGTCGGCTGTGGTTTTGTCGGTGCCACAGTCGCAGGTGTACTCTCCCTTGCTGCTCTTTGCCGTCCTCTTGATCACCAGCATGCGCTTCTTGCCGTCTGATTGGATGAGAATGTTCTTGGAGGGAAATATTTCGTTACCGTCCTTGAACCACCGGACCTCGCCGGCGGCCTTGCTCAGCTCACAGGACAACATCACCTTATCTTTCTCGACGGCGGTGTAGTTCTGGAGCTTCACTGTGAAGTAGAGATCACCCTCTGCAGGAAGACATATAACAACACCAGTAACAACCAGTTCAAGTATAAAAGCACGGGAAGTAACTGAATGGGGCTAAATAGTTGTCACACTGAGGTCACGTATTCGGTATCATTTCGGGGAATTCAGACCTCTAAATACTAACCGAGCACAGTGAGCATGGCCTCTGAGGTCTTGCCCATGGCCTCCACCTTGATCATGGAGGTGTCGTCGATGGTGACCTCCTTGAAGGCCAGTGTGTGGACTTTTCTGTCCTCTGACATGTGCACCACCTTGCTAGGGTGCAGACGGACGTCATTTTTGTACCAGACCACCGGGATATTTTCGTGAGAGAGTTCGACGCTGAACTCTGCAGTTTCACGTTCCTTCACAGTCACATCTTTAATCGGCCTGATAAATTCAAGGCGAATACCTGACAAACAGAAATTGTATACATATACAGGGAATTCAGTCCAAAGTTGAGACACAGTTGGTAGATATCAACAGATAATAACGGTGATGATGTGTTCAAAAAGGTGCCACAGATGAGGCACTCATCACATCACTCCCATCAAACCAAACTGAAACGGTCCGACTCCATTTACCTTTGATAAACAACTTTCCAGAAGTCCTTTTATCTTCAGCCTCAAACATGTATTTGGCTTCATCTTCATATCTGGCAGATTTTATAATAAGAGTGTGTCTCTTTCCTTCCACCTGGAGCTAAAACTTATCATCAGTCGACAACTCCTGAGTTCCCTTCAGCCAGCGGAAGTTTTTGGGCTCTCTAGAAATTTCCAGTTCAAACTTTGCCTCATCCTTTTCGTACACATGCACGTCCGTCAGTGGTGTAATGAATGAGACTGGGATCTCTGTTGATTCAGACAGATGTGATTAATATCAAGGCGCAGGTGGAGTGCTCAGGATTAAAAGTTGTGTTTGGGTACATTAATGAAAGTCGGTGATTTGCCACACTGACAAAAAGGGTCCAAAAAGGAAATTCCATGTAAGACAAAAGGACGTTCCTCTATCACAATGTAGTAGCATTTACTACACTAGTCATAGAATCACTATTACGTTTAATTTATCCTCATCATTTCCTGGAGGACAACTTGCAATAAAACTGAAGAACGATAAGATCTGAACCCACTTTCAAAGAACTGAGCACAGTGCAGTGCTTGTTAAGACTTCGTACAGGAAGATAGAGTGAGGGAAGTGAAAGCTCACCCTTTACTTTCAGGTTAGCAGAACACTTTGCGTTGGCGGCAGTGAACAACACCTCGCCTGTTAGAGGCACTTTGCAGTTGTACAAGACCAGAGTGTGTTTTGGGCCGTCCTCCACGATCTCTACATCCTGCAGACGACCAACAAACTTCAGCATTTCAGTGAAAACATGAGAATTCAAAGAAAAGCGATCAGTGGTCAATTCACTTTCATTTGTTAGCTAAACGAGAGACCCAACCCTCTCGTTCTTCACATCTCAACCCTGAGGGTGTGGAGGTGTGGAAGGTTTTAATATGTAGGATTCTAAATGAAATCCACACCTGGGTTTTAATCAAAATGAAAGTGAACTGAACCACCAGTAAGAGAATATCTATGTTTGAGTGAGACATACGGCGGATGGACTGAGGACTTCTCCGTTCAGTTTCCACTGGCCATGAATGTCGTCCTCACTGAGCTCGACCTCAAATCGAGCGGTCTCTCCTTCAAACACCTCAGCGCCATACATTGGCCGAATCACCTTGATGTGGCGAGCTGACGTTTAAGAGAGGGGACAAAATTCTTACTGAGGACGTTCAGACATTTAAACACATAATTACACCAACACAGTACATATACAAATACTCAGACAACAGACAGGCAGAGACACTAAACAGACACCTCAGTTGAAAGATATCAACCACCTTTATTGTGCAACCTTTTAATTGGACCATAAACAACCAAAGGGCTTTCAGTATTGACTCCAACAGTTGTGGTAAAAATACTTTGCGGCGATTGTCTAGGGGCCAGCAGCAGAGGTGTTGGTGCTGAACTGAGACAGCCACATCACTAAGTCCATTCATTAGGACAAGCCAGCACCATAAAGAAACTTCTCAGGAGCCATTTGGTTCTATATGGACCTATTAGATTATTGAGGTGCCACAGTTCTTCAAAATGCACTGAAGAACAATAAAGGGGTTTATTTCTTCAAAGAGGGGCAGTTCTGTGAAGACGCTCGGCAGACGCATCTTAAACTGAACAAAGGACACAAGTCACAGGTGAAGAACACTACAAGACTGATATCCCCAAATTAGGGTGATAATCAAGGCTGAACACATCAGAGTCTACATGAAAGTCTTTCTCTAAAAACTCTTGTAGTGTCTTTCTACCACTTTCAGAATGGCAGAGTGATGACAGAGGCGGAGCTAAAGAGGTGCGTCAAGAAGGGGGAAGGCGTCTCAATTAACAAACTCTGTGTTTTTACCTTCAATGTGAAGCTTTGCCGTCGTCTTGTCTGTTCCACAATCACATACGTATTGTCCTTTGTCTTTGTCTCCAACTTTCTTGATAACGAGGGCTCTGCGTTTGCCCTCAGCCTTAATAGCCACCATCTTAGAGGGCTTGATCTCGGCCTCATTGTGGTACCACATGACTTCGACATCTTTGTTGAGCTCGCAATCAAGAATCACATCGTCTTTTTCCACTGCAGTAAAGTCCTGCAGCTTAACTGTGAAGTACGCATCTCCCTCTGGAATGGGGAAATGTTTGGGTGACTCTCCATATATAACACATATACAACACATACATATGGTCCAAGGCCAACAAAGGACAAGACAGTCAAACAAGACAAGGAACACAAATACATGACATAAAGAAGCAATTTCTTACTACACAGAAAACAGAAAACAATGACTTACGGGTCGTTTTGTCGACCTGAACAGACAAACATGGACAAATTGTACAAAAGCTGTTGACAAAGGAAGAAGACACACTGGAAGAGGACAGAAAGAGGACATTCGTGGTTTACCTATGACCGTCAGGTTGGCCATGGAAGGAATTCCTTTGGCCTCAGCCTTAATTTGGCAAGTATCATCAAGAGTCACTTCCTTCATCTCTAGCACATGTTTCTTTCCATCCACATGAGTGACCGCTGTTCTGCTCGGATGAATTTTAACATCGTTCTTGTACCAGGTGACAGGGATGTTCTCATGAGAGAGCCCCAGCTCGAAGCGAGCCGTTTCGCCCTCCTTCACTGTTTGGTCCTTTATTGGCGAGATAAATTTGAGCCTGATACCTATAGTTGTATTAGTAAAGCATATTCATATGAGTTAGTTTGAAAGAGAGGGCAACTAACTCAATGAATGGAGTTGTAATAATAAAGGCTCTGCTAATTATGTCCTGTAATAGCGATCCAGCACTTACCCTCCACTGTGAGTCTAGCTGTTGAAGTTTTGCCCAAAACCGCAATCGTATATTCATCTTCGTCCTCAAACTCACAGCAGTTTATGATCAGCATATGCTTCTTTCCATCATCGATGATGTCATACTTTTGGTCTGGGGTGATAATGTCATCCCCCCTGTACCACATGACCTTAGAGACATCCTTCGTGATGGTGCATTCAAACTTGGCCTGTTTCTTTTCAGGCACTGAAACGTCCTTCAGCGGGACTACAAAGTCCATTTCGATTTCTGGTTTAAAAAGTGACACAGGTACAGTACATCAACAACCTAACAAAACACAACAACAGCACAACAGTCTACAGTCAGCAGCCAGTTTACTGTGTACACCATGTATGCAGGACTGGGTTGTACCAGACTGTGGCTCCAGAAGTTTATGGGATCATACCACAGGGATGTCAAGGGTATCAGTGAAAAAACTGCCATTCTTGTTGCAGAATAGATTGTAGCTCATCGATGGTATACACAGCTAATCTCATCTTATCTTACTGAAAACCTATTGGAGACATCTTCAGGCTAAGCAGGTCACATAAGCAAAAATTAAGTCACTTTGAACTCCCAGGATTGTTAAAAAATCAGGTCTGCTTTGAAGTGTGGTGCTGAAGGACTCCATGAGAGGAAGGCTGAAGTGCTGTCATCAAGGAATGCAGTCCTGCTGGTAATGAGGGCTCTTAATGGAACATTCACCAAATGTGCCCTCATGAGGAGGGCCCAGTCTATTATTTTTCCATTTGGCACTAAATTCTGACTTCAATTCTATCAGGAGGTGACAAGAATCTTCATTCTTCAGGTCATTCTTCTTTCTTCACCAGTTGGCTCCTGTATGTGACTATCTTCTGCTGTTCTTGTATTAAACCAAAGAGTTACTGAACTCCACTATCTTTGCTAAATCTAAGGCAATGTGATTTCATGTCTGGTGAAGTGACCCATTCATGAACTTTGGTGTAACTGATAAACTGGCCACTGTGCATAGATTCAACATAGAACATTTAATCACAGACGGTACATACGATGATATGATTCACATACAAATATAGAAGACTATAGAGTGACATCACTGCACACAAATTCACAGAATGTTGAATCTGACAAAACACAAGACAGGTTCACATTTAATCTGAACAAACAACAAGTAGAACAACAAACACAGGACACCATTTCGATGACCAGAAATAGATCCGACGTCAAAATCCCTTCTTGTCTTCCCAGGCTGCGTGGAGTCTCAAACATGGGTATGGATAATGAATTTGACTCGTCAGCCCTATTAAATAAAGATCTAAGGTCCGCATTCAGGTGCCATAAAGCTTTATTTATTGCTCACGGACCTTACACCTTTATTTTTACAGCTAATATCCCAAAATCATGGTACACTGTAATTCCCATGTCGGATACCAGGAGTACTTCTTACCTTTGACGTTGAGCATTGCGCTGGTAATGGCGTTAAGAGCCTGGTAGGACACTTCTCCCGCCTGATCCAACTGGCAATTTTTCAGAGTGAGTTTACGCACCCCACCCTCCATTTGGATGTCGCACATCTGGTGAATACAACACAGTGCATTTACATATTAAAAGTCGTGAATATGACAATGCAAAAGCAGAAATGCCGGCATTAAGACTCATGACGAAGACGAAACAATGCCATCCAGTCATACCGGAGATCTGGTCAAAACCTCTCCTTTGAGCTTCCATTCTCCTGGAACGTCATCCTCAGAGATCTCCGTCTCAAACATGGCATCTTCCTTCTCAGTCACTTCAACGCTGGCCAGGGGCTTCAGGATCTCAGCTTCCCGCTCTGAGGAAGAGGTCGTATTAGTACTTATAAACTCAGATTAAATAATAGAAACATAGGGAAAGTATCTGAGGGAAAAGAAAGGTAAGCAGGAAGATAGATAAACCTCCTAGTGTTAGCTTGGCAGTGTAGACGCGTCCCTCCACCTCCATGGCATATTCTGCTACATCATCTGGCTGACAGTTCTTGATAGTGAGCGTCAGCTCCTTCCCATCCTTCTTGATCTCGATCTTGTCAGAAGGAGTGATCTCGTTCTCTCCTTTGAGCCACTTCCAGTTGGGAGTGTCCTTGAAGAGCTCACATTTAAATATAGCAGCAGCCTTTGGTTTCACATGCTGGTCTCTCAGTGGTTTCACAATCCAATCCTTGATTATTTCTGTTGGAGTTGGACATTATTGAATCAGTGCCCATCATACCATTAGAGACAACAATGTAAACCACGAATATACTAAATATTACTAAAATGTAAGCCAGGGCAGAGGAGCTACAACAGACTTGGTCTTAACTTAGTTTATCTAATTTTGGATGATTTTCAAAGATATCTGCAGCTTCAAGTGTTGTTTTGAGAGACAACTCCAGGGTTCTTCCTCTGCTGTACCAAAGCTACAGGGCATTTGTAATATCTAGTTTTGAAGTAGCACAGTGGTGCAGTGGTGGGCATTGTCACCTTACAGCCAGAGGATTCCTGGTTCAAAGGAAGGTTGATTGGTGACTCTAAATTGGCCGTAGGTGTGAATGTGAGTGTGAATGGTTGTCTGTTCCTATGTGTCAGCCCTGTGATAGTCTGGTGACCTGTCCAGGGTGAACCCTGCCAAGATGTATAATGTTCAGAACAGTTTAAATACATTGCTGTATGTCAGCAGCTTACAAAGTACTTTAATGTATGTGAATTACACATTGTGTTGATATGTAATTTTAAAATAAGAATTGGCCAAACATGGTGCCCCCAGATACTGTGAATATCATTGCTTCCTCAATCTATACCAGTATACATTCTCTACAGTACTGACGTATGTTACTGGGTTTAGGGGTATGTTCAATGTCCTATTTTGCTTACCAGTGACTTTGACATTTGTTGCAGTCTTGACAGCCTCCTGGTTGGCCACTTCACATGAGTAGGCCCCAGCGTCGTCCTCAGCGGAGTTCTGGATGGTCACAGCATGCTGCAAGCCAATGATATTGATCTGAATCTTGTTGGCCTTTGGCTTCAGGACTTCGCCATCCTTCTTCCATACCACATCTCTCTCTTTGTTCAACTCACAGGTCATATACACAGGCTGACCCTTCAGAGCTGAGGTCTCCTCCTCCAGCTCTTTGATCCATTTCACTGGCAGCTCTGTAAGGAGATTAAAAGGCAATTTGACAGTGACAAAAGGTTAGATAGGATCATGACAAATACTATTTTTGGTATCTTTAGTGTTATTTTTAATGGTAAAGAAAGATATAAATACCTTCAACAATAAGCTTGGCTGTGCACGATATTTCCTTGCCAGCATTCTTGGCTATACAGGTATATTCACCGGTGTCAGAGAGCTGGACATCAATAATGTTCATCTTGCGATCTTTGCCGTCAGATATGAATTTGTGCTTTGGGTCCTCACGGAGGTTGTTGCCATCTTTCATCCAAGATGTGACAGCAGTGGAAGGCGATACCTCGCACTCAAACACAGCAGACGAGCCTATAGACTCTGCCTCCTGCAACACAATGTCCTGAAGCTTCTTGATGAACTTCAGGGGGACGGCTTTGAGCTTGAATCCTCCGAAGGGTTCCTCTGGTGGTGATGGTCCCTTTCCACCAGGCCTCAGGCCGCGGCCCCTGCCCTCTCCAGGTGACGGGGTCTGCTTGGCTGAAATTGAGGACAGTCAGTTTGTATTTGAATTTCAAGAAGGATTCTGTGGTATCATCATACCAGATGTAGAACATAACAGGGTTTTCTTGCTGAGACATTATAGGTATATTAAGAGAATAGACTTACGTCTCAGGCCTCTACCTCTACCTCTTCCTGCTTCTTCTGCTGGTTGTCCCTCTGTTCAGAAACAATTCAAATGAATTTTTGGCACACAATGTAATCGTATGTCTTCATAAACATGCCAGTGGTGGGAGATATGTAATGTCCACTTGAATGGATAGGGGAATATAAAGCGATAGTGATGGTAAATATATGAAATCACGATGAGGACAGACAAAACAAACAATGGTGAATAATGTATATTAACAACTTTACAGTGATGTAGTGTTTACACAATGAAGAGATGGAATAACAAACAGAAATGTAAAGATGGTATGAGAACACGTTGGACTAATGGGAATGACATGATGTTGAAATGGCAGACAAACGAATGACATGACTGAAATGACAAAAAGCAATGAATATGAACAGTTTGACAAACAGAATGATGATTGACAAAACTACAAGGAAGAGATGGTGTAAATCGCGTCATACTTAAGATATGAAAAGACGATTTAGATGGAGGCATGATCGTGAAAATGGGAAGATTATTCAGGGCATGAAGGAAGGTTTCTTTTGGCCATCACCCAACGAATTGGGGCTGCCACCATCTCACCTCTCCTGGCCACCCCTGGAACCTCCAGTGCACCTTCCTCTGCTTCACCCTCCCACTCTTCAGAGCCATAACTCTCCCTGGGAACCAGCTCCCAGCCCCAGGCCTCTTCTTCCTCCTGCTCCACCTCTTCCTCAGGTTCCTCTTCAAATACCTCCTCTTCTGGCTGGGTGGCAACCTTTCTCATCTGCACAGCTCCTGGAGAGATCTCCTTCACCAAAGGAATCTTCCCTTTAGCGGGCTTTGCTGGTTCTGCAACCTTCTCCTCCTCTGGCGATGGCTTCTTTGGGATCTTTTTGAGAGTCACAGCTTCAATAGACTCTTTCGGTGAAACCTCTTTAGGAATCTTTTTGAGTTTATCAACACTTGGCTTCTTCTCAACAGGGACCACCTCCTCTTCTTTAAGCTTCTCAACTTTAGGAGATGGTGTCTTTTTCAGCTCAACCTTCTTGAGCTGCTCCACAGGCTTGAGAGCCACTTCCTCTTTCTCCTCTTTCGGCTTGGGAATGACTCCCTTCTTCAGCTGCAGAGGTTTGGGCTCCTCAGGAACCTTTTCAGGTTTCTTAACAGGAGCTGGCACAGGAGAGACTATCTTCTCGGCTGGAACTGCCTCTACCACCTTCGGCTTCTCTGGCTTCTTCTCTGGAGCTTCTGGAATCTCAGGTTTCTTTGGTCTAGCTTCTGGCTCTCGTTCTTTTGGTTTTTCATCTGGAACTGTGCGACGGCGGTGTAGATCATCAATTGGCTTCCTCTCTTTCTCCTCTGCAGGTTTCTTCTCTGGCTCTTCAGCCTCTTTCGCAGGCCTTGCAAATGGCTTCAGCTTAACACTTTCTATCTCTTGTTCCTGTGTTGGTATTTTCTTCACCTTGGTGGGTGCTTTGACCTCCTCAGGCTCTTTCTCTGGAGTTTTCTTTTTATCTACTGGCTTTGGCACCTTGGCTGGTGGCTCTGTGACCTCTGCTGGAGCTTTTTCAGGTTTCTTGGGAGGTTCTTTAGCTTCCACCTCTCTGGGGGTCCTCTCGAGCTTCTGAAAAGGCACAGTGTCCCTGTCTGGCCTCTCCTTCAGGTCTTTCTCTGGCTCCTCAGCTGGTTTAACAGGCTTTTCAAATGGTTTTAGTTTGACTGCTTCTGGTTCCACTTCCTCTGTAGGCAACTTTTTTACTTTCTTCAAGGCTGCACTTGGTGGGGCAGGTTCCTCTTCCTTTGGTGTCTTAGGAGTTTTCTTCAGAGAAATCTTATCCTCTGGTTTTTCTTCTTTTGGAGTGGGTTTCTGGCGGGTCCATGCATCTTTAGGAGCTTCTTTCTCTTCCTTTTCTTTAGGTGTCACAACTTCTGGCTTTTTCACCACATCTGCTTTGTCTCGAGGTTTCCTCTCCTCAGCAGGTCTCCTGGTGGCAACTGACAGCTCAACATCCTCTTCTCTGTGGACAATCTCCTCAGCATGAAAGATTGTGGTCTTGGTGACCTTCTGAGGTTTCTTCTCTTCTTCTGCCTCTTTAGGTGGAACTGATGGAACCTTCTTCAGTTTGATAATTTCATGCTCCTCCTCCACTTCTTTTATGACTCTGGTTGTCTTCCTTAAAGTGGGAATCTCAAATGTCCCTTCCTCTTCCATCTGAATTTTACCTTTTTTGTGCAGAAGAAGTTCTGAGGTGGCAAAGGTTTGACATTACTTACACTGACACATAACTGACACCACCATTTGTACAAACACATACAAATCAAAATATAAATATAGAAAATCTAGAAATATTAAAAAAAAACATATTCTCAATTATTTCATGCAAAGCCAATTTAAAAAAAACAATAACTGAAATAAAACACACATGAAAGAAGACTGACACAAGAAAAGACCATCAACAGGATGTAACAGAACAACATATACGATACATATAAACATTTAAATAAGTAATTTAATTTGTTTTGAATATTGTGCATAATAAGCCAATCAGTGCTGATCAGTGTTGAACTCCATGCCTTTTTTGCCCCCTTCATTTCGAAACACAACCACAAACCTACTGGAACTGTGAGTTAAAAGTTGAAATTGGAAATTAAAATTGAAGTTCTTATTTCTCTCAAATGAATGGTTTTAGCTACTCTGGACTAAGACTGGTATGTTCAGCCAACATGTTGAACCGTTATAGCTGCTGACTGATGTGTACTGTATGTACTGAGGAAGTGCAGCGAGTGGTAACTGGTGCTCCTACCTTTCTTGACTCCTCCCGGTGCTTGGACGGGTCCCTTGGTTTCATCTAATACAGAAGTATAGTTCAGAAGTCATTAATTAGGCCATTTAATCAGTCATGAACAGCAAATCCCAAAAAATGGGAAGACCTCACCAAACACATTCAGAAATGAAAAATATTCTTTTACTGAATGCTTAAGAGATTTGATCAAGTTGTGAATGAGATGCAAAGTAGTCCAACATCACATGATTTAGATGGATGATATAAAAAAATATGTCATATGTACAGACAAAGAGCTGAGGTGAAATTTCCAAGGGAAAATGTGTCATGCTTGTGTTGGATTCAGGGTCAACAAATGAATGAAACAAAAAAACAGAACACACAACATGAAAAGGCCATACCGACCCGAAGAAGACTGACTGACAACCCAATCAAAAACAACAGGAAGAGGAATCACATAAGTGTGGTGGTGGTGGGTGGGTGGGGGGGGGGGTGTTATATCATCAGCATTTGAAGTGATGAAACAAGATGTGAAAAAGATGGATAGGACTTAAAAAAGTCCAACAAAGACGGTGTTTCAATCTCAGTCCTTCAGATACCTGTCTCAGGAACTATCTGTTCTACTACGACTGGCTTTTCTTCTTCTGCAACCTTCTTGGTTGGTTCTTCGGCCTTTATGACAGGCTTTGGCTTGGTCACTTCAAGTATAAAAAAAAGAATGAATTGAAGTATTTTAAAGGAAACATACTGCCCCTCTAGAACACACAAGGTCTCTGTATGAATTCTTTAAGAGTTATTATCTGGATACCTGGCTTTGGTTCTTCTTGTGGAGTAATCTTCTTCTCCAACTTCTTGGTTGTGTCAGTGATCTCAGGCCTTTGGACAGTTTCTTCAACCTTTACAGCAGCCTGAGGTTTTCTCTCTTCAAGTACAAGGTATACAAGGAATTCAACAGAAAGCTCCCCACAAACACTGCATTCTAGATCTGAGAGTTGACTACCAAAAATACAAAGTTAATATTGGTATTCCCTCTTTATATCCACCTTGTTTGATACTTTTTTTCTTTCCATAGCACATCAGCAAAAGAAGTCTCAAAGATTCATGTTTGCTCAAGAGTGACATTCTTTCATGAATGCCTTTAGAAAACTTTCATACAGAGACAGACAAACACCAAAAACACATTAAAAAGAAAAGTTGATACCTTCTTGAGGAGCAGCTGGCTTTATCAGTGGTTCTGTGACTTGTGGTGGAGACTCCTTCTCCTTCACAGGAACTTGGAAATGGAATTATATGAGAATCAGAACCTCACTAAGACTGATGGGGTGAGCACTGAACCATGCAAAGACAAATAACACAAAGAAGATCCATTCTGGAAACAAACAGCCTGAAGACTGAGTTGATGATGGAAGAAATTTCCAAGAAATTTCCACAATACATCTTCACCTCGTCTATGCAAAACATTTTCTCTTGATTCACACAGGTGCAGTGAAACAGAACAGACAAAACAAACACAGAATTAGGAAAAAACGATGAGAAAAACCCAACATGAAACTGTGGTGGTTTAGATATCAGGTGATAAGAAACCAAAAGAGACTGTCTCAGTCGACAGCATGACGGTTCTTCACAATGAGCAAGAATGTGCCCAAACAAAATGAGTGATTTGACATGATATCCTCTTGAAATGATGACGACAAAGAGGTATGGATCTTATAAATCCTAAAGAGGGTGATAACGAGGAGGTGCTCAACGATGTTTGGTGCTCAGATATTTAAAAAAAAATAAATAAATAAACACGTGCTCGGTGACACATAACATTTTTCCCCTTATACCTCTAGAAGATTCTCGAAGGGCGACTTGTTCTTTCCCTTCTGGTTCCAAAGACAAAACCCTGGTTTCTGTGATGGACAGAGGCTCTTGAGCTTCTCCCTCTTTTCTGCTCATGGTTTCAACTTCCTGGGGAGGGATGTATTGGACGTCTGCTTTCAGACGTGTCTGCTTGACTTCTGATTCCCATTTCCTGGTGGCACCTTCCCCGTATTGTGGAGCGTCTGTTTTGTACTCAGCCATCTTTGGTTTGGTTTTATCTGTTACTGAGGGTTCTCTGACTGTGGGCTTATGCAAAGGCATCACATCCTTATCAGCTTTTGGTTCTGATGTTGCAGGTTTGTGTTTATCAGAAGTCTCTTGGGACTGATACATTTCCTCGCCCCTTTTCGTGGGTCTAACTAACTGAACTCCTTTGATTTGTTCTTGTCCAATGGCTTTTATCTCTACTTTTTCTTCTTCGATGACTTTGTCTTTCCCTATCATTGTCTCTATCTTCAGTTCCTTGGGTTTAGCTAATTTCAGTTGTCCTTCCTGCTCAATTAATGACTCTTTTGATGTTGCCTCCAACAGTGATGTAACTGTGGGCTGTTCTCCAACTTGTTCCTGTTCTACTTTTATTCTTTCTACAGAAGTATCATAGGCAGTTTTTGGCCATTTGTCTTTAACCTTAAAGTCTTGTTCAGCTGACACTGTTTTAATTTTATCTTTGATTGTAATTCTGTCTTTAAGAGTTTCTCATTTAGTTTCTTCTTCTGGTCTGTCATCTTCTATGAGCAATTCTTTAGACATCACTTCAGTTGCCAGTGGTGCTGCAGCTTTTCTATCAATGTGTTCCATTTTCAGTTTTCTTCCTTCAGTAGGACTAACTGTAGCTAGTTTATCTTTAGCTGTGACTATCTTTGGCTGGATTTCTTCTAATTTAACCTCAGATTGATCACTTTCACGCGAAGTCTGTATTGGAAATTCTGTTAGAGTATCTCTAACAACTTCTCCAAGTCTGGTGTACTTATTTGAAGTATCTTGGCCTTGTGGTAATCCTGCAGTGATGGACTCCGCTCTGGTTGTTTCGACTGGAATAACTTGGCTAGTTTTGTCCCCAAGCATTTCAACCTTTGACTTTATTTCCTGCATTCTGATCACTTCCGTTTGATCCAACTTCTGTCCGTTATCGATAGTGGATTGGTCTTTCTTTAAATCCTCTTTTCTTGATGTTTTGTCTTTTAACAGATCGTCAGGGGAAATAAGCATTTGTGGAGTATCTAATTTAATATATTTTTCTTTCCCAATCAATGTTTTTTCATATGCTACATCCATTACAGGTGTCCTTGAAGCTTTTCTTTCTATTTGCTCCTTCTTTGTTTCTATATCCGGAGCAACACTAAGACAAACGTCTTTAACTGTGTCTGTTTTAAACTGGATGCCTTCAAATGTTACCTGACCTCGGTCTTTTAGAGAGTCTACGTCCGCTTTAGCATCTTCTCCTACTAATGTATCTTGAGTCTTTTGGTGAGTAATAGCAGTCAGTTCTGCCTTTTGTTGAGTTTGGGTATGTTTTGTTGTTATTGAATCATCATCACTTTTGAATTGACTTGTGACTTCTTTAAGCTGAGTATCTTCATCTGTAACCTCTTGTTTTGCAGCTAAAACTTCCAGATCTTCCTTGGCGGACTCTGGACTTTGTGAATATCTTCTAAGAGATACCTCACTGGATTCATAAATGTCCTCTTCCCTTGATGCACTGTCTTTTACAAGCTTGTCAGGTATAATGAATCTTTGAAGGGTGTCTGATTTAATGTCTCCATCTTTAACTATTAGGTGTTTTTCAGCTGCAGTGTCCATCACAGGTGCAATTAAAAGTGTTCTTTCCACTTGTTCCTGTTTTGTTTCAGTGACTTCAAATGGAATAACACCACTGTATTCATCTCTAACTCTAACTGTCTTGGCCTGCATTCCTTCATGGGTAATTTTTGCACCTCTGTCTAACCTCTGTTCTTTCTCTTTGGGGGATTTTGATCTCTTTGGCTGAATGTCTTTAACCTCTGCATCGGTCACTTTTGTTACAGGAGTAACATCTGTCTTTGTTTGCTTGTGTTTAGTTTTTACCTCTTCAGATGGAAGAACTGAGGTGGTTTTATCTATTACTGTAAGTTTTTCTGGAGCTTCTTGCTCCACCAAAGACTGTTGATATGTTACTTCTGGTTGGGGTGCAACTAAGGCCCTTCTTTGAATTTGTTCCTTTCTTTCAGGTAATTCCTCTACGATGGGAGTAACCTCTGTTTGATCTTGAACTAGGTCTACTTTTGATGTTATTTGTTCAACTGTAATATCTTGCGTACCCCTTACGGACTCCTTTGTCTTTAGAGAAATGTCATCTGACTCATAAATGCTCTCTTTTCTTGACATAATATCTTTCACTAGCTCATCAGGTGTGATATACCACTGGAGGGTGTCTGATTTTACATCTCCCTCTCTCACTAACCGAGATCTTGCAGATGCAACTTCCATCACAGGTGCCAATGAGGATGTTCGTTCCACTTGTTCCTGTTTGGTTTCTTGGACTTCACGTGGTATAACACTACCATATTCATCTCTAACTGTAACTGTCTTGGACTGCACTTCTTCTAGGGGAAGTTTTGTACCTTTGTTCAACCTCTGTTCTTTCTCTTTGAGGGATTTTGATCTCTTTGGCTGAATGTCTTTAATCTCTACATCGGTCACTTTTGTTACAGGAGTAACATCTGTCTTTGTTTCAGTTGTCTTTTGTCTGGTTTTTACCTCTTCAGCTGGAAGAACCGAGGTGGTTTTATCTACTACTGTAAGTTTTTCTGGAGCCTCTTGCTCCACCAAAGACTGTTGATATGTTACTCCTGGCTTGGGTGAAACTGAGGCCTTTCTTCCTGCTTGCCCTTGTCTTTCAGGTAATTCCTTTACAATTAGAGAAACCTTCTCTGTTTGATCTTGAACAAGGTCTACTTTTGATGTTAACTGTTCAACTGTAATGTCTTTTGTGTCCCTAGAATCCTTGTCTGTCTTTAGAGGAATGTCATCTGACTTATAAATGCTCTCTTTTCTTGACGTAATATCTTTCACTAGCTCATCAGGTGTGAAATACCGCTGGAGGGTGTCTGACTTTACATCTCCTTCTCTCACTATCCGAGATCTTGCAGATGCAACCTCCATCACAGGTGCCAAAGAGGACCTTTTTTCAACTTGTTCTTGTTTTGTTTCTGTGACTTCACATGGAATAACACTACCATATTCATCTTTAACTGTAACTGCCTTGGACTGCACTTCTTCTAGGGAAAGTTTTGTAACTTTGTCCAACCTCTGTCCTTTCTCCTTAAGGGAACTTGATTTCTTTGACTGGATGTCTTTAATCTCTGTGTCAGTTTCCTGTCTTACAAGAGTAACATCTGTCTTTGTTTCAGTTGGCTTTTGTCTGGTTTTTACCTCTTCCGTCGGTAGAACTGAATGGGTTTTATCCATAACGTTAAGTTTTTCTGGAGCTTCTTGCTCCACCAAAGACTTTTGATATGTTACTTCTAGTCTGGGTACAACAGAGGCCTTTCTTTCAATTTGTTCCTTTCCTTCAGGTAATTCCTCTCTAATGGGAGTAACCTTCTCTGTTTGATCTTGAAGTAGCTCTACTTGTGAGGTGACTTGTTCAACTGTGACTTGTTTCATGTCCCTTAAAGACTCCTTTGTCTTGTCATCCAACTTGCAAATGCTCTCTCTTCTTGAGGTAATATCTACTACCTCATCAGGTTTGATATACCGCTGGACAGTGTCTAACTTAACATCTCCTTCTCTGACTATCAGAGATCTTTCAAATGCAAACTCCATCACAGGTGCCAATGAGAACCTTCTTTCAACTTGTTCCTCTTTTGTTTTAGGGACTTCAAATGGAGTAACACTACCATATTCATCTTTTACTATGACTGTTTTGGACTGCGCTTCTACAAAAGTTCTTGTACTTTTCTCTTTCAGGGATTTCTTTCTCTGTGCATCTTCATTTATAATCTCTGACATTTTGTCAAACACCTGCTCTTCTGTTTTGGTTGCATCTTTCTTTTGTGAAATACGTTCTGACTCATCTGTTTTCTTGAGGGCATCTTTTTTCATTGGTATGTCTGCTACATCCATTACAGAAGCAGATGCTTTCTTTGTTTCCGTTTGGATCTGCCTGGTTTTCATCTCTTCAACTGGAAGAACTGTGATGTTTTTTTCTATTACTGGAAGTTTATCTACCATGGTGAGTTCTTTTGTTACATCTGGTTTAGTTGAACCTGAATCCTTTCTAATGACTTCAGTTTTCTCTGATTTATCTTTAGCCATGTCTTCCTTGGTTTTGGCTTGTTTAGCTGTGATATGTTTGGAAGTTTCCGATATAGCATCTTTTACTATCTGAGATTTTTCAGGTGCAACCTCCATCGCAGGTGCCACTGA